TGTGGTTATTTTGTTTATATAATATCGTTATCTATTTGGAGATCTCATTACAAAATTGAATTTCTTTTTTTATAAGTTGCATATCTGAAATAAGCATACACATGCACATAATTTTGGATGAAGTTTATAAATAAGTCATGTGTCCACGTTTGAATAATATAGTATTTTGTAAAATTTTATTTGTATCCAAATTTTCACAATATCTATTTATCGCGGGCGAGTATTTTGTGGATGAAAAAGCGTTTAACTTATAGCTGTGTTGTCATCACAGATCTAAACTCTATACTACGAATCACACACCCACGCCACGCCTATGTGGAATGTTATGTTCTCATTTGTATAGCTTTCCTTTCTTCAAGCCTAATTGTATACATGTACATGCTTCAGAGAGATGATTGCACCAATGAATGTAAGAGCAACTCTTACACCGTTTATTCAAAAGTATCAAGATTTCCTGATTGCTCGGGTTGCACCAGCACAAGTACAGCGTGGGATTGCAAGGAATGTAATAAATTCGACGCGTAAGACCGATATAACCTTTTTTTACTACTTTTTGTTTTGGTAATTTTAGTCAACCATTGAAAATTTAGTCATACTGAAAAACGTCATTGCATTCCATCATAAATAAAAAAAAAACATGAAGTTGACGCTTTTTGCCTCTTACCTCATTATTGCGTAAAAATATATGTCTTCAACTACACTAAAATAAAGCCTCCTCACTCTCTTCCAATGACGTAGCGATTAACACTCGTGTCCTGACATTGTAGATGTCACAGCATTAAAATCTCTTCCACAAACTTAATAATGCGCGCCTTTCACTTGCTGCCACGCGAAAAAATCGCAATTATCTGGCGAAATTTCGGCCGAAACCTATACGGGACCGATATTTCACCCCAAATTTTGCTGTTTTTTTTTCATATTTCATTTGTATATCTTCAAATGGCCGCTAGTACAATTCTTTTATCATTTGGTTGAAATTGCAATGACCAAATTAGTTTGTTTCTGACATTTGCGTTCATATAATTGAGCATTACTCTCATGTTACTAATTTAATTAATAACATTGATTAATGACTGTTAATTTACCATTTTAACGCCATCATGTCATCTCATTACTAACTTTCATACATATTAATCAGCACACAAGAAAACGCACCCAATTGCAAAGAAGCACAGGTTGATGGCTGCACTTACGAATATCGAACTTATTGGCTGAAAACAAATCAGTTCCAAGTTTACGTGAAAGAATACAACAAAGAAGAAGGTTTGTGTTTTAATTCGATTTATTTTACGTCTATACTGCATTAATGGCGCTCCAGAAGTATGTGTATAAAGGGACGGAAGCCTATGGACAGGGGGTATATTCACTTGGATGACACAAACAGTCTCCAAACTCGTGATAGAACTAAAATAAAGAAAATCGGAATAAAATTATGGCCTGGGAGTGATACACATACTACGGGAGTACCGGATAATATAAATTATATATATATATATATGATTAGATTATACTTTATTTAGGACCTTGTGTTAGACATTACATGCTTTGCTTCACGATAAAATGAATCTGGGCAAACTTCTTACGTTAAAAAAAGCTACAAATATATTACTCTTTCAAAAGGACACAGTACGTGTCCCGATCCCAGCTAGTTCGTTAGAAATTTCTATCCACGGTACGTTACCACTTCTCCGCTTCTTGGACTCCTCGCCGCCGTAGGGTGGTTCACATAATCGCTGGTCGGTTACGGCTTCCTCCACAATCAAGTTTATGCTTTCGTGAACAATAACTGGATAACTAATCCCATACCCGACATAGACTGGTAACCGGACAAGATCGCCATATGATTAAGTCGTCTTATCGGCTTTCCTCTCTCCGGGGATAAATATGTAAATCTTAACGATGCGAAAAGGTGTCAGTTTAGCGTAAACTTCATATATATGTTAATGTGATTACTTTGAAATGTACCTAACAAAATATTACATTATTTTAAGATTGTCCAAAGCCAGTCAACCCTGTTTTGATCGTGTTGCCAGTTATTGGTGGAATTTTGATCTTTGGCGTTCTGGCACTGATTATCTGGAAGTTATACACCGATCATAGAGATAAAGTGCAGTACGAGGAATTTCTAGAAGAACAAGAACGAAGAAAATGGACGAAGGTATTCTAATTGATTAACGTTGTTTTTTAATTATCACCTTACCGGACGAGATTACCGCCGAATGACTACGCCGTTTTATATCGAATCTCTTCCCCAAGATAAACTTAGAATTTCTATCTAAATTGAACTGAAATTGAACGCATTTATGTGTGGATATTCCTGTAAGACACTCCAAAATGTAGATCTATCGTTTTCACCTTTATTAATTGTGCTTAAAGTACCGGTGTCCTTACTACTGTTTGACACAAGAAATTTGTTTTTCGGAAATTGAGGATTTTTTGTTTTGTTTATTTTAAACAAGTAAACCTAGGGCGTATCCAATAAATGATACGGAATAGAGACAGTATCTCGGATACTTTTGACCACGATGTCATAATAAGGTAGTTGTTTGCAATATGCTACCAGGCTGGTAGTACCAGCACTGTGCAGTCGGAGCCGAAGTTTGGAATGCCAACCATTTATTATTCGGGTCGTGAATATTGTATTCTCTGAAAAATCTGAATATAAAGCGTCTTACGTATATTAGTAGCTACATTGAAAAAATACGTTTTTCCTATTACAGGGAGAAAATCCAATTTTTGAGAAGCCAGATCAAAAATTCGCCAATCCCATGTTTGACGGAAAAGATGAATGAAGAAAAAAGCAACACGAAGTTTCAGGACTCACATAAATATTTTCTTCTAAATATACGTGCATTTATTCCTTAAGAAGCAGATAAAATGTTTAGATTGAACGTAGATACCAAAACTATTTATTTGTTCACTGATTAGTTTTACTTGAGAATTCGCATGATGCAAAACTTAGCAGGGTTTTTCAACGTGGATCCCATTTCCCCCGTGGACTGCAGTGCGGTTTTTGGGGGGCTACATGCAAATATCTTTTTGAGGTACCATTTGCTATTACATCAATTTATAGTAAATTGACTGCGATTGATTTAATTCTTTGAATGTAATGCATTTCTTCTTTTGTTTTTCCTTTAATTATAAATTTAGAGATGAGAACAATTAAAAGTGAAACTAGGAGCCGCTTTGAAGTAAAGCCATGAATGACCAAAGTGCTTCTATAAAGTATTCAAACTTTTGATAAAGGCCTTCATTAAAATCATAATATCACAGTTATGGAATGTATTTCTAGGTTTAATATTAATTGTTAGTTTTTCAAAGTTCATTTTTAAAATTGTTTATTATTATATTTCAAATCTAGACAAATTAATGAAGATTTGGGTTAGAATTTTGACGAATTGTTATTTGTTTTGTCTATATTTATTCGTATCCATTTGGATATGTTTTTTGGACATGAAGTTTACATGTGGACCATTTTGCAAAATTGTTCTTGTGTTTGTGATTGTTGGGAAAAAATCTCAGCAACTAATAAGCAATCGATTTTGGGTACTTGAAGAAAGCTAGAAAGTTATTACTTTTAATTTTACCCCAATTTCCTATAGGACCCGCTATTTTACACAACATTTTGCTGTTTATATTCATTTTGAGGACGTAAGACACTTTTTTCGACATCTATTTGAGCTTTACTATTTTTCGTTTGTTCTTTGAATTCTAATTCTTTCATAGTCGATATTATTTTTTGAATCTATTGAAAATTGTTTAAAAACTATTGGAATAGATATAAAAAATTTGTTTGGCTTCGATGTATATATATATAATCAATCTTTCAAAAACAAGAGGGCAAGAATATTAAACCAGAATTGGCATCAATTGATTGGACTTTATTGCCACTTTATAACGTATGCTTCGTGGAGATCATACGGGTGTCAAAATTAATCAAAATTTTAATTTGTTGATGTTTTGGAGTAGAACATTTTCAAAATTGAAAATTTCATATTTTTGGAAATAAATTTAACAAATATCACGATTTTGCAACAAATTATATTCAATTAAACCAAGCAATTTACCTTAATTAAAAAGACAAATGAATATTCAAAAAATGAAGTATGAACAAGTGTATGATTACGTTTCAATATACAGCGTGTCGATAAAGTCCTTTTAAAATTTTAATATGAAGTCAGTTCTCAATATATCTTAACCAGGTTTGTTGTTTTTTAATCAGTAATTGTTCAAGTATTTTTATTTCATTTTATATATTTGTGATGACCAAAACAATATATGGTATCAATAAATTTCTCTCGCAATTTAAAATTTTTTAGGACTTCATGGACACCCTATATATGTTCCCTAATCATTTTGAATAATCAAAATTTGCGGACTTGATTTTAAAATTTTCACTTGTTACAATCTTTAAATGTTCTAAAATCTAAATATTGTATTTTTCTATATTTTATGCAATGGTCATTTCGAACCAGATGTTCGAAACGATACTTCGAATCTCTTCATTTTTTCGTTTATGATTCATTTATTTTTATGATTGGCTACCTCCATATGGTACCTTTCCATCGGAATACTTAATAGTTTTTGGAAAAAAATTTTGGATTCTGATTCAAATAACAAAAATTTAGATTGATGTTAATTGTTAAATCTCGTGATTTTTTTTTTATATATTTATAGGAACACTGTATTTAAACGTGTGGATATTTTGTAGATTTCCCACGCGCCGAAAATGTCTATCTATCCAATTTTACCATATCCCCCTGTGTGAGAACGTAACTTATTACTATTAATGTGTCTTTCAATTTTCCTATGTTAAAAATTATTACGTTGTTATGATTAGTAAGATTTAAATTAATTTCTAGACGAGGCCAATTTTTCTAAGCTCCGTTTTAAAATTTCATCCGATTGGAATCTTATTTGAGAAGCAGAAAATTTCGAAACATAACTGGGATGAAAATTATATGAAATTTTTTAATTGGCCTTTGAACTGATATCTCATTATGCAGAATTTAGAATTAGAATTTAATAAAGCATACAGCTTCATCCTACTTCCAAAGTAACAAAAATAAATTTTCTTGCATTTATTTGAAATAGCGTGTTGATTTTCCTCTTGTTTATTTAATATATTTTCTCTTTTATTCAATTATCTAGAGGCATACGTTGATTTTGTTTGATTTTAAGTGAAGAGCATTATCAATATATAAATATATATGCAATAAAAATATTCGATTTAATCCATTTATATTTCAGCATTAATATAGGATACATCATCCATAGTCATACCAAACTGGCATCTAATTTCAACTAAGTAAAACATGCATGTAAAAGACTACATATCATGTTTGGCACAAGCTTGAGCAATACTAAATTTGATCAGATTGTTATTCGAAGTTTCAACATCACGACTAATATTATAACCATCTCACATATCAATTTCATTACCATAACGTTTTTCCAACACGTAATATTTTGTGAAAAAGGGCTGCATAAGCATCCACCTGCAAAACACCGGAGCCCATTGAAACGGCGATTGGGGCCATATTCAACACTATCCCCAATTGGTGTACTGACAGAGAATTCACAAACGACAACTGACGCGCCGAATGTCTTGATTGCAGATCATATATAACTTCATGTCAGTATGGGAATATTCTGCACACGAGATATGTATTTCCTAATATAGTTGGAAATCGTTTCTTCTATATAATTAAATTTGAACAATCCGCTTTTCAATTCTATGTCATTTCACTATATTAAATCGCTCCAAATGTGTATTTCATGGGCATCACTGACTACACCAAAATCTTTTTTAAATAATCTTGTGTTTAGGAAATCTTTATATACGCACGAATGCAGATCAACGCAGATTGGATCAAACTGTTTACTGAAATACAAAACACGTTGGATTGATTCAAATCAAATTCTCGTTCATGTCATAAAGTTCAACAAAGATAAAGGTAACTTATGAAATGAAGGATATTTCACTTCTAGTCATGCTGATATTTATGCGTGTATGTGCACAACAGATAAGATACTAGGGTTAATCGTGATTGGGCTTCGGGAGAAAGTGATTGCCCACAGTCTCCCTGGGTATATATGATCTGAACGACTTTCTTTATCTGTTGCACCTACGCCAGATTGTTGTATACCAACCTTGCACGCCTTTGTCTTGGCATTGCAGACTGTGACATGTGAAAGCCACCACTGCATTTTAATGTGATTCTTTCTTGTTCTGCCACGTTTTTATGTATTTTTGGACACGGTTATTGGTCACGTTTAGTGACCATAACGATCGTTTCAAAATTTTGTTGTTATTGTTATTTTCTTTCGTCATTATCATTAAAAAATCGCTTTTCTCTTCAAATACTGGACCAATTGCTTTGGAATTTTCAGTGGTTCAAGATTGAATTATTTGCCAGAAGGCTATTACTTTCATTTGTTCCTGAATTTTCTATGAATCTTATGAGATCTAATATTTCATCTAAAATTGCGCTGTATCAATTTTTAATTATGGGAACACGGTTTTTAATCCGCCAAGCGTGACGGCTGACTTGCGACTGAAACCCCGGAACTTTTTGAGGGTACGGTACCGGTAACGTCAAAGGTAAACCCTGCTTCGCTCTAGTCCACGTGTCCATATATTTGAGGGTTGCTCTCTTGTTTTATTTTATAATATTCTGCTTTGTATGTCCCGTTGTCAAATTTGCTACAGTGACCCTTTCACTGTAAGTGCAAGATCGCAACTTACGAGCCATATTGAGGAGTCGCGAGAAACTAGCGACAAGCCGCATACGGATTTCAACATCGTGTTTTCCCGAAAATAAAAAGGCTCTTCTTTCAATTTTCTTTCGATCAATACCACTAGGGCTTATTATTTTGGGGTGTATTTTATATTCATTATTAAAGCTTACGTGTAGGAAGGATTCCTTGCTATCGACTAGGTCAGCAAAAATTTCCCGTTATCGACTAGGTCAGTGGTTTTTAAACTTTTTGAGCCACGCCCCCCCCCTGAAAAATTTTACAAACTTCGCCCTCCCCCCTTTTTTGGTTTAAAAAGATGCTTTTGTGATGGGCAGGTTGCTTTATTTTGAGATGGCGCTGTAAGAGTGTTGGTCTGATAGCATCAGTGCTAAGATTGTTTAAACGTGAAACGCAACGCGGAGTGCAACTTCGCCATTCACTGTCGTATGTATAAAACCATACTCAAATAGTGGTCAACATACATTCTCCCTCTTCCGCTCAGTTTGCAATATCTGGTAAAGTCAATCTAAATATTAGATAAAACTGAACACGCAACAAACGTATGCTTTTGCGCTTTAATGTGTTTTCTACTTGAGACGTTTCAATCAACTGTTTACCCTGTCACTATTGAGCAATGCAAGAAATATCTACTTCTTGGCTTGCCTAACGTCTTTAAAATTCACTACCAATACCTTGGGACAACCACCAGGTTCAAAAATACAGTTTCGAAATGGAGAAGTGCAAATGAATTTATGTACATTTTTACAATAAAGTCCCTATGACTTTTGCAATTGTATTTTGTTTAAATCTCCGATTGTTTACGTCAGCGTGACGTGTTATAAGAATTTCAGTGTTTATTCTCCCTAAATCAGAAATTTCCCTCGACATATGTTTTGTGCCGCGAAGACGATGATAATTACTTTTTTGTTCCCACATGGAACCATGACACATGTGAGGAAAACGAGTTAGTTTTCATTCTATAATTATCAGCGACGAGGTACTAGAGATAAAAATAAAAGTGAATCCGCAACCAAAAATTTCTTGATTGAAAAAGCGACATTTTAAAATAAAAAAAAATAAAACGGAAAACAACCCGAGTTTTGTTTTGGAATGGACCGTGACAGATTCAAAATACTTTCTTAGACATTGCAAATCATAAATTTATTGTGCTCGTGGCACACCTGTAGTGTTTTAAAACTACCAACTTGGAATAAATTTTACTCCGTGGGATTTTATCGCAGAGTTTGAAATTTTGCTAATGGTGATATCGTAAAAATAATCAAGTGGCAACATTGCGTTGGGGACGGCTGGGAGTTGCAGGGACTGCTCATATTGGTCTAATTTGCAAGAATACGAATCAAAACAAAATGTACATATTCGTTGAAAAAGTCGGCTCTTTTGACAGGTGACGCAATCTCAACCACTTACTCAGGAGCCCTACCGCAGGGATTTCGGGGCGATGCATATGTGATTTTGATTCGCTAATATACTTTATATGTATTTTCATTGTAATAAATTAAATATATTTTCTGAGATTTTATACCAGATCTTACTAACAACGATAACGAAATCGTTTAAGCGCAATATATCTATCAAAACTAAATATAATCGGGCAGTTGATCTCACAATAATATGCGGATTATCGTGGTACTTCAGATCAGTAATGAGTTTATTTTGTCGTGAGTCGCCTCAACCGCTAGTTACCTTGCCTTGAACACAAATGAATCAAACTAGAATTCTATTTAAATTCTTGCAGTTGTAATAGATTGAATATTACGAGATGGAAACATTTATTATACCGTGGAAAAGCCGGCATTTTAAACGAACGTGAAGACCTTTTCATAAGCCGTTGCATGAAAATTTCCGATTTCATCTTGATACCTCTCGCGCCACCCAGTTCAAGAACCACTGGGCTAGGTCGTAGGCCTACGTACTTTATATTAAAAATCATTTTTACAATTCAGGCTAGGTCTTATTTATGATGAAACACGGTAGGTACAAGATTAGCTTTTACTTTTTCAGATTGTCCGTCTCCAAGAAGTACTATTACAGTAGCATTGCCTATTGTTATATCAATACTTTGTGTTGGAATTGTATCGATAATAATCTGGAAATATTATCAAACATGGAGGGACAAAAGACTATATGAATACTTACAAAAACGGAAAAGTGGAAATCTAGCAATGGTAAGAAAAAATTTCCCTCTTCCGCATAACCTCTGTGTAATAATATGCATCGATAGAATCACAGTGATTCAATAATCACCACTGAGACCTTGATGCGTGGATAAACAGGAACGGTGGCGTTAAACCGACCCGCTCTCCTTCAAAAATACTGAATAATCTTCAACAACACTAGCCCAAATTTCATAAACCGTTAAATCGTGTCAAAGAAAAAGACCACATTTTACGGGTTACACAAAAAACGGTACTCCCGAAGTATGTAAACCAAGATGGCGGATACCGGAACGTAGTATGTGTACCAGGTTAGGAGTAGTCCATAATTTCAGGCACAAACACTACGGGAGTCACTTGGCTAGTTCCCGAACTTGTAATTGAACTAGAATAAGAAAAATTGGAATGACGTTATGACCTAACCGTAACCTGGTACACATACTACGTTCCGGTGTCCGCCATCTTGGTTCGCATACTTCGGGAGTACCCAAAAAACGTCTTGTATGTCGCTTATCCATAACTTTGTTTTCTAGAATCTCAGTTCCATGTACAAAGACAAGAAACGAAAGAGCAGTGGCTATAGCAATGAACTGAATAATAAAAATCTAGATGTCATGGATGACAGTTGCAGTAGATTGGATGATGTATTTGAGGACGACGCGTTATGATTAATTGTTGTTTACTATGATGTCACTGTGTTATGATTTAAATGAAATTCCAAAATATTATCTACTAAATCGATAGAAGTTAGCTAATATAACGTCAATTCACTGCACAAAATCTGTGTGTTACGGATCGTGCCAATCTCGTCGCTAACGTCACCCTATTACAGGTGTGCACAACAGGAACACAATTGCCCAGTGTGTCACGTCATAAGTCAGAAAGTGGCACGCGCATGGTTTGGTAAAAAGTAGGTATTATATTTATATTAAACCTAATAACTCACGTTTATATCAGAGATATTTAAATTACCATGTAAATTCACACAATGTTAGTTCTCGATTCTTATTTAAGAATGTAGTATCTGGAAATAAGTAAGTAGGCTAGCCTACAGTAGCAAGCGGTTTGGCAAAACGTGACTTTTCTATTCAGCGAAATTCGCAATAGAACGAGTTTTTGTCATAATGAGGTTAGAGCCAGTAAGATTAGCGGACTACCACTAGCTTTCGCAACACTTAGTAGTAATAATAATTCTGAAATGTTTTTATTTGGACTGGTGGTGAACGTGGATCAATTTGAAACTTTAGCACGCACCCTCATTTGAGCTGTGCATCACTGCCTTGTTACCATGTTCTGTCGCCTATTGTAGAGTTGCCAGATTTGGAAGACAAATGTTACAATGAGTGAGTGGTACAATTTCAGATTGAACAATAGATACTTGGCATAAAGCTGGAACTTGTAATGTTCATGGCGGTATCTTTCATATTAATTTCGCTGTATCGTTTTGACCGATAGTGATCAGGAGAGACAAGTCCAAAACCCAGAGAATATAAATGCGACATCAATGCTTTTATTCAGCAACTTATATCTGATATATTCCGACTCGGAATTTCCGAGCAATGTTCTGTCGCCCTACTGTCCCAGGTAAACGCGAGGGGTTTGACGTATTCTTGGCGGCGATTAAATTTGAAACTTTTTTGTGCACGATTCATACTTGGCTATCGTTGACGGTATTTATATCTGGATTGAGGTTATTTGCCATGTGAATGTGCAAATCTCCGACTGATAAGTGATTCACTGCCTTCAAAAGTATTTGAATAAATACAATAGACTGAATAGAGCAATACTTAGGCGTACCATATTTCTGAAGCGAAAAAACGGGTGGCGCGTATTGGACAAGCCAACCTTGGTTCGATTACAGGGGCTTAGTAGTAGTTTAAACGTTTTTCATACCATTGTTGGTAGATCACGGGCTTTGACTTTCAAAACCCAAAAAATGTGGCTTCAACATTTAGATTCAATCAAACTTTGAGCACTCGTTACTGCCAAACAGTTATCGCTGAATTACTCGACTGACAACATGTGATCTTTTAATCCTTATAAAGGCAGTTAGGCAGAAATTTCGAATTCAGTGTCTTTTACCTGGCCGTGATGAATGTTAAATGAGGTTTGTCTAGGGATAATCATTTTCCTGTTGAAATTCAACGATTATTTCCGATTTGCCAGACTCGACCACCAATAAAAAAGACATGCCGCTTGCTATTAGTCTAGATTCGATGGATACTGTTGAAAGTGCACGATTTATTTTACAGGGCTCACAGTACAGCACAACATTGTCCCAAATGACAGCGCAGTAGAAAAATATTTTCATTACAAAAGTTGAAAACGAAACTATTGGGATAACTTCGTTTCGCAAAACGTAGCTTTACTTGTGACGAAATTTAAGTCTTTAATTGGATATCAAAAAAGCTCGAACAGGAAGAGAATGATCACATTTACATTTGAGGTGGGAATGGCGAGCTGCTGTGTAACAGAATTATTTGATGAACTTATTTATCATATGAGGGAACAGAAAACACAAAATTTCAGAATTTACCAAATGGCGTTATTGATTGGAGTAGCATGAACCGAACTACTTGTACACTCTCTGCCTATGTTTTTGAGAACTGCGTTGATTGCAAAGATACTGTGGCAGGAATTTTACTTTTCAATGTTTCGTCTGACCAAAGTCATAAAAAGTATGATGCTGACTTTTGAACCACCCAAATATAATCAATATAATAATGGAAAGTATTAAATACTTTAAGTCAATATCACAATCAAATAAAAATGTAAAAATTTTTCTAAAACAAAAATCTCAATAAAATGTACAATCATGTTTCGTCAATTTTAAGTGATTACTTATTCGTCATACTGTATAACCCACACTATATGGGAGCAAAACGATTACCTTTTAATTAAACCAGAATGTTTTGCTTTTATTCTCATGAAATGTTTGAATTAGCTAAGGAATGACAAATTGTAATAATTTGTAATATGAATCGTGACACAGTGAATACGCATACAAATATGGATTACAAATTTCCCACATAAAGGTTCGGGATTGGCACATCATTATTACCAGCTTAGACGATGGGGTTTGACCAAGCGCCAAGCTTGACGAATCATGGAAGGCCGTGAGGCAATGGATCGTGACGTCGTGATGTCACATGGCATGAGCCAATTGCACCGGAAACATGCTTTGGAAAGAGCTCGTGTATCAAATTGTATGAAAAGGAAAAAAGGCGGTGACGGTATTCGTGCTGAAATCATTGCTTGCTAGACTGCCTGCGACTAGGATTGGCTGAAGGCTTCAGCACTGGTGTTCTGTCGCTGCAGTATTTGACAAGCTTTTGTGGATTATGCAAGGCGATTATATAATCTGTATTTTAGGTATAATCTGCACCAAACAAGCGAGTATTAACAAAATATTATGAGAGACAAAGTTAATCAGTTAAAAATAATATTTTTGTGTACTGTAAGCTACGTGCAACTGATTTAGAATAAATTTTCAAGTATGAGTCAGTGCAACCATAAGACTATAGTATCATATTATGCTAAGGTATAGTGTGGGATTACATCAATGCGTCTTATTTTTCTTCCCCTTTTTAAACTTGCTTTATACACAAGCATTGTTCCAAACATTTTAAGATATCCTATATGCCAGTGATGAAGATTTAAAAAAAAAAAATATATATGCTCAAAGCATGGCGAGTTACCACTAAAGAGACAAAATATGAACAATAAGGAAATATTGAAGCTGAGTCATAAATTATATCAATATGAGACTTAAAGTAGTTTACTTCAGTATTTCAACGAAATAGCTTGGTGGTAGATATTCTACATCACTGCTACCAAAAATGGGTACTCCCGTAGTGTGTGTACCAGGTTAGGGTTAGGCCATAATTTTATTCCGATTTTCGTTGTTTTAGTTCTATTACGACTTCGGGGACTGTCTGTGATAGCCAAGTGAATATACCCCCTGCCCATAGGTCCCTTTACACAACTTGATGTAAAATAGGCGAACAAAATTAGTTACCTCCATATTGATACACACACTTCAAGAGCGCCAAAACTTTCACTAGTTTGCCAAAATTATCAAACACTATCAATAAATGATTGAAATATGGCAATCGGTCAAGAACGGCGACAACAAAGTGTTTTGGCAGTGCAAGTCTCGCAAGTTCAGAAGAACTATGTCTGTTATAATATTTGTGGAGAAAACGAACAAAGCGAGTAAGAGTTTTGAGAGTAAACGAAATAAATTCAGCGGTGGAGTTTTCATATGTAATCTCTGTAATATAGGTTTGTGAGTCGAATTTTGAAAAGAATTTGATGTATTGTATTGTATATCGATAACGATCATGTTAAAAGCACAGAGTACACAATTTACTTTTTTCTCAAAATATCTTTCTGTAATAATTCGTGAAACGTTAATCACTAGTTTAGCGCAAATTCTTTAGAAATCGCAAATAGAGTGCATGGCATTATCATGAATCACAAAGAAACGTATACTCGATCCACAGAAGATAGAAACGTTTGTGATGTATATTATTTATATCCCTTATTTGAGCGAACATAAGATACTGTGAAATGACAAAATCGTGACACCAATTTATCGATATTCTGCAATTAGCGGTCTGACTTTTTCAGTCACAGATATGTCGTTACGTCAGCGCCTGGCTTGGAACAGGACGCCCTAGATGTATTAGATACTGATAGAGAGAACCAGAATACTTGGTATTTACTATTGATGGATTGATATGAGGATATGGCAATGCGAAGGTATATTTTTATAATATGTTTCCAACAGAAGGTAACAACCGTTTTTCAAACGTAAAGGCTAAGACGTCTCAATATAGAGACGTTATTATCCGCTTGTGTGCTATGACCTGCAGATTGTATGAAAAAAATCTAAAACTCTTATATACCACCGCTGTTTCGTCGATGAGCGATATCAAGACAATGCCCAAAATATAGTAACGTTATATATTTAAAAAATATTGAAACAAGGATATTAAATGTATGGAATTTGTCGCTGAGAACCGTAATCTGGAACAGTCGAAAGCATGAGACTTTAATACAGTGTGAAATATTTATGCTCAATAGAAATGATGATAGCCTGTTGCATACAGGATGGTCGCTAGAAATAGTCAGATAATATCACGAATAAAATGCGTATAGGCTGAATTGGAACTATATTCTACAAGTTAACCTTCAAAATGCTACACGAACTTTGTAACCCTAACCCTAACCCACTGCTTTGAAGTACACAGTCGACATTTTGAGCATTTACGATTGTGATATACCATAATTATGCCTTTTAAAAAACTTTGTAAAAGTTAGTCTTTGTGAAAATAAATAGACGACCCTGGTGTATTCAATAGAAGTACGTTTACCTTTGTTAAACTCTCGCCTCGTTCAATGAAAGGAACAAACAGCCTTGTGACAGATATCCGGTGTATTCAACGCAGCCTGTGAGCTCTATACGCGAAGAAATTCATAACGTATTCATTGCAGGTCGGTAGGAAGAGCTCAGATGAGATTAGAGTTATGGCAGAAAATGCTAGCTGATTGATCAGTCAATAAAATTTAAAATGACTATGAATTGTACATATAAATGGGATAAATTTATAATATATATCTGTTAATAAATACTAAGGCGGTGTGTTTATCGTTATATTCACGCAAGATGACTTGTTGAAATGGCTGATACCTATCAACACCTCTTGCCCCTATATGACTTACGTACAGCGTCGCTTCTCGTGGGTACATACAATTTTTAATCTAACTGTGGAAATAAACTATGATATTTTGTACAAATCTCGTGCCAAAGCTCAAAATAAGGAAATTAAAATTTATCCAGTTGGGATGAAGGTTAGGAATGCAGATTGCGCTGAAAATTCAAAATTTTAAATCCTTGCTAACCCCAAATGGATAATAACTAATTTGTTATTTAAAAACTTGACGTTTTTTTCTCTTAAATCTCACATTTTTGCATTAGTGGCCATAAACTGGATCCTGAAGTCTTAAATTCAAAAATTGTTATATTATTCTACTTTACTTCATACTCTTGTGATTAATTGCCGGGAAACACAATATTTCATTTTAAAAATATAATCTTGTATAAATTAACGAATGTTCTCCGCAATATAAGTTATGATATTACTTCTTGGCATAACTATTAAACAACTGGAGAGCAACTTGGAATCTTAACAAAACAGATGGACAATTCATAAACAATATATACGTATGTATTAAAATGGAATTCTCCCTCACCTTGTTTTTTCAGATTTAAAAGCAATTGCACTGAGCGCTGCGCAATTGTTGACAATGATATTAACGAATTTGTTGACTCGTGACGTTAAGCAATTTGTAGTGATTTCAAATTCATTATATTCCATATTAATATGACGAGAAGTGATATAATTTGGTACTTGTCGTGCTCTGACCCGAATTGCAGAATTTACTCATATAAACAGTTTACAAGGCAGGCTAAAGCAGCTGGAATGGCACGTCAGAATGATATTTAGTACTTGGAATGGTCTCAACATCATTTGGTTTGGTTGAATAAATTATACAATTAGTTACAGAGTCCCATACTGTGGCCTAGAATAAAATAGAGTCGGCGTATCTCACTTCAGGGCTGCGCATTTGAGAAAAATTTACAATATAATCCGACTCCAGAAACCCGGTTTTAAAAAAAATCTACTCCAACTCCAGATTGTAAATGAAAAATTGATTTCACAGCTTCGAACTCAAATTTTGATATCAAAAACTTTACCGTATGGAAGCCTTTCGGAATAGACAATTCCGACTCCGACTCCAGTTAAAATATGCCCAACTGCGCTACATAGCCTTGGAATATATGATTGCTATAAGATTTTTGAAAAGTCATGTATTGAAGTACTCATCTCTGCATTTATTACCTCGGTGTCTGAACATGAGTGCTGGTAAATGCATGATTCAAATATCGTTTGCGTTTTGGCATGCAGAAAAAATATTTTAGAGGAACGAAGTATGTGGAATCAATTATGCAACGGACATTTTTTTTTACTCATGAAAAATTCTTTTCAAAATTTTTAACTCGTCACAAGCAGTATTTTAATTAAATGACTTTTTATGCAAAGTACTGCTTTATTTCAACACACATTGTGTTTAGTCTAATACAAATTTCCGCATATGATTCATTTTTTTCCAACACCTTTGTTCTCAACGGACGTGAAAATTTTGGTCATTTCAAAAATAGTTGCTTCTTATTGTCAGTGGCTTCTTTATTGCAGCAGACGTTTGAATAGAGTTGTGATGAAAATGCCCCATTGAAAGCTAAAATTTTCTATACTAAAAGAATTCCCGGGAAATAAGTTTTTGATTCAGTTCAATCTGGTACGTACGAGTAAACCCAAGTTTATCCCTTGGCGTTGCAAAGCCCATACCTGGGTCAACTTTATTATCTATGCATATGACGTTACAATGCCCTAATAGTTAGTTTGTGCGAAGCGAACAACCCATGCCACAAGATCAACAACCAAAAATATGTGCCTGCAACTACTAGAATGTACGTGCTAAATAAAGTTGCCGCCCGTGGTTTCACCCAGTTACTTGTATTTATCCCTCCTGTATTAAAGATTGCTCACCCGGGCTCTGCAGCATTCATGTTTTTACTCATATATGCAGGGCATTTGGTATTATCATTGTCAAGCATATTTTCCATCGTATTCAGGAATTAGTTTATTAGCATTTAAGTTAATCTTCATATCCTGGAGTTGGGTATTTCATTTATTGGAGGAGGTGCTTAAAGAATAATACTTTTTACCGGATATCCGGATAGCACAACACGGAAATATGACGTCATCCTGGATATTGGCTGCTTGTGTTGCTCTGAGCTTATTCACTAAGCTATCAGCAGATGGTAATTGAGTCATTAATTAATTAATAAGTAATTTTAGGCATCAGATATTTGCAATTCTTTGATTTCGTTTGATTTGATTGATAGGTCTGAAATAAATTAAAAATTCGTTTTTGTCGTAAACTATCCCATTTCAAGTGTATTTTTTTCTTGGCTTCGCAATTCAATATTTTGTTTTCTTCTTCGACAGCTTCTGTAGACGCAAAATGTGAAGACGCACAAATTCAAACATGCGATGCCTGCATACAAGCCCATCCTAAATGTGCATGGTGTTTGGAAGGGGAATTCAATGCAAATATTAAGAGATGTAGATCAATAGAGTAAGTATATTCGATTAACGCTTAGTTTCATGCATTAAATATTCTGTCAACTGTTTATTACGTAAACCTCGATCTTTTTTTAAGCGACCTAAGTTTTGTAAAAAATATATTTCATAAAATTTCGCGACCCGAAGATATGCTCAAATACTAAACGGTATGTAGTGCTCATATGGTCGCAAAATTAAATGACTAATAACGGAAAAACAATCATTTTTGCATATAATTTATTTCCTTATTATTTATTTCAATATTTCAACATTATTATTTGTTCGCCATCAGTGATTTTTCGAAATCGTGGTATGGCTTTACTTAAACAAAATAGATGCAAAATGGAAGTTTTTATGCTGCCACGTATACAATTACTATTGAACAACACTTCAATATCAAACACAAAATAAACAATTAAATTTACTAGAAACTAAAGGTTTTTGTTGAAAAACAAGCGACCCAGTTTCGAATCGCGACCCATGCGGTTGGGAAACACTGACGTAAACCAATCTTGTGCCGGAATTATAGCTTATCGATTAGCGCGCTGTCATAACAATGGGGACAGAACAAGGCATGAATCTGAAAGGCAAAAGTTCGTTATTTCCATGGGGTATTTGTAACTGGTGCTTTACGGCTTTATTTCAAAATAGAGCTTATAGAATCAGCATTTTTTTAATAAACTTAAATGATTTTGATTCTTCAAAAAGTTCAAACATTTAGTTGAAAATTAAAAATTGTTCTACTTTTACTGGTACTTTGATTTAGATGCTCGAATACGAACTCAGTGATACTGCAATTTGTGCTGTATATTGTAATCATATGACAAATCGTCTTATTTAACCTTGAATACTTGATTGACTGAAGTCCAGAATCTGGTATATTTGCATAACGATCGGAAGACTCATGTAATAAATTTACTATGTCACGATCATATTACTAAAAATCATTCTGCATGGGCTTTTCTATATTCTATATTGTATCAATTCCAGACAGTTCATGGGGCTAAAATGCTATTATATTTTACAGTAAATTCAACGAACTCGGAGGATGCAAAGACGGCAAAATGGAAAATCCTCAAAGCAAAAATACTCCAACAGAAAACAAAGACTTCTCAATTCCAGGAAAAGTATCCCCTAACGACAATATCGTTCAATTGAAACCACAAAAAATTCATCTTGAATTAAGAAAAGGTAAAAAAAAAAAATATATCAAAATCGAAAAATGCTAATGCACGAAAATTTTGTAGCGTTGCAACTATTCGGGCAATGGTATCGAGCTTCCTTCGGCAATAATAGAAATCAATAAGGATATTAATGACAATATTTCAGTACCACGCAAGCGATTGCGTTGTGAACTCTTCAATGATAGTAATAATCATTTAATAAGTACATAGGTTAATGTTAATATGGCACAAAATATTTGTAATTATGAATCATAATAGTGTATAGACTATAGAAGCTTACAAGTCGGTTTCGATGTTCCTGCTATAATGATTTTCGTTGTGACCATTATTTCATGTTTTTGGTCGTTGGCCTCTACAAAAATTTAGTATATATTTAAGTAAATAATATAACATTTTACTATCGATTGAGTTTCTACGAGACTAACCACTTCTCCGTATTCTTCAGTTGAACTATGTATGTCTGAGGAAGTCTGACCTTGGTCAGACAAAACGTTACAGAAATATATATGTGTTAGTGTGCATCATATTGTATTGAATCACTTATAAAATTTTGTTTGGAATTAAAATCGCGATGTGATATTTGTGATCTTTGCATGGTTTCTATTGTAATTCAGTAATCAATAATGTACAATTTGGCAAATTTGTTTGATAAATCGTGATTCAAAAAACAGTAATCCCCTGGAATATAAATATTTAACTTTTAACGTTAGGTTGTGGAAGACTCATTCCATACTTCGTTTCATCTGATTAGAAAAAATGATATTTTATTTACAATAAAAAAAATAATAAAAATATAGTCTGAACAACTACTAAATTCGGTTGAAAAAGTAAAAGTCAAACTCGAATTTCTTACTTGAGAGAAAAATAAAATAAAAATTATACTAGTATTCTAACAAAATATAAAGAAGTTAAATACATCACTTATTTGGAAGTGACTTCATAATTAACCTCAATGTCAAATTTTTAATGTTGGTACTCCGATGGAGACACTGACATTTTACAATACAGTATTTTCTTTTTCTTTTCAAATTGGCTACATTCAATTCTGCTTTCTCGTCTCCTGAGAAACCGATCTTGGCCTTTAACGAATTATTCGCAAACTTGCAATATAAAGCATGCATTGACTAAAACAGCTAACATAGCAGTAGGAAATTCAAATGTGTAACATTAATGTGTGCGCATTTTTTTCATTGTTCGCCTTTTGCCAAGAATATAGTGAGACTCACGACTAGAATCGCATATATATGTATTTAAGCAAGAAATAGAAAACCAGTTTTGAATAAATGTACTATTTGACCCACGCGTTAACAACGTTGTATATTTTCTTGTTTTCTTTATGCCTATGGTATAAGTTTTAATGCGAGACAAATTGATGGAAAGTTCGCGACATTTTGATAAATGACAATTTGGTATGGAAATTGGAATTATCTTTTATTTAGTCGACGTCTGATAGACATTGTGTGCCATGTTCTAAATAATAGAAACTAAATATAAGAATCTTCGAATACAAAGTCAATTATTTACTTGTATATGTCTCAGCAGAATTTTGTAGTTTTGAGCGTCATTTATAGTGTTTATTACTGATGTACTCGGTGATTTGGGTGAGTGAAACATCTATCCAGCCAAATTTTATTCAAATGTGCATTTTAGTACCGAGTAATATGCTTTCTAAAGCATTTCAATTCTAATCATACGTCATAGTTGTAAGCTTCAAAACATTATTTCAGTAATTATAGACTTTTAAAATCAATACGTTTTAATGCATGTTTCGATTCCATTCAATCAAACACAGGTGAATCCATGAAATTCAACGTAACATTCCGAAAAGTAAGTGATTATCCTGTGGACCTTTATTACGTCATGGATCTCTCACATTCCATGACGGACGATTTACAGACGTTACAAAGTCTTGGCACGTCACTTGCAAACGATATCCGAAGTAATGTCACACAGGATATTCAACTTGGTTTCGGTACATTTGTCGATAAAGTAATGATGCCATTTGCCAGCACTGTACCTGCACAGTAAGTCAATCTTATTTCCATCTAAAACAGTGGTTATCAAACGATGGGGCGGGCCCCAAAAGGGGGTGAGGACAATTTTTTGAGGGGGCGTCAAGCTAATTGAAATATTTGTTAGATTTGATCTTGTCCTCCTTATCTTCGATATTCACATTTCAAAACTTTTCATTTATTCCATTATTTACGTTCCATCCACGTATTTTCATCGTGTTTTTTTGAGTGAAACATACTTTCACCTCACTATCTTATATACTGTATATATATAACTTCGCCAATGAAACAAGGAAATAACCGTGTGCGTGGGGGACAGGAAACTTTCGCAAACTAAATATTGTTGGAAGATCTGTCTTACAGTACAGACACCATGTCCTATTTTATGATATTGAATATGAATGCATTCTTACTCTATTTTCTGGACCAGACAAAATTTCTATAACATAAACTATAAGTTATAATTGCCCTGCACGATTTTATGACGAAATACAGTTTCATACATTAATATTGGGAGTTTTTTTGATAGTTTATCCGTGTCTAATGCTATTTCGGAACAAATTAATATCTTTGGAATATTTTAGTATTGATTATCTATATAGCTAAACACGTATTTCTACATAGACCGTACCAGATGTCAAAATTAAATGTATAGTTAGATGATGACATGCGGAATAAACCCGCGTGACCATTGAGGTGTAATGCATTGAATATGCTGGAAAGAATAAAAGCTACATTTCCGTCATATTTCCGTCATGAACGACGTTCATATTGTCAACTTCCAATTTATTTTTCATGCGTATAAAGTTATAAAACACACCAAATATTGTTTTATGTTTTCTGATAATATAATAAAAGATCTACTTTTTGACAGGAGTGCGTTTCAGTCGTGTACAGAACAGTACCGGCCTTTTTCTACTTACTGCTACCATTGATTAGTGTATCGCAACATTATTCATTTCTACGTCATTTTAGATTGAAGAATCCCTGCTTTAAAAATCAAGATGGTGGCCAGTGTGCACCTCCGTTTGGATTTAAACATCAACAGAAAATATCAGATAATCTTAATGCGTTTCGAGATGCTGTGACGGCTACACAAATTTCTGGCAACATTGATTCGCCCGAAGGAGGGTTTGACGCACTCATGCAGATTGCCGTTTGTACAGTAAGTTTGTTTGAAGGAAAATTTCCAAAAAATATTTTTGTCTTGTATGGTATTTAAATAATACTTCTTCCTGACTAATGCGTATAGGTCTGAATCTTTCGTTTTCTATATAAGGTTTTAACGTTCCTATCGATACTTTGGTGAGTCAGGTTATTGTCTTTATGGTAATGCAATATGGTTTAATTCAGTCACCAAACGTAGCTTTGCTGTGCGTTGTCGTTACCAAGAACCTGTCTTCAAAATTTTAAGCGCGTGACGTCATAGGTGCTATCGAAGACTTCCGGTCCGATGACTTATAATAAAACAAAATGCTAACGTGCGCTTAGCTCTACATATCATGACTAAAGTGCAGTCAAATGTGGTATCGTTTTTGGTTTATCGGGTTGTTTTAAATTTATGAAAACCTACTGTCAATTGGGTACACTATGTAACGTTGAACTAAAACTTTTTTATTTCATTACAGAACGAAATTGGATGGAGAGATGAATCTACCCATCTTGTTGTGTTTACAACTGATGCATCATTTCATATGGCTCTCGATGGAAAACTCGCCGCCATCTTGGAAATGAATGATTTACAATGCCATTTGGAAAGGGTAACATGTGTATTACATTTGGTAGTTTTGTGTTTATAACACGAACTTAGGTCACAAGCCGATCTTTTACAACTACCTCAAAATGTTCTTGCATTATTACGTTTTTTCTTATATTATGGGTAAAGGGTATTCGATTTGTATACTTACAATGATGTATCCACTTGCAGTAGATAGACTACAGATCATGGTAATGTAAAACTTTGGTGTTGCCCAGGTCTAGTTTCTAATACTGACGATATCTAACTTCAAAACTAATTCTACAAAACTAATAAAGTAAAGATCAAGTAAGAATGAAATGTTTGTAATATTAATTGAATCCTTCATTATACTAAGCAACAAACTCTCATGTATAAGATCAATCTCATTTTTTTTAACAAAAACCAAGTCGTTTGGATCTGCTGCACCCTACAACAGGCTTCCCGTGGCGGCTGTCCTTGTGGCCATCCCCTAGGCCCGCCCCGCTACCGATAGAGTCATATGCAACCCCTGAAGTTAAAGTTAAATGCTGAATATAAAGTCGTCGGGGCAAGCACTAGATACCACTACTAGGATACGGTTCCATTGCATTTGAACCCACGTACATTTGAACCCATGACAATTGCACCTGCATACTATTGCACCTATGGAATTTGTTTTGTTTTACGGATATTTGAACCCATACTCACCCTAACCCATGGGTTTTAGCACTCGCATATAGATTGAACCCGCGAATATACGCATGGGTTCAAATGTACGGTCATCCTGAGATACATCTTTAAAAATATAGTAAATTTACTTCCAATTCGCGTTTATCAAGGGAGCAAATCCGTACCTGCCAGAAGACATCGTGTACAGTATGAGCAAAGAACAAGATTATCCATCCATCGGTCAACTAAGACACGTTTTCAACAAATACAAAATTCAACCAATTTTTGCTGTCACAGAGGAGGTCAAACCTTTGTATGATGTAAGTACTATTTTGCGATTTTCTATCATACTTTTCAAAATTGAAATCATACTCCAAAGCAGGGGTGTGCAAACTGCGGCCCGCGGGCCAAATGGAGCCCGCAGGGGAAATTGTGTGGACCGCTGAAAAGTGCCAATTTTGAATGGTGTGCCCGCGAAACGAGTTTTTAGTTTAGCCAGTTTAGGCTTCACCCAGTTACTTGTATTTGGCTCTCCTGTAAAAAAGGTTGCACACCCATGCTCTACAGAGCTGAAGATTCCTTGAACATATCCAGAACTTGGCGTATTATATCAACAAAACATCGTGAAAATGGCATAAATTTCATATCTAATATCATTGCATTATTATTACTTATCGATCTTAAGATCGGTAAGTATGTTGATAGGTATTTGTCTGTCTGTATGTCTGTGTGTTAGATGCACGCGATATCTCACAAAAGCGAGGTTGAATCTGCTCCAAATTTTGCATGTGCATTCATCATAGCTCGGATCAGAAGCCTATTGATTTTGGATGGATTATGTCTTATAATTAGCGAGTTATTAATTAATTAGTGATGGGACACACGGTGTCACTATGGAGTAAGACCACTGTTTTGGGGATCCCCTAACCTTCGATCGATAAGTCTTCGGTTTCTAACCGATATTCTAGTTAAAGTTTTACTACATACTTTATATGTTTAATTAAAGTAAAGTGTTCCTCTTTATTGCTCCTTTCTATCAATCTTTGTGATTGTGGATGGATACGCTGACTGCAACGATACTGTAGCAATAATCGAAACAGCAATATTATTAAGTCTTTCAAGAGTCTTGCATCACGCTGTTGTAACTATTTGTCTGGGTATGGCCTGAATTTGGTCATCGAAATGTTACAGAATAAAATTCATGAAATAGTTTTATACTTTATATATAGTCTTTACACATAAGAGCATGAAGAACTCGTGAGTGATTTGTATTTTTGAAAAATTATTTTATTTTTCACTTTTTATTCAGGGACTCCGAGAACTTATTCCGAACTCACACGTCGATCAACTCGCTAAAGATTCAAGCAACATTATCGGTATCATTAAAGATGCGTACAATGTAGGTTTAGTTAATAGCGTATTAAATCTTGTAAAGCATGTATAAACTGTAAATATTGAATATTATATTACTATGTTGACATCGTGGGTTAAAAATGCCGGTATGTCCAAACCGTAAACTATATTCCTACTGTGCCAACCCGTAATTTCAATTTCCCTTTAATTGTATTAAATGTTATTTATTTAAAACTTTCAGAATTTGAAAGGAAAATTGGAAATGTCATGGAGAGATAAACCAAAGAATGTCGATATTAAATATAGAGCATTATGTCCCAGTGAAAGCGATTGGAAAGAAATGTCACTGAAATGTGACAACATTACCATTGGTAGTGAGGTAAGAATATGTATGTCGGTTGAACATTGGATTTTGTAGTATATAACTCCCTAAAAAATTCCTCTCAAACTTTGCCATTGCGAAATTAGTTTTTTTTTTATCAGTCGTTGCTTTCAAAGTGGTTCGCATGTTCCGAACCATCATTCCTATTCAAAATAATCAATCTATTCGAGACCTTATTTGACTAATTAATTTCAAAATATACCCCAGTGACAACATAACTGCCTGGTGATTTGATTTACATCTGAAATTCTGATACAAATTAAATCCTATCAAATATTCAAAACTGCAAAACTATTCAATCCTTACAAACATGCTCGAAAATCTGTCTGATTAAAAATGGTGTGGGTATTGAAGTTTCAATAATTTCGTCGGTGTTAAATTAGGCTAGATAGGATGGGGTTTATATATTTATCTTAGGGTAAAGGAAAGCCGATTAGACGGTTTAATAATATGAGGAACGAGGCCTCCCCTCCGGTTGCCAGTCTATGTAGGGTATAAGATTAGTCAGCCAGTTATTTGTTTCAGATCCATGGACTTAATGGTCGAGGAAGCCGTAACCGACCAGCGGTTACGCGAACCACCCCACGAAAAGTCCAGTAATATTCTCGCACATAATTTCCCCCTAAGGGATTCAACTTGCAACCCAACACAGGGTAATCATAGGTGAGATGGCGAGCGTAATCTTGACGCTTAGCACGATGCGCCGGTGACCGTACATTTGAACCAACGTACATTTGAACCCATGTGTATATCCGCGGGTTCAATCTATATGCGGGTGCTAAAACCCATGAGGTAGGGTTAGTATGGGTTCAAATATCCGTAAAACAAAAAAAAAATTCTATACGTGCAATAGTATGCAGGTGCAATTGTCGTGGGTTCAAATGTAAGGGAACCTGATGCGCCAAACCGCCTATTATTGCTGATTATTCAGCGTTGGGGAAACAAACGAGGAAGTCGATGCTTAGGGAAGCATCTATTGAATGACTAAAATAATCGAGCTGACTCAATTATTCTTGTACAGGTTGTGTACGAATTTGAAATGACTGCAAACGAATGTCCTGGAGAGAAGGAAGAAATTGCACCGATGACGTTTACTTCAAGTTCATTGAAAGAATCTGTGACAATTACATTCGGTATAAATTATTACTGGCTAAATTTGATACTTTCTAATTATAGGGAAATCGATCATTTAATAACCCAGCCCTTTTCGATAAATTCAACCCTTCCCCTATTTTGAATTTTTATTCCTCTTAAACTATGCTTAAAAACTCCGTTACTTGTTCAATTATTAATGTATCTTTACGTGGGGTTACGCACAATTTGCACTTTGGCTCTTGCATAGTTTAAATAACTTATAAAATGTCCATAAAAAGTTATTATAATACTACTAAATACCCATACAATAAATTCTGAAACTACACCAAATGCAAGGTCATATTTCCTCCACAAGAAAAATGAAAACTGCTCCCTTAGGAGGGGGAATTCTTCCCTGATTGGGAAACATTGATTTAATCATACAACCTAACTGATACGACGACAACGTAGTTGAACCGACGCGATAACAAGATGCCAATTCCTTTCAAAACCCCGAGGGATGAGTCAAGTGTAGTCACGGCTCATTTCGAGTCGAGTTGACCACTGAGCTAACCACTAGCGGTTGTTCGAGTACGAGTCTCTTAATTCTCGAGTCACTTCAAATTCAAATTAAGTGGAGTCGATTACTTGATCCCCCACACACAGAATGATATTTAAATTATATGCCGTCACCTGGTTTTATCGATTTTTGGGGGCTCCCGAAGTATGCGAACCAAGATGGCGGACATCGGAATGTAATATGTGTACTTGCCATAATTTTAGGTATAACTACTACGGGAGGCTCTTGACTAGTCTTCGAACTGATAATAGGACTAAAATAGGGAAAATTGGAAAAAAATTATCGCCTGTTACCCATGTTACGTTCCGATGTCCGCCATCTTGGTTCGCATACTTCGGGAGCACCGATTTTTGTATTATATTGCATACTACTCGGAATCTTTTAACAAATATTTATAACGTTTATTATTATTTCAAAAATTTGTTATTGACTCAACTTTAATACTAAACACCTTCAGATTTCAAGTGTGGGTGTGACTGTACTGGTACTCCGGTTGCTGACAGTCCAGATTGTAGTACAAATGGATCTTTGGTTTGCGGTCTCTGCCAGTGCGATGCAGAACACGAAGGAGCCAAATGTCAATGTATTAGAGAACAGAAAGATGTCGCCTTGGTTGGAAAATGTAAAAAAGACGGACCAACGGATGAAATATGCGAGTATGTTGAACATTCTATACACGCTAATGGGATGTCTGAAACGAATTGAATATCTGATATTATAGATACTTGTTTAAAAAAACTCATTGAATATATATTGACTTACACATGCACATTGTTGAACATAACCAAACATGGATGGAAAATGAAACTTTCAAAAAAATTGTGTCGCTTTGTAGCCGTAGCCATGAAAACATTATTCTTATAATTTTAACGATTACAGGGGCAATGGAGCTTGTGAGTGTGGTAATTGTACTTGTAATGAAGGTTATTCCGGAACACATTGTGAATGCAGTAACAAAGGATGTCCAAAAGACGAGAATGGAAAACCATGTGGAGGTAAGTTTGGACTTTAAGTAGTGCAAAGTTCCTATTTGTCTCTAATAAAATTTTTTTGTCGATGTCAGATTATATGGATCAGCTCTTCTTAACCTTTGACCCTGTTAACCTTTTACATTCCCTCGAAATCATCAACGCATTCTCTTGCCTTCGTGTGTTAAGGAACAAACCATTTCTTTATTTTCAATTTTTTTCTTATATATCTGAAAATAAATAACACACATGCTAAAATTGAATTAGCGTTACATTAGAAGATAATGAGTATATTACAGGAATACATATTTGCAATGTCTCTGAAGTCCCAATGACTTGTCATTTCAAGAATGTATATTCCAAAATGTCGTTTCCGTATATTAGTGTATTTTTTAACTAAAACGTAGAGTGAACCAAAATTAAGAGTCAATCAGTTCTCGAGAAAAGCGTTTTTTTCACAATAACAATATCAACGTTTAGCGAAATAAAACACAGGTCCTTTTGTGTCCGTTAATATTACCATTTGCGGGAAGTTTCCACTTTACGGATAAACGCTGTTATACATTCTAACTCAGACATTGGCAAAGTACGGCCCGCGGGCCAAATCCGGCTCATTGGGTAATTCAATATGGCACCGCCTGATGCTGCCACAACCAAACTGAACCCAAATTTTTATGTTTTAGCTAAAAATAGCTCAAAGAATTTGTTGAGATTGCGCTTGAATACAGTTTTGCACGAGGCTTATTCTTAAGATCTTAAGATCGATAAGTATGTTGATAGGTATTTGTCTGTTTGTCTGTCTGTCTGTCTGTTTGTATGTTTGTCTGTTTGTCTGTTTGTCTGTTAGATGAACGCGATATCTCACGAACGCGTGGTTGAATATGCTCCAAATTTTGCATGTGCATGCATCTTACCTCGGACCAGAAGCCTATAGATTTTGGGTTAATTATGTCGTATAATTAGCGAGTTATTAACTAATTACCGATCTAAGATCGATAAGTCTTCGGTCTCCGACTGATATTCTCGTTTTCCACCTTTGCTTTGTAACACTGTAAATATTGTTCATAAAATGTATCTATTTACGTCACACTTACATGGCCCGCCAGACTAGGTAGGCCCCTGGTTCCAAAACCTTGCCCTCCCCTGTCTAACTTATGCAACGATTTTCCACGAAGGCGGCGAGAAAGGAACCTGTCATAGCTGCAATAATAACGGACGTTGTGAATGCAAAAACGGTTGGACACGAGATGATAAACTTCACACTTGCACATGCCATGAAAAACTCTGCAAAGATCCAGCAAGAAACGATTCTCTGATTTGTAGCGGGCACGGATCATGCGAATGCAATCGATGTGTATGCGAAGACGAAGGGGTTTGTAATTTTTAATATTTTTCTATATTTTTCTAATATTTTTCTAAGAGCAAACTTCTACAGAAAACAAAATTATTCTAGATATCAGAATAATGGCGCTCCTAAAGTATGCGTACCAAGATGGTGGACACCGGAACGCAGTATGTGTACCATGTTTGGGTTAGGCCATAATTTTAGATATAAATACTACGGGAGTTACTTGGCTAGTCCCCGAACTCGTAATAGAACTAAAATAAGGGAAATTGGAATAAAATTATGGCCTAACCCTAACCTGGTACACATACTACGTTCTGGCGTCCGCCATCTTGGTTCACATACTTCAGGAGTAACAGAATAATTGCCTGCAATTTCACCTTTACTGGGCAATTGTCTATTATATGTTTTGAAGTAAATGTATCAAAGTAGTAACGTTTTCAAAAGGTACATATCACTATGCATCCTTGTTACTAGAATTCGTTTTTGCTTTTTTGATAATCGGAATTATTCACAATTGTGCATTTTCATTTTATTAACTTCGGAAAAAATTAATTTTGTTGTTATTTACTACCTGTTAGTAAAACTTCTTATAAAACTTTTTTTCAAATTTCAGAAATATTGGAGTGAAAAATACTGTCAAACATGTATTCATCCCAAATGCAAAGGTCCGACACCAACTTGTGAAGGTTCTCAGTTCGTCACCTGTGCTGTCTGCGTCAACGAGGCACAAAGACAAGGAAACGTAAGTCAATGCAGCATTGGACTTGTGGTGAAGATAGAACGTTTGCTCGAACATCGACTTCCTTATTTATTTCCGTACTATTGGCAAATCAGCAAATGTCAACTGCGAAGTCACAGTTGAAATTTTAGAAGCCGCTCGGACATATTGTTAAGCATGATTGCGAGCAGTTCTAGTTGTATTTCCAGAATTCAATTAGTTCCATTGATCAAAAATTAGTTCGGTAAAACCTGCGATAAACTGAGAAAAAATTAGCTATCAGTGCTTTTGGTTGGCATAAATATTTTAATATTATAATATTTGTCTGGTGTCAAGAATCGAGGTAATATTCAATAGGCAGTATTTAATTCTCAAATCGTTGTTAACATTCAAATTTCAAATTAAAACTGCTTAGAATGTCGGAACCGAATGCGAAGAAGAATGCAAGGACGTTGAAAAGAAAATGGTGACAAAGATACCGGATTGCAGTAATTGTGAAGACGAAAACTGCAGAAGAGTTTGCTTAGAACTGGACACGTAAGTGATTGATCTTATGTCTTTGCTTTCGATATACTGTAATTAGCATATTTAACTGTACTCTTTGTACTTGTCTCAAAGAAAATGAAATAATACATAGAATTCATCCGATGACCTGAGTACATGTCAGATCGGTTTTTCATTTTCACATGCAGCGTTGCTGTTTAAACTGAGTTTGATGGTAAATTAACATTTCTACATTATTTTGTATGTTGTATTGATATTGTATGATTGACCGTACCGGTAGTCACAGTAGTAGAATGGTAATTTATTCAAAGATTGTCAGTGATTATGATTATTTTCACTTTTTTTCAACAGTAAAAAACAATCGAATTTGCATTTTCACATCTGCATTATACAAAAATATATAAATATGTAAAGTATTTCAGTGGTAATGTTTTTCTATTTATTATTTTACAGTAACATAGCGATACCGAGTGATTGCAAAACTCCGTTGCCACAGAGTGAATGTGAAATTGTCTTCCAAGTTGTCTGGTTCAAAAATAACAACGAGTTTGGAATTGTAGTCAAGGAATACAACAAAGATACAGGTTTGTTGATATATTCAACTGGTTGGCTAAGATCAAACACTTTGAACAAAAACGATTTTACAGTATGGCATTGAAAAAAAAAAAATGTTACAAAAAAGAATCGCCTGCTTGCTTTACATTGCACACAGAAGGTTTCAAATCATAAATATTCATATAAGCTGGTAAAACGTAAAACGTGCTAAGAGTGTTGAGTCAGTTCCGATTATTCAAAGTGAGGTGCGTGGGATCCGGGCGTATTTGCATATTAATGTATTCAAACATTTAGTCAATGCAAAACTTTACATCCCATCAAGACCAAATAATCCCCGTACTTATATAAATTATTGTTGTTGTTGTTCACGTTGCTGTGACAATATTCATTTTACGTTCTCAACTATTGAAGCAATCGTATTCAAACTTAAATAAGGATCGATAAAAGTTCGAATTAGAAGGCTGCCACTCCTGGAGTTTTTCGTATTTTCGATGGGCTCATGGTTTTGACACTATTTGATTTGATCTATTTTTCTTTCAAACAATGAATGTATATTTAACGGTACCGACAAGTTTTGTGTCCATATTTTACGTGTCCTTTCTTGTGCTCTACTTTGTACCGAATTGACTTTTGATTACAGATTGTCGCAAACCAATAAACCCAATCTATATTGTTCTTCCTATTGTTGCTGGTATCGTTTTGCTTGGATTGCTTGCTCTCGCTGCTTGGAAGATTTATCAAACAATAAGAGACAAAAAAGAATGGGAGAACTTTGAAAAAGAAATGAAACAATCTAGATGGACTAAGGTTTGTATTGTATGAACGGTCAAAGATAGTGTTTAAGCAAAACATACTGAAGAATTCATTTTGCTGCTAAATTAAATATCTTGATGCGATCACTTTTTAGTTTCGCGATGAAAATCAAATCTTATTCCGTGTATTAGTCAGTCTGTAGGGTCGATTAAAAATTACAATCCATTTCAACCCCGGACGGACATCTATGCTATCTTTCCTTAATAGACTGTGAAAAACAACAGTGAATTTATTCTGCTTTTCAAGTTGATGTGGGAGATTTTGACTTCTTTTATCACCATTGATATTCTGCAAATCTGATTTTAATTTCAAGAAAATGAGAATTTCGACTCCGACTCCGGATAGTTTGAAAATACATATCCGGCTCCGAATCTACAACTCTGATTTTAGCTCAATGTATTTTTAGCCACAAACCAGTAATATTTATTCAAAACTTCAGTAATCTAATCTTTTATTGGTATTTATCTCTTGCTGCAGCTGCATTTATATTTTTATTTGCTAAACGTTCTGCTTTTATTATCTTTTCGTGCAATCAAAATAAACAGGGTCAGAATCCGATCTTCCAGAAGCCATTCACAAAATTCCAGAATCCAACTTATCAAGGTAAATAAGCTAATGTAAAGGAAAATAAAGAAAAAAAGAAAAAAGTTGGAGGTAGAGACATCGACGAGGTTTTAGTGTTGCATCCTGTGATGTGTGAATAATTTGAAAAAAATAATTATTGATTGAAAAATAATGATTGATTTAAAAATGGGGCTGATATTTTCATTTTTTTTCTGATTTTTATAAAAAATTAAAATTAACATATAGTCTTTTTTAATTTAAAATTTTATTTTTTAATCTTTGATGTTCAAGAGAAAAAAAATGCGGAATGAAAATATATGTTGTATTGTCTTGTAACGTAGATTACTGCATGGTGTGATTTTAATGTTAAATGTACTAACCTGAATTTTGCTACTTTTTTGTTTGCGAATCTTTTGTTTTAGCAGCTTAATTGTTTATACATATATCTTATGTTACGAATACGATACTATATTATGAGAAAAATATGAATCAAGGGGTCACTAGACGCGAATGTACACATATGTATAGATCTCTTTTAAAAGGCGAAGTGGAGGATTATTAGTTTGATAACGTTTTGAGTAATAAGACTTCTTTGCTGTTAAAAATTTCATTTAATTACCTTCGATGCTTTAACACAGTGTAATTTCTACCGCTTTCCACTATGTACATAGTGCTCCGAGTCAGTCAAAACAAAAAAATTTGATCTTCAAATGGTTGCCAATAGAGGTTCGGACGAATGGCGGCTGATTTTATTATGCCCAACCTTCGTTAGTTTAAGTATTGAATAGCGAAACTCTCCAGAAACAAATTTGCCAAACAATTTGTTTAATTTTTGCTCCAATTTTGTCATGTACATAATTAAAAAACAAGCAACAGAATTTTAAAAACATTGTATAAAAATTTATTCTACTTGACTGGAGAAACATTTTGATTATGCGTCACGGTCAACCTCTTTTTGATTCATTGTCGTGGAAAAATAAACAAGCAAGTCGATGTTAGGTAAAGATCAATTTAATAAAAACGTTGGAAAAACATTTAGTGTCAAGGGTCACACGGAAGTAAACATGCAACAATAAAATACATCTCACAAGTTAACGCTCAAGTTCCGGGTCAATTTAAATTTTTAACATTGTTTTTATTTTTGTGCAACACAGGACATTAACCCAGTATTTGTCAACCCTGCATCAACGTTTGAAAATCCATCATATGGAGGAGATACTTGAATGAACTGCTGATACTTCTCGTCTTTTTCTGAATGTACATCGGGATACACACTCTTTATCATTTTTATATGTTAATGAATAAACTATGTTGCTTTTAATATAATGTGGAGAAACATTACTAAATTTTACTCTATATACTCAATTTTTAATTCAGGAGTTAAGTTACCTATCGTCAGTATATGGCGATGTAAGTATTCGAACACATGTTCCGAAATCTAAGATAGATTTTCAAAATGGAGGATGGTAAACAATTTTGATGGTAGTAAATTACTTTCAATAAATTTTTGATGTAGTAATTGTTTTTTTCTAACAGTTTACTGTTCAAATAGGTCCATATTTCTAGATCGAGTTTTTGGACGATTCGAAAACATACATTATATCCTGAGATGGAAACGTTCAGAGCATATAGTTGATATACTCTCTTTTCATTGTGATGTGTACTACTTTATTCTTTTTATGATTATTTCAATCATGACAATTTCTTATTTTGTAACGTTGCTGTTTTTTTTTATTGTTATTACTATCATTATTGACATTGTATATACTGTTATCAACTGGTAGTTGGAAAAATCATAGGACTCCCTACTTTATTTATGATAATTAAAATAATTGAAAGCACAGATTATAATAACCGCATATAATTATAGTAAAAAGCGGATGAAATATTTTCATGGATTTTTTTTTAGATTAAAATATAACCATACGTCCATATGATATTTTATATTTATTGGAATATCGATAAAATTAAACTCGGTTTTAAACAATTAATGAACTAATAGTTATGATTTCATCAGCTAAATATTTTGACAAATTATGAATCTTATGAGACATTTAATATATTTTTTGCCCGAATTTCCTGCACCAGTAATATTTTATTAATATCTGCTATCATAAAACATTTTTTATTTTGAAGTCTGTATTTTCTCGTTTCGTAAATTCCTCATCATTACCCAGTGAGAAAAGTTCCAATAACACCAGCCTAGTGCATTATTATTAGTGAATGTTGCTATAATTCCTTTGTGAATTAGAATTTCATTTGTGTAGCGTATTCTAGTCTACTACTATTTGCAATCATGTTTTATCAATTTGATATTTTTTCCTTTTTTGCATTTATGTATTAATCATACGCACTACTATTTTTAATGAAAATGATTGGATACGCTGAAATCGCTCAATAAATAAATGTTAACGGAACTATATCAAACTTGATATTCTTAGACTAAATCAATACGGATCAGTAAAACAATCTTTGCAGATATCGCACTTTTTGTTATTTGTTTCACAAGGAAAGATGGACGTTGCAGTGTCAGTGTAATGCAATTTATTGCCAAACTAGAGTAGACAGACGATACCCAATGCAAGTACACATTTATGGAGCAAGGTCACGGAGAATCTCATTTTCGTGACTTTTTTCTGCTGGTTATTGAGTGTATAATTACCGTTTGGCATTAAAAAAAAGTACTCCCGAAGTATGTGAACCAAGATGGCGGACACCGGAACGTAGTATGTTACGCTTAAAAAAATCTGAAGTAGGCACAAATACATATATAAATTAATTGTCGTAATTATTTGCTTGCAACTGCAAGTTTGTTTGTTATTAACTCCTATATATGAGGAATCATTAAAATCCTCGTCATAATATATTTTACAGGAATCCTATATGACGAAACATTGGGTTTTCCCATTGAATAATATAAAACTTATGACGTCATACCTGGAAAACTAATTGTACCTAATACCTTAAATATCTAAAATCGTGCTTATGCCACGCCACGGGGAAAGTGTTCATACGTTATTTCATCAATGCATCCGACGCAACTTGAGATAGCCGCTAATAATAAGAAATCTTGCGACTAAAAATATAATCAAAATTTTTTTTTTGAGATGTGGGTAGGCTGACCATTCTTTCTCATAAAAGGGCGAAAAGTGCAGAAAAAACTGACGGATACTGGTATATCACCATATGGATCTGATGTTGCAATATTAGAAACTTACTATGATTTCCCTGTGTGGTTTCAGTGCTTTCCAGTTTCCCTTTGGACGCTCTTGTGGGTGAAACAGTCGTGATACGTAAAAGAAGTTTTATATGAGTAATTTCATATGACGGAAGATCGACAGTTCAGCCACGTTACTTACTGGTAATAGAAACACAATGAAACCTCTGTTGCCATTCTTGCGCAAACAGGTTTCACTGACCGAACCTGACCAGAATCAGTCTTTATTGTTTGTAAAACTAAATATGCCTAGTCAATAGAAATATACTTCCGTGATAGATGATATATCCCCGATACAAGTGTTGGTTTAAATCAGTTGAAAGTAGATTCAGTACAGAAAAGTGGCATCGGGTATTTTTTTGTTAATTGGCCAAAGACGATATTCAGATCCTCTGTGGACGAAAGTTATCTAATGAATTTATGTAAGGAATGCCATATTAATGTAACTTACGTACAATTTTTTCTAAATGAAGGAAAATGTTGTTAGTGAGTTAGATATATAAGAAAACCAGATCATGAAATTTTTAATCCCGTCATCGGTTACTGCTCGTATTTTTCGAGGAAAAAATAATTTTGTTTTTCTATTTTGATCGACAGCTAAGATATATTAGATTGAAAATGAATAATTCCAACAATAGTTTCAACGAAACTACTATTTGTGATTTAGATGAAGATGACTTTCAGCGACAATGGTTTGCAGCTTTTGTTTTAACAGCCATAGCTTCTCTGTTCACCGCCTACTTGATTGTTTTCACTTGTTACTATGAATACAAAGTCCAAAGAGAAAATTTGGAAGTTTACCGGAGAGCAAAACACAGGAAACGTGTGAAAGGATTGAAATTCAGCAAATTTGATGATACTATGAGATGATTAATAATATTAGTGGAAATTATTAATCTTTTGCCTATCTTTTTCATCGCATTTTCTTTACATTCCCTCAATGATGGTGAAGATTATTTCTCTCCGATGTGGGGGGCATTTTTTCTTTGTACATTCGCTTTTTTTTTCTTGATCTTACACAGTGGTTTCGACAAGTAGCACTGTACGAATCGCATGATTTTAAACATTTATGCAGTGAAGCTGTAAAAAGAATTAGTTTTCTTATGCTGATTGACATAGGTATTGCACATTTAGTTCTTTTTCTTTTTTTTTTATTACCTTTATACATTCGGTCAACGTGTGACTTAATTCCTTCTCCTTGGAACATACTTGAAAACGTGCTTTTGTGTTCCATCCATGTTATTTTTCAACTTATGTTCTTCAAATTATTTATTTATCCAATGGAGAAGTATATGAATAAACCAGATCACGTGATGGCAAATTTTGGCCGAATTAGAAAAGTTATCAGAAGAACGAAAATTTTTACTGGAGTTAGATTATGTGCAGAAATTTTCATATTTTTAGTATTAACTCCATTGAACTGTTCTTCATTTCTTGCAATCTTCATACCGATTGTGTATCTTTTTCTGCTTCCAATATCTACGGTCTGTGTCATATGTAGCTTCGATGAGTGGAAACTCAGATTATTCCCGTTTGTTTCACATGCTACTTTGGCCCGGGCCACACTTAGAGATACTATATCAGAAAGACAAGCTATCGAGGACGCCGATGGCGATGCGGGCGTCATAGGAAGAGACGTATATTCTGTCGTTCTGGATATTCGAATATAGAAGAAAACTACACCAACTTATTGCCAAACTTATAAGATTTTTATTACCATGCAAAGAAATAAAATTATTGAATGTTTAAAAGTTTGTAATTTTGCATAAAACGTTTCTTATTTGATCTATATATATATATTTATTATGAATTTTAAAAAGTTATTCATTGACTTACAGAAATTAAGTTTTTTTTTACTAGAAGTAGTATAAAAATAACTACAAGAAAGATTTGTTTTTGCTTGGTAAATAGTCAAAAGGAATTATGATACGTAAGTCGGCCATTGCGGTAATGAATGGAACTGTGTGCTATCGATATATTACATATTCAAAATCTCGTATTCGAATCCCAATATGACTAAAAATCACAAATATAAGGCGTCACCTTACCCAAGTTGCATGGAAAGATTCCAGTCCATTCAAAAATATCTGAGCGTTTGAAAACTGTTTGTCCAGAGCTTTATTCAGAGAAAAGTTGTGAAAAATGCCTCATAAAAATTCTGGCACAGTTCACTACTATATGATGTCCATCTACGGTTCAACCTACCCCGGAAAATGGGTTTGAAGCGCTTTCATACCCGAAATTCGTTTTTATTGTAGCTAAACCCGGCTTTACTGTACAAAGTAAAGTCATACTACCTGCTGCCTTCTAATTTCCCCAGGCGTCGAAAATTTGCAGGCTTGTCCATGGAAATGGGATTCCCACGGAAAACGTCCCATGGGATGGGACAGCCCACATTTTTATTTCCCATGGAACACGTGGGACACGAAAACCGAATGATTTTCGGGGAAATGATGGTAAAACATTTCGTTATGGACTTCGTGTCCATATATTTGAGCATAGCTCCCTTGTTAGTTATAAAGAGCAAATATATATTCAGCATTAACACTATATTTCATGAAAGGGCTGATGAACACATGTATAATAGGTATGAATATAAAGTTAACAAAGTTTGTAAATTTTGTTGGTTTACATGTGTTTTCTTACATATAGTCCTATTTAGTAGACGCTAAACCTGAATTTAACAATTTTTATTGAATTTTTTCCCAATGGGAATCCCATGGGATGGCAATGGGACAGAAAAATATGTCCCATGAACAAGCCCGAAAATTTGTGTACGAATAGTCTAATAGTGATTTTAAACTAGGAAATGCAGCGTCCGGTAACAAGTACCAATGTGTTTTGCCGTAATTAGAGGGCGGGTGTTTTAGATCAGGGTTTCCCGAACTGGAGTCTGCTGACCCCTGGGGGCCTGTGAAGACTGCATAGGGGGCCCGCAGCAATATAAAAAGAAACATATACATATAGATCATAATCTTATTGAATTGCCGCTAATCTGCCAGTATCCAACGTTAATATGTATTGATTTAGACTTTCGTGAGTTTATTTCGCCAAAGGAAACACTATCCTTCGTCGTCGTTTAGGCACAAAAATTGATACGACATAGGATGGGGGTCGGTCAAAAATTAGATTCACGAACAGGAGTCCGCGGCCCAAAAAGTTTGGGGAAACCTCGTTTTGATAATACGCTGGGCTGAGACTCTGCATGTTGAGGCTTGTTCGAACACGAAGAACGTGCCTTTGCGTAGATGTTGACTAATACTAAGTGATCCAGCGGAGTTGCTTTGTATTTGCGGTTTCATTCAATTTCTAAAAAGAAATAGGGAACGCAACGCATCATTTCGGAAGGAAATGAAACTCCCAAGAATCCGGGATTCAAAATAATAGACCCAAATCGCATTCTGGTCATAACAAAAATATGTTGATTCGAGAAAAATGCATTAGTGTGTATATATATATATATACGATTTCGACACAATGCATGATACACATTTCACTAATATATTAGCAATGCGCAAAATAGATGCTTCTAAACGTCAAATACCTTTACGGCTTTACGTATCATATATACAAAAATGAATGTCTGTTATTTAGAACGTTAGAAGAAAGAGCATATTAACAAGGTGAAAATAATAGCGGTGTGATGACATACAATTGTAATGCCTTTTATGGAATAGTACATCGTATATGATCAACGTTCAATATAGACATACGATATATTGTGATAAAATTAGGACGGCATCATTTAAGCTACCGTACATGATTGTATATAATGACATTTAATTTGTGGACCCACATATATCAATTGTCCGCCCCCGATTGGGCTCGTCGGATAAAACGAGAGTTATCAGTATATAAATGGATTGTTCGCATAAAAGTCATTTAAGAATTGGTTTTGTGCTGCACAATACTAATACATGATATATCTGAAAGAAGACGAGAATTGTTTTGGGAACTTGCGTTGGTTTATATCCTGGTTTTTATTGAAAATGAAGGTAGAAATAAAGCTCGTTGCTACGGTCATTCTAGGAGTATGTTTTATCAGAGGTAACTAATAGAAATCTGATTTTAAAGATTAAGTTTAACTTGGTTTTATTTATACCTGCGTATGGCCGATATCAATATCGATCCTACGGCTGAATTTGGTTAAGTCGATAATTCGATACAATAAGATCAAAATGATTTTGTATGGAATGGAATCTAGTAGAAAACATACAAATACATGCTAATTTCTAGTGTATGAAATCATTGTATGTTTCATCATAAAAATCCTCGGCTTATCTAAGGTTCTAAAGTTCAAACAAAAACCCACAGAGTAAAAAAGAATCTCCTATTTTAATATATATATATATCTTGACTTTTTGTGAGGTTTTTCATCACTTCATTTCAAAAAAGGCTCTAGAAAATCAGTTTCTGATGCTCAAAAGAGCTACAGTCTAGTTTGGGTAAAGAAATGAGCATAGAGGATGAACCCGAGATATGGTAACTCAGTATAGTTGGTCCAACTATCTGAACCAGCGCTCGCGATTTAGAATGTATTGTGCACAAAAAATTATAAAAATCAAAATGAGGTTACTTGTTCTATCGATTTCAATTAAAGTTAGCTTATGTGAAAATAATATATATTTGTGTTTCCAGCCACCAGTGCTACGTCTTGTTACACTTGCTGGAAAACAACAAATCCATTCTTCTGTTTCCCAACAAATTGCTTAGAAACGACATCATGTTTCACACAAGCATGGATTGAGGACGGATATAAATATTGTGAGTATCCTTGAATTGGTAGCTATCAAATGCAAGCTCAATTGTTATTTGAATACGGCACTTTTGGTTCTTTACTAAAAAAGTACTTTAATACGCATCTGTTTTATTCTATTCCACAAAACATTCGAGATGTTTTAACTTAATTTCCATGTCCGAGTACGATTGAATTAATGGTATTTTGCAAAATAGAATAGAATACCACTAATCAATGTTCTATCTGTTTCTATGGTAGAAGTCATTTTAATGAATTGGAACAAATTCGCAATTTTACACTTAATTTGGTAAAAAATTGTGAACGCCATTAGACCTACTATTATTTTCGCAACATTTGCAATTTGGTTAGTATGTAATGCTGAAGTATTTCATTAATTCTACGATTTCATTTTTTAAATAGTTTATTATTTTACTATCTATTTACTTAAAGCCATATTTTTGAATTTTTCGAGCAAAAATAGAGGTCGATGTTACCAATTTCAAAAACCTCTTTATTTTGTGTGTAGATTTTAGAATTTAGATGAATTTGGCTATTCTTTACTTTGCTCTCAGACTCCACATAACTTGACAAATGACCAGGCTAGTAAAAAAAAACATGAAATTGTCCCCTTGTATATATTTGTATTTTTACGGTATATTAGGATCACAACAGGGGTATTTAAAGATGAGAAAGAAAATGCCGCCAACAATCTAATCCTTAATTACCTATGGTCAGTCGCTTCAGCGAATCGGAAAAGCGCGAGATCAAATTTCGAGTGCGTGATGTTTGGTGATTCATGAATTAGTCCATGTTTCGTCCATTTTTATTGAATTGGGTATGCCGTCATAGAATATAATTTTATATGACGCAAAATTCGATTGAATTCATATACAAATGACGTCATAATTTACGAATAATGAAGGCGAACTGTTCCACGGCATTTGTTATATTTCAGATCAAAAGGGCTGTTATCCTGTTACTACGGCAACGTGTGACGTAATCTCTGATAGATTTTGCACAAATACAAATACTTTTGAATGCTGTGATGGAGATCTGTGCAATTTTGATGACCCGCTGCTGAACTGGGGTAAATTAATTTTCGAGTTGGAAAAGGGGAATTTTATGAATGAGCGCCATACATATCGCTATATATTAGTGAATATAGCATCATATAGAAGTCTTAGAAATATCTCTGGTCCTACTACACATGTACAGGGCACTAGGCACACTATGGAGTCGGGCAGTCCAGAGGTTATATTGCCCATGGGTAGACAAAGTTTATTTGTGAGGGCCTCATTCAGAAAAATCTCTATTTGCATTTTTTTTAAGGTTGTTTCACCTATTTATGGGTTTTTAGACATTCTAAGTAAAGGTATAAAATATATCTAACTTCTCTATGTAGGTATAAAAAACTTTCATAATTTTCTCCAGTAACAGGCGTCGCACAAAATCCTTTTGCGGGCGTTGTTTTACCATTTCGTGCGTTATTGCCTATGGATATGCGACTTATAATCGGTAGTTGTTGTTACTAATTAGATTATATTAGATATCCTGCTCTTTCAATATGGATTTAAACTTTTTACACGAATGGCGTTTGTTATTTCATAGCACCAAAGACACCCTCGAACATAATGCCAGTGGTAGGAACGAATTCCATCGTCTTATCCTGGGATCCAGTTTGTATTGGTGATTACACGTACGAAGTGGAGTACGCAGAAATGATCGGAAATGTTGTGCTGAGTTCATTGTACACGATGGCTTTCCAGAACAGTGTAAGTTCCTTTTATATTTTTTGGATTATTCGTCGGACCTGCAATAAGCAATGTAGCAAAATAATAATAAACAGGAGTACCCGTGAACAGCGCCGTTCAATATAAAATTACCGGATTTAATTAGACACGAAATGTCCTGTGGATGGTTTTCTTAAATTCTTGCTGTCTAAAATTTTTGTTACTTTCTTCCAAGTTTTATCTGAGACCTATCATCTTTTGTTTTAATTCATGGAAACACTTTATGCACCGCCATGCTTGTCCGCCGATCTTTTAGGCAAACTCGGTATTCAGTTAAGGCCGACAGTAACTTTACTAATGGGCGGCGTCTGAATTGAGCATTGGAATCTTTTGTACAAAGCCCCCGACACTAATGCAAAAATGTGCGATTTGGGAAAACAACCTTCTACGTTTTAAAATGAAAAATAAGTATTTATCAGGTTAGAGTTTGGGTTTGGAATGTGAAAATACCCTAACTGTTTTTTTTTATATTGAGCGGTGGCGGGGACTTTGTACAAAAGATCCGAGCATTGCCTCCTCTTTGCTTTGTTGATGAATTCCAATTTCTCTGCAGGCCGTTATCCAATCACTTTCGCCTGGAAAAAGCTACTCGATCAAAGTTCGTTCTGTGTGGTCTGGACTACAAAGTTTGCCCGCGAATATTGCTTTAGCAACTCATTCTGTAACGCCAACAGCACCAAGCGGTATTTATTCTGAATTTTCAATTGACTGTCTTCATCTAATATATATACTTAATGAAGTTGACACTTTAGTATCTTCATTTATTATCAATATATTTATATATATATATTTGTAGTTATTCTTTCAAGTTGATAAAAAAGCAAATGTAATGTATTGTACTATGCAATTCAAGAGTCTTGCTGCACACTAACACAAATGTACTTCTGTAACGTTTCGTCTGACCAAAATCAGACTTCGTCAGACAAGCAGTTTATAACAGTTTACTGTTAGTGTACAGCAGTAATCTTGAAGTGCATAGTATGGTCATGCTTATTTCTGCCACAGTATCCTTCCAATATACGCATATGGATACACTAGCACAAGGGCACGAGGAAGGATATGGAGTTAGTCTCGCGTAACCTCTACTGATAGTTGTAATGTATTGATCGCCAATTCATAAGGGTTTTTTGATATAACAATACAGGTTTTGGCGGAATGGAAGATCATGCTTAACACATATCTAAGCCTTGCTTTTATATGTATTAATGTTTTTAACTATATAATGTGAGGCATGTTGCTCTGTATATTTTGCAGATGTGACGACGATTTCTCCAATGGCATCCAGATGTTGGATAACTCCTAATTATCTTGATGCACCAAGCACTCTTGAAGTTTGTTCAAATGCAAATGATTTTTGTTTTTCCCGCGTGGAATATTTGGCTAACACTTCTGTTATGTAAGTACTGAATTTATATATACCGTGATATTGATGAAGCTTGGATTTTTTAGCGGGGGGGATTAGGTTAATACATTTGGACGAAGCAGAGACTTGTTTGTTTTTTGAAAGTTTAGGCTCCTAGGATTACTTTTTGTTTCGTGTCATGTCAGCGTGTAGTGAAAGGTGTTCTAATGGCGACACCGTTTGGCCCCCAATTAGCTCTCACAGAGGTATAGAATAATGACTATTCATTCTACAAACGGGCTTCATGGAAAGATACGGTTTTGAGCCAGTGTGCTTGGTGATGATTTTCCGGTGAAAATGCTTCTTATTACAACCATTCATTGCATACAGCCTTATTTCAAACTAATAGGTTATACCAAACAAAAAGAAATTTGGCTTATAGAACTTTACCAAACAGGGCACTTTGGAAGTTTTGCTTGCAACAATGTCCTTTATTTATATTTTTGATAGACTCGCATCGAGAGGTTGCATGACGCAGTCTAGATGCACAGAAGTTGAAAAAGAAAACAAAGAAACATGCTTACCGGGAAGCATTGGAAAATATTGTCATTTTTGTTGCAAAGGAATATATTGCAATACCGTGGCATGGACATCTTCTGGTAATACTGACTTATTTTCCGTGTTCAATTATGCGTGTGTACGGTGAATAAATAAAACCGGAAAATTATATGATTTCCTTTGTTGCAAAATGGCTTTTAGAATAAATCATAACCCAAAGGATTCAAACTTTTTGTCAGTCGGTTTCTTCACAAAAGTTCTATTTTTCAGCCGGTTCTGTTACAAACAGAACATTGCCAGTAACCAGTAATGCAAACTGGTTCGCTGATCTCATGAAATTCCGTAAGACGGTTCTATAGAACCGGCGCGAACCGGCTGAATCCCACCGCTGCATATACTTGATTAGAACGTAATGAAATATATATTCTTATTCATAGGTCTCACCTGTGAAAACATTCCAGTAGAAGGAAGATTGTTATGTGGCTGGAGTGGGATCAGCGTAGAAACATGCATGCAATTGGGATGTTGTTATCTTCCTTCAAATGACACAACAGCATGGTGTCACCATGGTAAATGTACGTGGAAAATTGTATATATCGGGAGGGCCTATTTGTATACAGATATAGTCTACACATATATTACCTTTAGAAGTGTAGCCAGATTTACTTGTTGGACTAAAAACATGACAACATTGGTTATGCTGTATCGGTTTATTTACTATGTAATACTAAATTTACTAATACAGATGGAATCATACGTTTAATTGTGAGTATGCTAACATAGCCATGTGCATAATCGTTAAGTCACACGGTGTTAGGATAATGAGAATTAATAAAATGAATAATAAGAGACCAATACTCAAATATGGGCACGAAAGTAAATTGTCATATAAGGGTTTTCTCGTGTCATATAAATTTGTTTTCATGGATTAAATTTTTGTTGTGGATTAACGGGTTTCTTATGACTCGGAGGAAAATTAAAATGAATAGCCTGGCCCTCGCCCATAGCGGCTCCGATCATCTATTTTTTCTTGAAAATAAATTTGAATTCAACTGGTACATTAGTTGTGGAAAAAAGTGCTTCTTTCACAACGACAATCTCCAAAACAAGATATAAGCAAAATGTTAAACATGCACATACCTTGTTCAGTAATTGGCTCGATAGTCAATATACAGGGTATCCATAAAGTCCCTTTACAATTTCAATTTTGCTATGCAGTCAGTTCTCAATATATCTCAACCAGATTTTTTTTTATTCAGTAATTGTTTGGGTATTTTAACTTCATTTAATACATCTGTCAGGGCCAAAACAATATAAGGTATCGATAAATTCTTTTTGCCATTTAAAAATTGTTAAGACTTCGTGGACACCCAATATATTGTTGAAAAATAAGATAAATTTTGTATTTTAGATCCCGGTGGAGATGACGGTGGGCCGAACGTTGCAGGGCTTGCTATTAGTGTTTGGTTGATTATTTTGATTGTGATAATTATTTTAATTATCATTCTCATCATAGTTATTGTTACGTACTGCTGTATTAAAAGGAAACGAGAGCGAGCGAAAGGATCTTACGACGTGTACGCGGTAAGCACATTGTAAACAAAATTGAAGCAAGTTTTGACAGGAGAATTTCGCTATAATAATGAAGTTTGAATTTCACCTACACTTTTTCCTCGAGTCGTCTATCTATACTACTGCATATACTATACTGCTTCTCCGAGTTACCAAGATGTGTCTACGATTTCATTTTGAGGTTCCAAAAAGGCGGGAAGATAGAGAACTGAGAATCAGCACAGTTGCAAGACAAGTTTACGACAGGACTGTCATTGAAGATTGACATTGGAAACTGCATCGATTATCGAAACGACGTTTGCGGTACAGAATATACCACAATATCTGTGTCAAATGTACATTCGAAATTCTCCTTGATGGCAAAATAAGAGGATAAATAATCCAATGAGAAACGTACACCGCGACCTTTTCAACGCCAAATTCGAACTCATCGCTAGGCAATCAAACGAACATGGATTTGCATAAAATTGATCTTAACTATTGCTCCATTTTTACTTTAATAATTGTAGCTTTTACTATTTTCCCAAACTTTATATTATTTGCACTGATAGCAATAAACTTGATTTTGTATCCATCAAACGTACAGCTTATTGCAAAAAGACCGCGCTTTCTGCGCCGTGTTTCGGCCACCCGTAGCACACCGCATTCCTCACGAATATTTTATAAAATTATACGGAACTTGCAATTTACTGAGTAACTTGAAAGCAGTTTTTATAAAAGATTTTGACGATTGAACTATTCCACACTAAAAGTCACCAAAAATTGCCCCAATAACGTCAACCCTTATAAACACTGTCCTGTTAAGGCAAGTTTGTAGGCTCAAGATAATTGTTGTTGTTGGCTAACTAATCCAATACCCGACACGGACTCTCCCCGTGATAAATAACTACAAGAGATTAAGTCTTCTCTAAATGTTTCTAAAAACCAAACTGACTTACTTGATTGTGACGCGTCAAGCCGAAGCAATTGACTTTATTACCCACTCAAATGAATAGCTTGGAGCAATCCTCTTGAGCGTCAGAAATACGCTCGCCGCTGATTACCCCGCGTGTGTTCGCATCCCATGGAGGCAGAATTATGTGCGAGAGGATCGCTGGACTCCTCGCCGCCGTAGCTCCCCGCCACCGCCAATGGACTGGTAACCGGACGAAGAGCCGTGGTTCGCCATGTGATGAGGGTCGTCTCGTATCGTCTTTCCTTCCCTTGGTTAACTATACAAATCCAATCCTAGCCGATTCAATTAACTAAACTCTGGTGCCACCGAAGAGGTTTTCGGTATAGGGGAGAGTTACAACAGATTACCAATAGCGGCCCCAAGATCAATAAAGCAACGATCCCGATGGCTAAAACGACTATCTTTCAATCAAATCCGCATTTCCACAAGATGATTTTATTATCAATTCAACAACCATACAAAATTAGCTAAATTTGAAAGACAATAGGTAGGAATTCATGATCCAAGGGCTCGATTTGATAAAGATCACACATGGAGCTATCATAAATGAATATACTGATGAAATCGACATGAATGAGCATTCAATTCCATGAGATGTGAGTGATATAGAATTTTAAGTATACGTGCAGTAGACAAGAAAAATAGGCAACTTAAAAGACAATTGCCTCTGGTACTGTTACCAGTTTAGATTAGGTATGAGATTAGTTAGCCATGTCCTGATTTTTGTTCAGAGGTTTAGGTAGTGGTTAGCTTATACATTCAGCTTGCATTCAAAATAATTGTCAGAAGTTGAGGCTGGCTGAAACATATATAGATAAAACCAACCAATAAATTTAAATTTTTGTGTGGTTATTGAACAAAAATTTTCTCAATAAAATGACTGATAATTAGACGCTGCTGATAATCTGTGCCAGGGTGGTCCACATGTGGCCCGCCGCTTCATTATCTGTGGCCCGCATCACGTTCGGAGAGGAATCAAAAAATCTTTTGACATAATGTTGCATGACTAATGTCACTGAATTGACTAGTGTTATGGCTTGCTGAGACAACTAGCGAAGTCAAACGAGTGAAGTTTTTGGCACTATTGTGACCCGCAAACAATGCAAAAGTAATTTTGTGGCCCGCGGAGCTGCCAATCTTGGACCACTCTGATCTATGCAGTATCTCAACCTCATTAAGATAAATGAATCAGAATATTTCTCTTGTGATTGAAAACAATAAAACAAATGTATTACAAACAAAGGTAAACCAGTAACATTAACAATAAGTGAAATTGATATAGAATGAGGCGAATTATCATCATTAGCACAAGAGTGTGCCTACGACATCGCTCTCGTTTAAAACTCAAAATGATTTGAGAACGTAATGATATAGATAAGCTGTTAGTTTAAAATAGTTAATCTAGATGTCATATATTTGGATAATTGGTTTTCAACCATGGTACAGCATAACCCTAAGTTCCGTTATTACAGTCAAGGGGTTCCGAAAGTTTACATTGTTTAGATATAATTAAATACCTTTCTCACTATTAATAAACTTTCTACACTTTAAAGATCATTTTGTTTTGCCAGTATTAGATTTGCTTATATATATATTTAGGTGCTCCCGAAGCATGCGAACCAAGATGGCGGACATCGGAACGTAACATGGGTAACAGGTTAGGGTTAGGCGATAATTCCTTTCCAATTTTCCTTATTTTAGTCCTATTATCAGTTCGAAGACTAGCCAAGAGCCTCCCGTTGTATTTTTACCTAAAATTATGGCCTAACCCTAACCTAGTAAACATTACATTCCGATGTCCGCCATCTTGGTTCGCATACTTCGGGAGCCCCTATATTTATAGTTTATAAAATTCAGGTAATAAAGACAATGAAACTGTTGCACAGGGGTTCCTCAAGCCTCTGATATGTTTCATTGGAGTTCCACTCTACCACTGAGATTAGGTATGTAGTATTGTTAGGTCATCAAGGTAATCCCAGGTAAGTATTCATACTAGATTGGCGTTGAAATTATTTGTTACCATTTGGCATCCACTCCCTAATACAATAATGAAGGAATCAAAAAAGTTTTGACAAACGGTTGACACTGTTAAACGGTAAAAGTCGCAGCTTAATTTGTAGGTGAATTGCACATTGTATTAATACAAAAATTTTGATTTCTTCACATATCACACACACATCAGAAACAAACACAAGCACATAAAAAAAACTTCACGTAAGATATTAAATATAACGAAATCATGTACAAAATCACTTATTTCAATCAATTTCGGATTAGGGGTTAAAACTCATAAACTAAGATAAATATCTATTCATCTATATAACTAAAAAGTTTGTTATAGCTATTTGGTGATTTTCATGTTTTTCAAAATTGTTCTATATGTTTTTATTGAATTTTTTTACCCCCTTTTTTGCTGTCGTGGAAATAATAATAATTCGTAATTAGATGCAACTGCATTTACTAAGTATTATTCACTAATCTGAATCAGCGTTGTATGTGTCGCTGCTTGAAGGCCTTCCGTGGTCCCTCGCGATTCTTTTCACAAAATTAAAGTTTCGATAGTTGGTCTTTTTTTTGATATTTGCCATATTTTACGTGCATTTATATTGTATTGACAAATTAATGATGATTGATTTATCATTGCAATTGGAAGTCAAATGTATTCACTGTACAAGGCAATTACCGTAACAAATTTTCATCCAGTAAAATTCCCACTTTTTGTTCAAATATCATCCCCTACACATACTTAAAATGAATGTAAAATGCAATCAAACACTCGAAATGAATACTTATATGATAAAATAATGCAACAATATGTCATGAAAAAAAATCAAGAAAAATCTTAAAATGTGGATAAAGTAGGAAAAATGCTGACAACCAATGGAGCATGGAACGAGTACTCTATAGATAAAATATGATCACACAAGTAAAATACATACATGCAGACAGCCCTGACCCTTGGTGGAGACCATCAATATTTTTTTTACCATTGAATGCTATCGTATGCCTAATGATCTTCTGCTACGCTAGATATACAATCTTGAATAGACTAGGCTTTATTCTTGCTTGGGTCTTGTCCATAAAATTAACGTTTGTGGCGATCGATAAAGGAAGATAAGTTTTGCATATAAATCTTCTTCCAATTGAAATTGGTGTTCTTCTCGAACTAGGAAAATATCCAGACATAACTGAAGTATTCTGTCGACTCGAGGTAACTCTCTGCAAGAAAAAGACAATTAAAAAAAACAGTTCAGAAGACGTGAAATGCCACTTGTATATTGGTCAAAACATATCATTGCCATCCAAGAACTGATTACTTCGAGACAATAATGGTGCAGACAGTAGTTATTGATATTTTTTTGCTTGATAACATAAATACAGTAGAAGCAAGGGTACCATTGTTTGAGACAACTAACTAATAGTAGTACATACTGCGTTATCCTTGAATTTAGTTTAAAAAAAGGCCATTAAAATGATAGGAGAGCCATATAAATGAGGAAAAAAAACTTACTGGAACATAATGGTACTTGTACTTCCAACCAACGCTCCACGAACCAGTTTTCCAACAACAAGTACAATTGAAACGTAGAGACCAATTATACTGAAAACAAAATAACATACTTGTTGTGAAAGAATGATATAGATTATTATTGGCACTCAAATGCTGATAAATCTACAACTGCATCACTGTATATGGAGTATAGACTTTATCCGTTTTATAATACCGTTTTTTGCTGATTTTTTTGAGAAGAACTACAAATTTTATGTAGTTTTTAATGGTTATTTACTTTCCGTTTTCAAGGTGTTATTGTGAAGTCATTGAAACAAGTTGCACAAATAGTAAATACCGTATGTATTTCAATTTTCAAGATATAATTGTATTTTAATATTTTTGGTGCTGCAAGTGAAATTTTCCATAAAAATAACTGAAATTCAACTCAAATTTTTTTCAGTCAATCACACGATAAAGGTTATTAAAGAGAAATACCTAAATTTTTAAAAACAAGGTGTTACGAATTGAAAAATTGAGTTTTCTTGAAGTTTCTGACGCTAAGAATCTTACCCATAACTAACAAGGAAGCTCAAGCTAGCCGGTGAGACTTTATCACTAAATACCACTAATTCAAACTGTGGTTTAGTTGAATTCTTTGCATCAGGTTTTACTTCCACAACTCTCCACCATGACGTGAGGTTGTCTGTAGGAGCATATTGAATTGAAAGATCTGTGTCAACATATTTCTCTGAAGAATCTGAAAATTGAGAGGTCAATTTTAATACCAATTGGTTAAGGTTGCGGCAAGCGCTTATTACTGAACCAAGAATGTTTCAAGATGGTTGAAGCTAGTCCATCATGATAAATTAGTCCTGGTTTGTGGTTTGTCTAAGCATTTTAGCTATTGTTAATTAAGTTCAAATGTATATTTAATAAATGTCCAGAACAATACCCAAAGTGACCTATAAGCAACACTAACTGCATTGTGCACCAGACTCCAGAGAGCACATAATCAGTCACCTGTAACTGATGACATCACAGGTCATGCTCAGCCATTCGGGAAATGCTAGTTGCCAGAAATACAATAATAAAACAGTTAACAGTTACAACGAAGCTGTCCGACACAACTATATCTTATCCAGCGTATTTATATGCGTTTACTCTAAACAAGGCTCTGCACCTTATGATAATAAGTGGAACCTACTTGTTGAATACAACTTAGAAGCTGCTGTCGAGATAGACTTTGGACCGGAATAAACATATCTCGGAAACAATTCTTTTATTGTTCTGTAAATAAATGAATATGAATTATGGCAATTTATAAAAAAAGTTGGGTGCTCCTGAAGTATGAGCACCAAGATGTCGCATAACCTGAACCCTAACCTGGTACACATCCTGAGTTCAGGTTGTGCGCCATCTTGGTGCGCATACTTCAGAAGGTCCAAAAATTGTTCCCAATCGTATTTTACATTTGTTTGAATCAAGTTTCATATCCACAACTTAATCTTGCTTATTAGATATCCCAGGTATATAAAGTCGCACAACCTGTCCAATATAGCCTCTTGTCAATACTGACCAAAACCAAGCGAAATTCGTAATTGTTCAAATTCAAAGTTGTTTTTCAACAATTGGAAAAATAGTAACTGAATTTTTTTATTGTAATATTATCATTTTCCCAGTGAAATTGCAAACAAATTATATTAACCGCAACATAGATTTTGTTGGGATATTCGAAATCCAAATTCAGTGCAGGGGAATAAAGCATAATCGTAGAATACGAAACTATCTAGATAATGCATCATACATAATTGTGCGGAAATAAACATTCTTTCAGATAATAATTTCAGTTAAAATACTTACGCTGGAGTTCCTATCTGACCAGATGATTTCAATAACTCATAAAGCTGAGATCTTGCTGTGTCGTTTTTTGACAAAAATATTCTATTTGATCCTGATGTTGTAACCACAGAAGTCTTCTCAGAATTTCTGTAAAAATTGTCAAATATCATATTGTTGCTTTCACCTACATGCTCAGTTGAGGACCAGAATTTTCTCAGGCAAAATGTTTACTTAAGAGTGCGGACCGACTGGAGGTACGTACAGTAAGAGGGACAATATAATTCAATTTACCGTGATTCAAAAGGAATATACTGAATACATACATAAAATGATATTAGGGATCAATCATTACGGCGTTTCGCATTCAGTAAAATGGTATTACTTCAAACAATATGTAACATTTAAAAACAGATTAATTGTGAAAAGGGATCTACCTATGAACAGGTCGAAATGAAAAGGGTGGTGTAGTATTATTACAGACAAACTTTTGCGTATGTTAATATGTGGTATAACAGGAGAGTGCTGGTGAAGAAAGAATAGTTGCAAGGAAATTTCTCAGAATCTTTTATATGTAAGAAATATGACATTACAGGCCGAATCATATGTAACTCTGCATGGCAGGTTACGCGTCTCGGGCAATCTGCATTATTTCAAATTTCTGCATAACAGATTCTGGAAAGATTCCACCACTTCCAAAAATAGTAACTCCATACAAATCGGCCGCTTTTCAGGGCCTTGTTCAGAGCAAAACATACATAAAAGAATTGTATAAAATAACTTGAACCAAATAAACACTCAGTGAGACTCCAAATATAACATGACACATTAAAACAAAACATCAGACCTAGTTTTCACAATTTCGAAAAAATTCTAGTAGGCTACCTGATAATATGCCATTCAAAATCAACTTGAACTGGGTAATGATTATTTTGGCTCAGTCTGTCTAATAACTGTTGTTGTTGAGGTGGACTTATTGCCCAAACTGTCTTGGATTCTCCATCAATTGTTACAGATACAACTTGAGATGCAGAATACGTTGATAGGAACAATGCAGCAGACTGAATAAAAAATTGGAATGATGAAAAATGTCATTGAATTAAAATAAGAAAAAAATAGATAAACAAAAATTAGAATATTCATATTCATGTATAGCTGAAAAGTATTCCAGTATTTCAAGTATATAAACATATCACATGATTTTTGTGGTCAGTTGTAGTAGACTATTGTTTAGTATTACGGACTAAATTGGCATGGAATTTAGAGATCTCTCCAGGGACTACCTCACATATACATAATTTAGTAGGCAATGCTAAACAAGAAAAGCAATATTCATTTCAAATTGTAATAAATTGGGTAGGCAATGCAGACCCGAAAAGATTCCATTCCTTTCGAAGTGTAGTCAAAGAAGCCCCTTACATTTCAGCAGCTGCTTGTATAAAGTCTTGTTCAGAGTGAAAAGAGTAGAATATGTCATAAAAAAATGTATGCTTGAGTGTTTGCTTATAAAAAGCTTTGAAAGAAAAGGATCCCAGGAGTCCCAGGTAGGCTTGCACGTAATTGACAAAAACCAATTCCGTAATTACGGCAAAATCAATTACGTAATGACCCCGTAATTGCGATATTTTTCCACACATTTAAACCTATCGTAACAACCAATTGAATCCACTTTTTTTCCGAATGGGACATTGAAGTTGGGTTTTCCTATTCTTGGCAGTACTACACGCCGGCGGCAGATGTTAAAGACAACTATCAAGGAGTGAATTCAAATTAATTTTATTCTGATTTTTATCTTTTGTGTTAGCTTTGGTTTTTCTTTATCACCTTCGCAAATTAACCGTCCCATTTTTGTGCGATCAATTTTATTTTATCATTACCGACACTGGTATAGGGATATTTATGGAAACGATAGTTTTTTAAAACCACCTGAGTACTGAATAAAAATTACGGGTTTCTAATTTATTAACCAACGACGAGCGTATTTTCTCATTTGATTATACTTGCGATTTCCTCGCGACGAAGACTTGTTTTTGCAGCGTTTTCTGCATTATCCGACATTACTGCCTTGTTAGCATTTTTATAATAATAATTATTGATGTCGACTTATTGACGATATTCCTATTACCATGCTTCATTTTACATTCAATCATTTCGCGGACTGAATGTTTAGAACATTATTTGCGATAAATTTAGATCAAATATTATTTATTTGCGTATAATTTAAATACCGAACTTATATGACATGCCTTCTCCGAAAATACAAAGTTATATCGCAAAACAATGCATTTTGTGACATTTATTTTACACTCACAACATTTATTTGCTAACTCAAGTCGGCGATCCTATCGGCCAAGATTGACAAAAGTTTGGTCGAGTGCCGGTGGTATTCAAGTCGACGATAAATCAAAATAAGTTGCCGCATTTGGTAAGACAGTTAATCATATATGGCCGAAATATTGAGAGGAATTGTGAAAAACATCATGAGCAAGGCCAAGTCTGGACTGATATATAACGATAAAACCGTTAACAGAACATCAAGATTTTGTAATAGAAAATGGATCTCGCACAGAATAAACACACAGGCTCATATTCGATTATATATGATAGCAGTTAAATTTTCAACGGTCCGCGAGGAATCCGTCGTTTTGGTTCATTACGCAATCTCTCTTTTGTCGTCATGTTGCTATTTGATAAGCGCGACATTAATTATCACGGCGAGGTATTGGCGCGAGTGATCAATCGCTCTTTTCGCTTATTTGGTTCCAATTCGTCGCGAAATAAAGAATGGTTAAGCATTGCTAATCCACACTTGGTGGGGAATTCCCACTATTCAAACGCGTGACTATAAAATAGAAACGGAACATATATACCATAAGTAACGGAAAACTGGAACAAGTAAATAATAAATAAAAGTAAAATGGATACAAATGTTTGATAGACCATGTTTGATAGATTGATCTCCTGCGTTCATTAGTCATTTCACCCGAAGAAGTTGAAACCGGGCGTGTTAGCGTCCATCTATCTTAACACAATTCTTCCCCCTATCTACGGTTATTATGTACATTGGCCGTGGCCATTCTAGATAAGATGCGAGAGAAGTTGAAACCAGGTGTGTTGGCGTCAATCGGTCTCAACGCAATTTTATCCCTTATCTACGGTTAAGTTGCGGGAGAAGTTAAAACCAGGTGTGTTGGCGTCAAACGGCCCTACTCAGTTCTTCCCCCATTAACTACGTTAATAATTTACATTGGCCACGCCAGATAAGTTGATAATAGGTTAGTAAATGGCAACGCGTCATGCCTTCCTTCACCTACGTAACAAGACAGAGAAAAACGCCTGCGAATACCGGAACTCTAACTTCTTCTACTTGTTGAGCTTTCATTTTCGCAATCGACGAAATTGACTGCTTTGAAGAAAGCTCATTTCAATGCAATAATTACGACTTTACGTAATTTGTAACTTCCCTTCCGTAACTCCAAATAATTACGTAATTACGTAAATCCGTAAATTACGTGCAAGCCTAGTCCCAGGAGAAGGAATCATTGAAATAAATCTTACATCAACCCTGTTTCCTATGAATGTCCCAAAGATTGCTTCTCTACTACAGCACAGCACAAAAAATGATGATGCTGATCTATTAAGTGAGTGATTCTCAACTGCCTGTACCACTTAAGTGTTTTTTACTCTGTACCACAGGTTGAGTTCTGTACTATGTCAATTGAAATTAAACAAAGGAAGTTACTTACTGGATTATCAGCATGTTTATGCGCAAACTCATTGAATTCATCATTACTCCACACACGAATCGCATCAGAATCAGCAATAACTTGGAATAACGGCTGAAACATTATTCAATATATTGATTGCAGTATAAATGCGAATATCAATACACTTATGAGTAAGTGTTAGGTAAATGAAAAAGTCAGCACACAAGGAGTAAAAAACTTTGATTTAGTAATCCGAACAAACAACTGAAAGAATTCAAAAATGCCAAATTCAAGACTACGGTATTCCTTTTTAGAAACCAATGAAAGAATGAACAGAAGTTACATATTCCACATCGGAGATTATTGTATCCAATAGGAAAAATGATAGGACAGCATCTGGTTACCAGCTCAGAGGTGACCAATGAGAGCAAAAAAAAAATTTTAATTTAACATTCCAGATCGAGTTGTAGAACTCATGACTTGAATTCACAGCAAATACCAAAACAGATATGACGTAACACAATTTTTTTTGCTTAGAAAAATTGCTATGAATTTTGATTCAAATACTGCTAATATCAAATTATATTTGACTGAAAACTTCATATCCATTAAATCAAAAACACTAACCTCGAAAGTTCCGACCGTAATCTGGATCGACACTTGTTCTGGGTTATTAGTGAGTCCTCCAATAGTAAGAACAATATTCATGAATAATAATGGAAACCAAATGATTGCAATCAGGAAAAAAACGAGTAATCCACCAACTAAATACTTGATTAATTTTGATTTTGGAGTCGTTCGAGGTGAAGGATAATTCTGTTAAAAGATTTATTAGTTGGTGTTAAAGTAAAATGATAGCAAATTACAGAATGGTAGGTCTCATCTAAGTAATAACATCACTGATAAAAGAATTGAATGAACAGTCCATACCCTACAGTTATATATAGATTTATCATTACAATTATGGATGTTTATAAATGTTCATTAAGAAAGACTCAAAGCAAAACAAGTCTAGGCTGCGGGATGAACACATAAGGGGAAACATCTTCACATAGTTCTGAAAATAAGTTGATGTACGATTTCGTAGAAATGTGAGAACATTATGTATGGAATGAACTTTTACTGGGTTGTTGAGGACGTATGGTATATCATTCTAAAGCCAATTCAATATAAAAATATAAATGAACCAGTTTGTCTCAACTGACAAAATAAAAAGTTGACATCTATATCTTGCATAAAAATCTATTTAAAGAATTTATGATCTTTTTTTTGAACATTCTTGTACAAAAGATTCAACAAAAAACCACTACCGTGGCTAAGAATGAAAAATCAGATTGCTGTAGCTTTTGTTTTAATTTATAATGTGATGCTTGTTCGCAGTCCACTCTCACGATAAAGAGATAAATAGCGAAAACCACATTCTGCACAAATACAGTCAGATATTTTTAAATTGGTTAAAAGTTTCACTACAAACCTTTTCAAAGACTCTCCAACATTTAAGTTCGAATACTTCAGCATAAATTGATTGAAATTTAAACCATTCTCCAATTCCCATTGTAGTTTCTATGAACATCCAATCCATAACTGCAGTCAATTCAGCTAAGAATGGTATCATGCGATATCTGGAAAATTTAAGTTAACATAATTTTAAATCACAATTTACACAAGATGTCCATTTTGCAGACGGGATTTACCGAGATAATGTTATATAAATTTAGAACAATGAAACCATTTTTCAAATTATATTATCGATAACATGAAAGTATTTTGCGTCTTCCTATTAACTTTACCAAAATTGGTTTGAACTTTTAAAACTTTAGCAACTGACATTCTTAGAAAAGCAACTCCCATTTTTACTCCATATAACTCAACAGGATGAATAAAAACGGGCAAGGTTCTTGGACCAGGGGCAAAAAGCTTTGACCACCTAGACTGCCGGGCCATGTAAGCGTGACATAAAGTTACATTTTATGGACAATATTCAGTGTTACAAAAGCAAAAGTGGAAATTAATAAGCTTCATGCTAAAACTAGATGTAATTGCAATCTTAACAAATTCCTTGAGCTATAATTTTAATTACCGGTAAAACAAATTTGGTTTTAGTTCAGTTGTGGCACATCAGGCGGGCCAGATTGAATTACCCAACAGGCCGGATTTGGCCCGTATGCGGTAGTTTGCCCATGTCATTTATAGCCTATGCAAGTTTTTGAAAATTGGGTACCGTAAATGTTAAAAGCCTGTAGTTATATTCACGTTTTCTATTATATGTGCAACTAAGTAACTCACCCTTTGAATAAGAAGAGGTTTGCTGTTCCATATGCCTTGGTTAAGAAATTTCCCAGAACTCTGGTAGGATATCCACATCTTATTTGATAAGCAGATAAAAGGAAATAAACTGCCTTGAAGAAATACCAGGTCTGTGCTACACCGTTCATATAAAATGGTCTGAAATACGCAATTTGGTTAAAAAAATAGGATTGCATGTTCATTTTGACGAAAAGGGAAGAAGATTTTTGCATGGTTGAGTTATATAGAACAATATGCTAGCAGTTAAGCAACCTGTTTGTTCTTAAGATGCAGTACTTCAACTCCATCACCAGCCCATATATGGCCACGGATAATAAGTATGATAAGTTATACAACTCCACCCACCTTTCATTGATATATGGTAAGAGGAAAAACATCCACACATGAACTCCTATAACCAGACAAACTTGGAAGATTAATTTTCCTGTGAGATTCTTCCTCAAGTAGAGTGCTCGATCAATGAACATCATTCCAAACTGAAACAGAGATGAAGAAAATCATTGGACCCATTTTCGCAAGAGAGGGCTTAAAAAATTGATGGCATGAATGCCCAAAACCATGCCATGCTCAACATAGAACATATCCAAGTCAATGTAAATTGAATGCGTTTAAGATGCAGGAAATGACGATACACAGTTTTTGATATATTTTCCTCCATTTTAAATTTTTAAAAAATTAAAAGAAATTGCTTTTTTGATCTTTCTGTGAGACTTCAATTTCTCAAAACGATAATTTATAGAGTAAAACAAGTCTAAATTATCCTTAAAATAAAGAATATGTCTAATCGTTGAATCAATTCGAATATTCGTTTTGTTTTGGACCATGCATGGATGTTGAGTTGATACTATTTGTAATCTTAATCTGGATAAACACTCATTTTTAAAATACATAAATATAATAAAAAAAGCACAAATGCCATTTTATATATGATTTACATTTGAAAATATTAGCAATTGTTACACATAAATGGTTGGTTGTAATTCACAAGTAGATTATTTTTACGTTCTTGTATACCTGAATCAACAGCATAACAAGGAATCCAGTTGGAACTTTATTCGAAGAAATGTTTGAAACAACGTCACTTGCTTCAGTGGCATATTTCTGAAAATAAGATCAGTAATATAGTACATGAGGAAAAAGGAATTTTGTTCAGCAATACAGACTTATAGTGGTTGAAGAAAATTTTCCAGTTTTACTAGTTAAGATTTTGAGTGGTTGAATATTAATACAAAGCGTTTCGTCATGATTGCTAACGTAAAATTAGAACGCTGCCACCAATTACGTTCATGCATCTAGAATTTGGGCTTGTTAGTTATTCCCAAACTTGATCGGACTAAAAAAAGTAGCAATTGGACAAGAAGCTTGCGTTGCAATTCTCCAATCTTATGGACCAGAGCTTTCCAAACTTTTTAGGCGGCAGAATACTATTTGTGAATCTTAGTTTCAACGGATCCCCATCCTATGCTGTACCTTTTCATTGAAATCGATTATCGATCAGACTCCTCATATGGTTGCGGACCACCAGTTTGGAAAACCCTGCTACAACTATTTTCTCTTGCGAGATAAATAGGAAAATCCTCTTCTACAGACAGAAACTTGATATACTCATAATGATAAGAGAAATAAATCAACTAATCACAATAAACAACTTCAACTTACACCAAATGCCCAATATCCAAATATAATGATGATAAAGTTGATGACATCACATAAGAATATGTAAATATAAACATCTGTAACGGCACTGAATTCTTGTGTCAGGATACGACGATAGAAACGGTAGGGAGACGTACAAGCTTTCTTAAATCTAAAAATCAGATTTTTTTTAGTATTTCCTCGAAGCAAGGTCAATATAAACTAGATATGTGATGGTGATGACTGTATATATGGAAATACAATGAATATAACAATATTGTTAAACAAGATTAATAAATGCATGGCTCGTAAGTCTAAAACAATATATTTTTTCTATTTTTACAAACATTCATGAAAAATTTTGGTTATACTTAATCGGTTGATTCTTATAGTTGTGGGTAATAATAAGCATATATGGCATCTCAACTAAGATAGCAAAAATATATTAACGCTGTCACAGTGACAACTATGTTCATTTACTGTAATCACAAAGCAAATTATGAAATTCAATCAGTAATACTAATATTTTATCAGGCATAATATTTTTTCAATGTCAATTTTTATATTTATATAATTATTCAAAAGACATTTCAAAAGTTTGTATTATAAAGACTGTTTTGGGCAACATTAAATTTTAAAAATCAAAATAAAAATTTTTTTCCTCTCAGAACAGCAATCTGGTCAATCAAAGTTTCTTTTCTCATCATGAATTAAACACAAATTTTAAATCACTAATTCACATATAATCACAGAATTTAGACATAGTTCAAAAACTGATACGCCATCTCAAAATCAGTTAATGATTCTGTACTGCACAGATAAGGTAAATTTGGATTACGTCTTTCTCATAAACTGCAATTTCAGTTAGAGGTAAAAAGGTAAAATTGACAGAAATCGTCTATCTTATGTCATTTACAGTGCTTGCTGAAATCATAGGTATTTCTATCACATTACAAATATTCTTTTAAGAAATAAATTTTATCAAAAGGAATTCTTTGATCATACATTATTCTCGATTCAAAAATCGATATATCGGCTACCAGTAATATAGAACTCTGGTTAGGTATGGAATTTTGTCATTTTAGTTTCATTCCCGTAGGAAGCAGCAGTATTGAAAAATGGTAGATTTGAGGCACAAAATTAATTTTAGATTGTTGGACTTTAGAATTATTCGATCAATTGTAAAAGCAGAAAAAAGACTGGTTCCTTCTCCTTTTTAGATATAAATATCTCCGAAAAAGCAATTACTTTCATAGTTTTCAACTTTTCCATGGACTACTTGTTGCCTGTATGTTTATACCAAATTTATGAGAAAAATCGTGAGAATTTATATTAGGTGGATTTCAGCTAGCTCCTAATCACTGAAACCAATACCTTTGTGTTTATATACTTGCACATTGCTATATCAAGCACATACTTATATCGGAAGATGATGAAAATTAGGAAAATAATGTATCTTCATTGTAGATAGGGGTCATTTGTTAGGATGTTTATTGTATAACATTTGCGACCTATTCGCAAAATAATACATTTTCATTCACATTATTGACAAAATTATTCCAGCATAATTACTGAGCGAAACATGGTTTAATTTTCACACAAATAAAAAAACTATTATCTTACAACTGTACAGATTTTTCTTTGAGCCTAGAACACAGATTCACATTAACATAAAAACCATCAAGGCGTAAATTTATGCTGTTTCACATAAACAGCCTTATGTGTTGTTTCAGATCTTCATTCTGTTCAAGGCTCTGGACAAGCGATATCAGATTTGCAGTTATTACCATACTTAGAATACCAGAAATATTTTCTGTCAGGCATAGCTTTTCAATTTCTATGTGTCGCGAATGTGATTAAAAACATGGGATCTACAACCAGTAATGACAACAGGTCAGGTACAATGCACCAACACAGCGTTTCTCAAACTTTTATGATAAGTAGCCACCTTCCTAAATGCTATCAGCACTTGTGGCCTGTTCTTCTTTTTTAAAGTTTTTCCCTAGTTTTGCTTTCAAAGCATTTCCATCAGCTATTTTATGAACCATGTTAAATAACACAAAAGTCAATAAAAGCATCACAGTCAAAAAATCAAACTAATCCCAGTCAATTTACTTACAATTTTTTTCGGTACCTGCTGAAGACCTTTGCTCATGGCCTAAAAAAAACGCTCCCGTAGCCCCTTAGGAGCCCATTTAAAAAACTGATTCAGGCTATAAACTTATATTCGTATATTTCTGAAACAAACCTATCAAGTTTGGAAGTTTCCTCTTCTGCGTTCGGCTTTTGTTGAGAAGCAACATCTCCTCCCTCTTTATCAGTTGTATGTTCTTTGGAGGTAGATTGTTGTGCTCCTTTAATGGCAAGAGGTTCACCTTTCTTTACCCCACCTAATAGATTAAAAAACAAAAAAAATAAAAATATTTTCAATAAATTTACAGCAATAAAAACAATGAGGTCGTATTTGTAATGAATTGGCCAGGTTGTAAACTCAGCCCCTATAAAGTGCAATGTGAGTTATGCGCCACAAAATAATGTCCAAAAGTCATCATATCAATCTTATATATTCTATTCCATGAAAACCAAGTGGTAATTTAATGGGACAAATGATACATACTGAATTTGCCTGGTTTAATAAGATTTTTTTTTGTACAGTACAGTATATATCTCAAAAATGAAACAGTTTTCAGTGCAAAATTTGAATTTTCTATGAAGATTCCAATATGTCTATCATACTGTAATAACTATATCAACTGTAGTTGGTAGCAGATAGCTAATCAGTAGTTGAATAATGGGTATTCTTGTAGTGTGTGTACCAGGTCGGGGGTTGATAGGCCATAATTTTATTCCGAATTTCTATATTTTTAGTTCTATTACGAGTTCAGGGACTGTCTGTGTTAGTCAAGCGAATATACCCCCTGCCCATAGATTTCAGTCACTTTATACAACTTGATGTAATGTAGGCGAACAAAATTAGTGGCCTCCATATTGGTACACAGACTTCGCCAAATTTTGTTTGTCCTAAATTCTGATATAAGTTTACCTTTAGATTCTTGTTGTCCATCTTCAATTTCTTCTCCATTTTCCGATTTATTTTTATCAACTTTATTCCACAACCCATGAACCTAGATTATGGATATTTCATCAATTATGAATGATATAATGTAAAAAGATGCTCAACTAAAACTGAAAATCTAAAATCTGTTGTAATACGAGTAGTTTATTCGTATTCAAGGAAGAATTTATAAAAAGAAATTGATTTATATTGTCCTGGTTTCGAATACTTGATTATATTATAGATGTCAGCCAGCAGTTACGTGAGCCACCATACAGCAGCAAGGAGTCCAGAAGAATCCTCTCGAACATAATTATCTCCACGGGATACGAACTTGCGTAAATGGCAAGCAAACACTTATATGGGAGCAATATCCCCATTAACACAATCACATCAAATAAGTACTTCAAAAATTTGAATCAAAAAGAATTTAAAATATATATTATAATAAAATAATACCGTAGCAAGAAAATCAATAAAAGCAACACTGAAGTCAAATTTCACAAAAAAACAATATCTCAAGCTCGACAAACTCTTACCGGTACCAGTAAATATAAGCAGACAAACATACCTTTAAAATAGATCTGTGGAAGAAGAAAGCCAGTAGTTGTGCAAGATCTAATGCACTCCATCTTAGTTTTTGTTCAATTCCGATAATCCTCGGCCACCAGAAAGGATTATAGGTTTGAAGATTTGATTCATTGTCAGCATTCCACGGAAAGAATTCAAATTGGAAAAGAAACTTGATCATGATGACGATCTGGAATAAAATAGGGTAATTTTAGTTTGAAATAAATGATGGAAAAAATGGACATATTAATATTTGATGGAGATGATTTCATAAAATGATTAAATAAAATTATTTATCAGTAAAACTGATAGGAATATGTTTTTCCTTGAAATAAATTTGTACATAAATGTTAACCGAAATATTTTGTACGTTAATTAGATCTGTGGGTGCTCCCGAAGTATGCGAACCAAGTTGGCAGACATCTGAACGTAACATGGGTAACAGGTTAGGGTTAGGAGATAAACTTTTTTCCAATTTTCCTTATTTTAGTCCTATTATCAGTTCAAAGACTAGCCAAGAGCCTCCCGTAGTATTTATATCTAAAATTATGGCCTAACCCTAAACTAGTACACATATTACATTCCGATGTCCCCCATCTTGGTTCGCATACTTCGGGAGCCCCGATCTGTGTATATGTATATTCTAGTAAAAGGATCATATCTATCACTGGGGGAAGAAATTTAATAAGACAGCTTTATCCCATGCGAACTATGGCATCTCTCAAATGGTTTCCTGTCTATATGGGACAACAGAATATTTAACCTATTATCGGTCTGTTTGAGAAATCTGGACTAGTTAGTGGACCAAGTCACAATCACCCTAGAACAGGGGTCACCAAACTTTTTTGACCGCGGGCCGGGTATGACTCAAATTGTGTTGAAACGGGCCGGATGAATATTTTTGTCAATGCAATACAATAAATTCACAAATGTTGGGAATATCGCAGAATATAGATCGAGAACATCCTAGGAGTTTAGCTGTTATCAAAACGTTGCTGTCATGAATTAGAAATGTTACAAAATCCGCGACAAAAAATGTACGCATCACGTCTGCTAAGTACCGTTACGCCGTGTTGAAATATCGCTCATAAAAACGACTGCCTGCTGTAGCTTGGAATTCTATGAAATTTTGACATAATTTAGATAAAATAAACAACTATTATCTGGTATTTGAATTTCATGCGCATAAATTTCCCAACATTCGACGCTTTTAAAAATTACGCTCCAGTTATACGTAGTGCAAGTTATTGATATTGTCTATGGACACCAATAAAATTTATATGGACGTGTGTATTTCTTGTCTAACTTGATACGTACCAATTTTTATGAAGTTCGTACAATCAGAACATCGTTAATTATTACCCACAATGAACCACTGTCAAACTATCATGCACAACTCCAGCGTTTATTTGCGACGATCTTTCGGCGGTGTCAATGACCGTTGCCAGAATAAAATCCTGAAATAATCTCAATATACCATAGATGTGACGCACATCGAAAGATTAGTGATTGATATGTGTTATTTTTCCATATTTAGTACAGTTCTTATCAAAAAAGTAATACAATCATTATGGAAAAAATTGGCTGTCGGGCGGTACTAAAATTCCGATATCTCCGTTAGTTTTTATTTAAATCGGATGAACTTCAATTTTTTTGTAACATACCTACATGAATATCCGCATTAAAGCAGTACAAAAATTAGTGTGGCTTTTGAAATTGGAGCAGTACGCGAGGGATTACAGTACTGTTAGCACATGATGCACATTCGACGTTTATTTTAGCACGAAAAACAAACAGTTTCGTCGAAAGCAAGCGCCACGAGTGTACAAGTGTATCGCAGAAAACGTTACGTACTGGTAGCATTCAAAGTAGCAAAAACGAAGTTTTGTTTACAACCACGACTGAAAATCTGTTAGGGTGACAAAAGTGTTATTACGTCACTTTTCTGCATCTTGCCGATTGGCCAATGTTACGAAATAAACAAGGACGACGATGCTCGTGAAAATCTTACTTGGAAAAAAATTTAGCCATTTTTGCGTGTTATTGCGGACGGATAAAATGACGCCGCGGGCCGGATAAAATGACGTCGCGGGCCGGATCCGGCCCGCGGGCCGTAGTTTGGTGACCCCTGCCCTAGAATGCTAAGGAATATAGCGAACCTGTAACACATTTAACGGTAATCCCGTAGTATGTGTACCAGGTTAGGGTTTTATTTTATTCCGATTTTCTTTATTTTAGTTCTATTACGAATTCGGGGACTGTCCGTGTTAGCCAAGTGAATATACACCACTTGCTCACATCACAGGCTTCCGTCCTTTTACACAACTTGATTTAAAATAGGCGAACAAAATTAGTTACCTCCATATTGGTACACATACTTCTGGAGCGCCCATTTAACAAGATATACCAACAGGTGAGTAGGATGGAAAAAAGGAATCAGACATGGACGCCCATTTCTCAATTAGAAAAAGAGCATAAAATAATATAGTATCTCTCTGTAACTTAATTGAGTGAAGTTTAGCAATGAAACTCACTTCCAAGTATATGATGCAGAAATTCCAAAATCTGCTAGTAGGACGAGGTGTAGAAAGTGACGACCATAAAAATATGGTTATCGGAAGAACAAGAGACATAATTGATGCCGTTAACATTAGATTGAGAATAACCAACATGTAGCAGACAACATCAGTTCGTGAAATAATCGTATACCTGAAAATGGATAATAAGTATTCATAATGTGTAGAAAATCACATAGAAACCACATCACATTGTATCACACAACTTTTATGTGTTCATGTGGAATGTGTGTGGTGCGAGAAATTCGTACTACTCATTAAAGCCGTTTCGATTCTTGTTACAGTATTCAGCATGTGCTTCAAAAGTCTTGTACCACACTCTCATGCATTTTATGTGTTTCTGTGTGACAAACGAGATCAATCCATGTGTGGAAAATTTCCACAAAAACCACATAAATTAAATTACACATAGACATGTGTGCACATACAGAAAAATAATTCAGGTCTAGAAGTGTATTTAATTCAGAAATAAGGTGTAATATTCACTTAACCCCCTACCTTCATCCTCAGGACAGATAACCATTACTAGTGTGCAGAAGGTTTATAAAAAAACTTACCATATTGCATAAAACAATCTCAAAATTCTCATTTGATCTTTATCAAAATCAATTGGTTCCAAAACTGATTTTTGTGTTTCGTTTTGTGAAGTTGAACTACTTTGCTCTTGATCATTTCTAAAATAATATTTGATCGTTATATCTTATGAGAATAATTTCAGAAAAAAGACAAATTATTGTAAAATATCAAAACAAAATATATGAATTCAGGGTATGAATGCCAGATAATGAATGGGTCATGGTAATTGGTTTACCCTGAAACGAGTGAATTGAGAAGACCCTTGATACATACATACTAAAGACCCTTGAAAAGCCCATTTCATTCCTTTGTGACTATCGAAGTCAAAATTTTACTCAATTTTCAACTACTAGATCTCCATGCATAATTTTTTGTCATGAATTTCAATAGTCCATAGCTATAAATAGAACTTACTGTGAAAGAGAGAGTTGAACATCATCTGCAGATATTTGTGGAATTTCTTTTGTTTTTTCACTTTCCTGTGGAGGCTCAATAAGAATTTCAGTTGAGTCTTCTCTCGGAGACTAGAAATAAGAAATCAGCACTTGTCATAATAAAAACTCATGAAACTTTTTATACTTATTCAAAAGCATACTTTTCACAAAAGAAATTTATTGAATTCAAGAAAAAAAAAATTAAGCTATTAAATTTTATAACTTAGTATTTTGCTCATATTAAGTTTCAATCATTTATAACTTTTAAGAGGGGCTAATTTAGGATATCAAAATTGTTTATTTATCAAAATAAATACTAAAGTTCTAATCATACCGTAGCGAGATTCATCTGTGCAAGTTCATCTTTTTCTCCAGAAAGTTGCAAAGCCACATTTCTATAATCACAGTTTATTGTGTTCAACCATAATATGAATGTGTCAACACCAGACAGAAACAATTCCCAAATAAATTTGCATCCTTTGACGAAGATATCTAAAAATATAATTATCAAATTAGTACAATAATATTAAATATATTTCAACGGTAATACAGCTTTATGGTGATAACAGTTTGACTGAAATGTAGAAAGATGTAGAATTTATATGCAACTGGAATATGGTAGTTACGGTTAAACAAGGGTTGTAGGGGTCAAATGTCAGAATTTGGTATGTTTTGGAGTTGAAGCCTTGGAGTTGAGAGCCAGGTTATCAGACTTCTAATGATGATAAAATAAGTTAAAATTTTGACACAAACTAAAAAAACATCAAGTTTACAATGCATTCTCAACAAACAATTAGGATTGGATTTGTTAGCCAGTTATTTGTTTCAGATGCACACACTTGATTAATGAAGGCCCACCAGAGTTTTTATGGTCAAAATTCATCTCTACCGGACAAAGTACAATGGAATATCAATCCTTTTTATTACAGAAAGCACTTTGTGCAATTTGTTATATTTCATTTGTTTCGAATGTGGTCAAAGTCAATAGAAAGTTGTTATTATTTGAACTGTAAGTTTTCAGAGTTCCCGTTGTCTGTCAAAATCAGTCAATAATTGTATGACATGATAAAAGAAAAGTTTAATATGAATTTTTAAAACACATGTAGTTAACTATTACTTCTTTTTTTAGGCTCTTCCTTTTCTTGTTCAGTTGCATCAATGTCGTCATCAACGGCCAAATTTTCTGTTGATTTTCCTTTCCAAGTTTCTTTGGGAATTGGCTTATGATCATCTAAAAAAAAATGGAAAACATTGACTGCAGAAAATCATGGTAATGAAGAAAATTGTAAATCGAAATATGATATAACCATATTATGAAGAGTAGCGAGTAGTACTGTACCTCCTTCGTCCAATAATTTTTTATCTACTTCTCTGTCTTCCAACGCTTTATCAATTCCAACAGTATCAGCTGTATGAAGCATCTGAAATAGAAAAGTTTGAGTAATCGTTCAGTTATTAAATCAATACATAAATTGAATTTTTTCTTCTAAAATCAGAAAAAGGAATAAAAAAAAAACATCAAAACAAAGTGTACTTGGATGTTGCGTAATAAACTGCAAATCCTTTCTCCTGTTAGACATGCAGTTCACATATGAATCGATTTGTTAAATTATTGCTGTTGTTATTACAGTAACATTTGTTGTTTTCTTAGAAACTAAAGAACCAATCGCTTTAGAATTTTCAATACTCAGGAAAAGTTGAAGACATTAGAAGCGTCATTTCACTCAAAACTTCGACATTTAGTGTGCCACGTGGCAGTGCTGTTACGTCAGACCGGTCCGATATCTTTTACCCAAAGCCAGTGCTAATTAACCAGCTGTGGTCCTGCCTGATGCACAAATCGTCATTATAAAAAATGATATTCTCACCTGCAAAGGATTTAAAATATCTTTATCTTTGTCTTCTTCTGTTTCTCTTTCTAGAGATTGATCTTCAAACATATAATAATCTCCCGAACGCATTGCTGAAACAAACAAAAAAATTGTCACTTTTGCAGATCTTAGTTAGGTTGAACATGAATTTTGCTGCATGAAAGAATGAAAAGCAGCATTGCTGCATATCACCAGTCCCAGAGTATTTATTAATTACTGTAAAAATGAACAGAAAAATCTTATAGAAATGAGAAATATCTCAAACTTCAGTTTGAATACACATTTATTTCCCACATAAATGGCACTTGCTGCCTGAGGTATATTACCAGACCCAGAAGACACATAAATCGCTATTTTAAATTCCAACTCAACTAACTTTATTTAAAAAAAACTCACACATTTCCACAAAATATGATATTAACTTGTAAAAACCTAAAAAAAATACTTTCAATACCTTCAGTATGTGATTGTGGTACCAAATGTCCTTCTCCAAGTTTTGCATATCTTTTGCTAATGGAAGCCATACTGAAAAAGAATGACAATATTGATAAGCAGCATTGTCTGGCTGCTAATTTGAAATGCAGATTGAAGTTCCAATTTTAAAGATTTTCATTTAAAATTTTTCTGTTAAAAAATTGCCGAAAAAAACCTACTTTTCTCTTATTTCAGTAACACCTCCTTCTTCCTTTTGTTTTCTTGTATTAACTTCTTCAATGAGTTTTTCTTCGAATAATTCTGCACCTCTGGTGTAAAAAATAAATAAACAATATTAGTTTATAACTGTAGCAACAACAGGAGTTTAAAAAATAAAAATAGCCAGTTGGAGATAATTAGCACAAAATACTCTGGAAGAGCTGCATTACATTAAACTCTGTACATCAAAAATATAGTTTCTAGAATATAATATAATACAAAGTTATACCAATTAAATATATTATGTATCTCAATAAGCTAAGACATCTTACAAACGCCTTAATATCTGTCTTCAAAAAATGGTTATCCATCATTTTCCAAGCGAAATGATCAAGTTTACAAGTTGGTTTCGAAATTACATATTCATATATCGTCAGTTTTTTGTCATCAACAATGAAATCAATGACTATGGTAAATCGAGTCAATTTGAAACATAGCAGCCAATTTATTTCTACCATATGCTGAGTAATGTTATTCGTTCAAAATATGGAATACCTACCTTGAAGCCAATTTCATTGAAATCCGCAGATCCTCAGAAACATGAAGAAAATAATATGTTTGGAAAATTCTTCGTTGAATAATTAGAAACATGAAGCAAATGAAATCCCAAGTCAATCCAGCGTTCGTATATTGGTTGGGTGTTGCACATGTCTCAGTCTCACGATCTAGAATTCAAAAATGTACATTGTAGTCACAACATAATAGAAAAAAACATGGCAATCAAACAGATATTTCACAATGAACTTAGAAAGACTTTAAACTTTATGAAAAGGCCGGTATAAATTATCTTCAGATGATCATAATTTGTATAGACCTACTAAGTATCACATTTTTATAGTATAATTTCAACGTTATTTACCCAGACTATCGTTAAATTAATGGTTCACAATACATATACTTTAATATCGTTTAACTAATGAGAATATTTTTACAATATTGGTTAGTACAAAACATTGAACAACATTTAACATAGAAATGTTAATTTATATCAAAAATATTTCTGAAATATTCAAACAATATTTCACAGATCACAAGATATCATTCCTTATTATCTTACAACCATGCTTGATTGAGGAAAGCAAGTGACTTCACTTGTGTAGACATTAAAACTTGTAAAAACAAAATGAAAACGCGAGGACGTAAATAGTAGAGAAAAAAATTGTAATGTGTTTTTCTTCTTTTGCTAGGAAGAATACTACATTGTAATTGCACTAAATGCAATACAAATCTAAGTCAAGAAGCATTGAAAGCATTGATATTAAGCAATTAAACGTCTTCCAAGTTACATTAGATAGTAACTTCATCTCCTAATGCAGAATAAAAAATTCTGATGGTGCAGCACATCGCAAAGAATGCTTCCTATAATTTCAAGTTGGTTTTCTCAAACAGGTGACCCAAAGCAAAAATATTCCAACATTATTATGTACAATTGTAATACTGGACAACAAAATAGACATTGAAAAATGTGTGTTGCTGGAATATGCCTATGAAACATCAGCATGAAGACTTAAGAGTTAAGACAAAATACATGGATCACAAAAAATATAGAATTTTCACACCGAGATGTTAGCATAACACAGAAGGACGAGTATTATAACACCATGTAAAGGATATCAATATATGCTAATCAAAACATATACATCATGGTAATGATGAAGAGGCTGAAGAACCCAATAGTCTTTGCGCAAGCAAATATAAGCCATATCTAATGCAAGACTATACTACAGTATAAATTCGTAAATTTTAACAGTAACTTTTAATAAATATCAGAGATCCGAACCCTATGCTACTTAAGTTTAATTATTAGGATTTTTGAAGTTTACCCAAGCTAATTTCAGCTATAATAGGAAAGAACTGGAGAGAATTCTCATTACTTATCGATCTTTAGATCGGTAAGTATGTTGATAGGTATTTGTTTGTCTGTTAGTTGCACGCGATATCTCACGAAAGCGAGGTTGAATCTGCTCTAAATTTTGCATGTGCATTCATCATATCTCGGACCAGAAGCCTATTGATTTTGGATGAATTAAGTCGTATAATTAGCGAGTTATTAATTAATTAGTGATGGGACACACGGTGTCGCTATTGAGTCCACGCAAAGGATACACGCCGCTAGATCGATAAGTCGGTGGTCTCCGATCGCTACAACAGATTTTGACCGTGTTGTTAATTTCTATTTTCTTACCTTCCAGTGTCAAAAGTTCTAGTTTACTCTGAAGAAATTCTTGCCGCACAAAAAATTGAAAAATAATATTTTTTTAATTATAATATAAAAAGAGAAAAAAATCAATTTTCAAAACATCTACAATTCTAAAAATCATGAAAATAAATGAACACTCAATATAATCACAATTTCACTGATTTCGCTAACAAAATAACAATCATAGCCCAGTGCAGTGGTTCCCAGTCCTTTTTTCAATCTACCCACATTTTTTAATAAAGACATTTTGTAAAATCTTGCAACCCGAGGAGCCGTAAGCTTAATTTTGAAAACATGACGCGGCTTTACTTAAGCAAAATAGATGCTGCCAAGTATCATGCTGTGATACTTCCCACATATACTACTGCTGAACAACACTTTAAAATAAAATATAGAAAAAGAAAAAATTTAATAGAAAATAAAATCAATAACTTTTAAGCTTTTGTTGAAAAACAAGCGAACCACAAGCGATTATTTGGTACCAGCCATCCCTGATTTAAACTCCTATAAATCATGCAATTAAACTTTTACATAAGTCATATCAAAATTTATAATAATAAAGTATTTACCAGTAAGTCCAGCATAAGCTTCAGGTCTTGCACAAACCAGACTCATCAGTTGAACGAATATACAGGCTTTCTCTTCCAATACGTCGATGTAAACACATGATGTTATTTGCAATGAAATTTTCAGAACAATGACAGCAACATTATAACCTAAACAAAAGATAGTTTGTTTTTGAGCATTATTTTTTTAAAAACGAAGCAATGTAAAAAGAAAAATATTTTTAGACTCATTGGTGACATCGGAAGGCCTTAAGCAATTTTGATGTCCAAAAAAACATTGCTTTAAAAATAAAAATAAAATGTTGAGCCATTCCTTTGACCTTTGACACTCAAGCCTTTGGGTGGGGTGGAGAACATGGGATTCAACGCAATATGTGTAATCTGCGATACCAACACAAAAAGGTCTAGAGCTCCAACCGTCGCACGACCCAAATGATACTCCAAAGACGCTGACAAGCAGTATATTTATTATATGTAGAGACTCCCAATGTTGTTGGAAGAACAGAAATTTTTTCAGAAAGATATAAAGCCAACCCGATTTATTTACACACTTGGCGTTTAACGAATTCCTAATGCTTAGCACAATACGCCCCATTACCAAGTCGAGTTTTCAGCAGTCTCAGCAAGTGGAGTTGGGTTGTTGACTAGGTATAAAATGCATTGAAATAAATATATAAAAACTTGATACAATGAACATCAAAAACTTACCCAAAACAATGTTCCATATTCTGAGTAAATTGCTTGGTTTTCCCATAAGTAATGATTGGTTGAATGATAGCAGATAGAAGAACGCTATCAAATATCCCATGCAGAATAACGATATTCTTGATGTTCCAGCAATAAATACTATAGCACAAGTCACCCAGAATGAATATTTGAAAACACCAGACTTAAATTGATCCAGAACATTTCTTGATCTGAGAAATTGGAAAAAAAAAATTAACCTGAGCTACGTGTTCGCGCAGGCATTGAAAATTGACGAAAGCAGTAAAAATTTGTTCTGTTATGAAACAAAATTTGTTCAAATGTAAAACATTCAGCAAACAATTATATATTACGTTATACCAAATTTTCATGCAAAACAAAATGATAATTCGATCCTATAAAATGGTTCAAAACTGTCTACATTTATGAACTTTTTATAAAGAGATCTTCATTCTAATCAAAGCTAAGAAGCTTGAAAATTAAGGGCTAACAAAGTGGTAAACTGCATGCAAGTCATACAATAATTTGTTGAAAAAGTTACGTTATTATCTCTAGTTATTTCTGGCAAAAATGTTATTATGCATTTTATTACATGCAGATAAATAATGAAAATGATGACCATGATGAATTTCAAGCATATGAAAAACCAGTTTGATGATAGGAAAACAAGTAGAAATTTTGAACCCCAAACAATATATTACTCATTTTTTTGAGCATGTCTCTGCAAGAAAAACCAAATTTTTGACTTTCTCAATAATAAGCTATATTTCAAACTTTAATATTCATTACTGGATGTAGATTCGTTATTCCAAGCATAGCAAGCCAATTCCTACATACTGAGTATATTTTTACCTGCTTGTACTGTCGTCATATCTAAGGGATGAATGTGAATGGTGAATAACATGAAAAATAAAAGATGACAACGATGAAATGAATGAAACAATGACAAACAAATATTAGCACAACACTGCAATTTACAATTCAAAATAAAAAGCACAAAAACTTATATTTTCAGAGATCTGGACAACATATTAAAACTGAGAAACTAAACTATTTAACCATTATAACAAGACCTTAGACTAAATGCTGTGGTTAACAATAAAGTTAAGTTGTTTATTTTTCTTTTTTAGGATGAATATCAAATATGAAAAATCCTCCAGCATATGTCAAGTTGAACATTAATCAAAGAGTTATAGTAATCAAGTAATGACTAGAGCAGGGTTCGGCAACCTTTTGTCGCTCGTGGGCCAAAATAAAGTTTGCAAGTCATTGGCAGGCCACGGTTGCCAACCTCTGGACTAGAGGATGGAAAGAATCTAATCATATTTTTAATTTGGTACCAAAGTGATATCCTTGTCACAAGAATAGGCCCAAACATTTCTAAAGAGAAAGAAATTGGAACAAACCTAAGGCTGAAACATTTGATAAATCGTCTATATAGGTAGAAAAATGTGGCGCTATCGAGATAATATATATTAGAAGCCTACTTATATTTGGATGAGAAGTCAGGATAGTTTAGGATTTACATATCCATTCCAAGGAGAGGAAAGTCGATGAGACGACTTAATCATATGGCGAACCACGACCTCTCGTCCGGTTACCAGTCCATGTCGGGTATGAGATTAGTCGGAAGCATGGACTTGATGGTGGAGGAAGCTGTAATCAACCGCCGATTACGTGAACCGCCCTACGGTGCGAGGATTCCAGCAATCCTCTCGCAAATAATTAACCCCGCAAACCCACACAGGCTAATCGGAGGTGCGGTGGTGATCGTATTCCTGACACTTAGCACAATGCGCCACACTGCCGAGACACACCACCCTGAGCAAACTTGCATAAAATGTCACTTATTTGTAAAATTTACAGTATTATTACAAAGTACAGACAACAAATCACAACAAAGACATTATGTACATCATACCAAGCAAATGCATATACAGGGTGACTGAAAAAAACGAAACCCATCAATTTTTTAATTACTTCTATGAAAACGATGATTTATTTAACATTTGAACTTCTGTTGATCGTACCCGAAAGTGTCAGTAATCTATATGACACATTGCGGAAAAGTTATGTTCTCTCTGGAATATGTTTTATTAAGTGACTTGGGTTCGTTTTTGGGAGTAACCTCATAATAAGATATATATAGGCACAACATTGATACATAACATCATGCTGAAATTAACTCAAACTAAAAAAAATACTTTCTTACTTCTTCAACATAAAATTTGGTTTCGAGTTAGTTACTGGAGTGACTTCGTCAAGTTGACGAGCCGTGAGATATTTGTTATCTCCACCATGAGATAATGCAGTTTCCGTTGTTTCAAACTCGAAGACAAATAGTTGACAAATGATAAAAAGTATCTGGAAGACATCGACTGTAAATAAAAGACAAAGATTATTCGATATTCAGAGTGTGATGAGGCAGTAGTGTATTTCACTATCAAGTATGTACACTCATATTTATGTGTCGCACATGCCATCTAGTATGGAACAGATTAGAAACCTGATATTGTCCGGGGGCGAATGTGCCAAGCCCACTGGCACCCAAGTATATAGTGGGGCCTCATTCTCGATTTTGAAGGTCTTTCTTGATTTACTCCTACCGTTATGCACAGTTAGATTTTGCTAATTTGCTTTATGCTAGTTGATTACCAATTGCCATACCAAGCCTCTGTCATACCAACAGACCTGGTTAGGTTTATCAAACTATAAGTTTCTCCCAAACCAACCATAAGTCAAATAAAAAGATCAGTATTGATGAATTAAAACCTTTTTCTTTGGTGATGATTGGATGTTGATCACAAGCTAAACCAGAAATATGAATGCATATCACATACTACAACAGTACTCCACTGCATATTATTCGACTTATTTTTTCTCATGTAGCCTACTCAAATATCAAAAGGATATTATGGAAAACAGGAGAAATTTGGTATCTTCCAAATGTAACAGCAATAATCCACATAAGAGTATATCATTGATATTTACCAGAATGATTTAGATTTTGCATTAAGTCAAAATCTTCATTCTAACACATAAAAGAAAACGATGAACAAAGCTGTATAAACTTCAGCTCATTGAACAAATCACAGCCATATGACTAACTTGAATGTACCTACCTACTAAACTTGTGCTGTATGGTTTGATAATATAGTCAGGTAAATATAACCATCTGATGAGTCTGTCTCTGATTTCTATTGTCGTATGATGAAACGTTGTCCATGGATATTCATTTTCTTAAAGAAAGACCAAGAAAGTCAAAAAAATCTTATCAATATAAAAATATGAATATGATGACAGAAGTCACAAATTGCCTTGCCATCGACTTAGTTTGACTCCTTAATCATTGTTTGATTCAACTATTACTGTTAGACTTAAATCATGGGTGTCGCTGCTCGATAACCAGTAATGGTTCCATCACCTCCTTTCACACTGAAGTAAAATTTTACTTCTTTTTACAATGTTTATTCATAAGATGTATTTCAATATGGTGGAAAAATGAATCACTGATTACACCCAAAGTGTAATGAATTGGGTATGCAATGAATGCAGAACCGGAAAGATACACTCTTTCTAAAATTAAGTGGATCTTGCATATTAGTAGCTGCTTTTGCACAGCCTTGTTCGAAACAAAGACATATTTCATCATACAAAAAAATTACCTGTACACCACATTGGAGGCATTCCAAGCGCGATGGCATATTCTCCGATCAGTATAGACATTAAGATTATGACATAGAACTTCCAATATCTAAAAAGAAAAATGATAAAAAGCCTTCGTAAAAATAGGAATGTCTAGGATGCTTTACATTTGGATGTTTTGATACAAATGAAAGTTGCTTGATAGTTGAATTAAATATTCCATCCTGGTATCAAATAAGAGGGGTTTAACCTGCAATAATACTAGTACTAGTAGCTTGATTATACACTTTATTGTGTTCTTAAAATCATAATAGCGTGTTACAAATACCTGGCAAGACTTTTTCTAGTTTTTAAAGCCATTGATATGATGAATAAAATGGAGTAAATCACACCGAATGAATCTGCTCTCATCCATATTGTTATCACTGCCATAATATAGCAGGCCTAGAAATGAAATAATAATAATAATGATAAGTTTGTTTAATATACAAACAAGAGAAACAATTGTAAGATTGTAATTAAATCTGAATATGTTGTTAGAAAAATTCGTTGGTCCTAATTCAACGATGCAAAAATGTACACCGACGTTTTAGACATCATCAAGATGAAGTCTTTAATGGTTTAGTTGCTAAGATGATCTATATACAGAATAAATGATAACATATAAACTTTCCATTCATTTTGTCTAAATTAGTATTCTTTTGCAATCAAAGCAGCATAGAAAAGTCATTTACTATCAAGGGGCATTGTCGCATGGTATACAAAATCATATTGTGCAATGCTACAGGAAAAACTCGGACAAGAGAAAGTTTATGGTGGGAATATGGCTGAAGAATTAACAATTTTTTGTACAAAGTAAACTAGATTGGCTACCTTACTAATACTACCATGAAGTTACATTGCTTCATTATAATGCATTCACTTTTGTCCATATTTTACTACATATGTTAATATCAGTGTGACAAGTAATTTTCTTGTCAATATAGAATACAAAAATGATTGCACTTAAATTAGCTTGCGGCAGAATCTTTCTGAATTCCTAGATCAATAGAAGACAATCTTCAAAAAACACGTACCTCGACTCCAAATTTATAAAACCAATAATTCAGAAAAAATTTGCAACAGGAGATAAAGTCATTGTCTGCTTCATTATGAGAGATGCTTGGATACAGAGCAGTGAGCCGTGACGGCAATTTTAATTCTCTCCTATAATAACGTCTCCATTCTTGTCGTCGAGCGACAATTCTCTCCAATGCAAGCATTACCACAACTGTTATCAATCCCTAAACATAGAAAGGATATTTATTAGATTGATTGCATTGTACAAACTTTCTCAAAATAATGAAAGTTGAGGCATCATGCTAAGCAGTAGGAAAGCACTTGCTATTGTGTCGCTGATTACCATGAGCAGATTCGCAAGTTTGAATATTGTAGGGGTATAAAAATCATGTGTGAGGAGATTACTGAAGTTTTCTCTGTTATAGAGATACGTTGCCAATGGCCTTGAAGCATATGAAACAAATTGTGAACTGTTCCCATTTCCCGTATTTGCCATGAGCTGTTGACAGGAACCATGTGATTTCCACAGTCAGATTAGATTTCAACATATGATTGAACCTCCTTATCAGCTTCACTCTCCCCGGGATAAATATGAAAGTCCTATTCTATCCAATTTTTGCAAAAAATTACAAGCTAATTAGTTTGATACCTATATCAGCTATGATATAACATCTTAGCATCTTTTGCATAAAGGAAGGTTTCAAACTACTAATAAAAAGCACAGACGCATAATAAAAAATAGGTAAAATATACATTACTTGAGAGTGATAGAAAAACGAATTGTCATCTGTCATCTTTGAGAAACCCAACCATTCAATGAAATCATAAGTCTCCATTACTGGTTCCGTCTGAAATCAAAAAAATTTAATTTAAAAAAAAGGAATGGCTAATGACAAAATGGAACCAAAAAATGATAGCCTACCTAACAAAAAACGACCATGGCTATTTAGTACTGGCTTTTAAATCGATTTGGATATGATATTTTGCAAATCCTGCTCAGTCATACTTTACAATGTAAATTAGGTTATTTCACTATTCATTTGACTGCAGTTTTTGGTTTTATAAAGAGGTTTTTCCAATAGTCAGATTGAAGTTATTATAGTAGATATGTGGATACACGAAGATGCTCAAGTTGGTAATCTGTAAAGATTACTTCCCAACCTAATATGGTAACCGGGGCTGTGGACTCAATGACCGAGATTCGGATCTGTATGTGGCCATTGCCATGAGTATACTTCAATGAGATATTACTAATGTGATTTATTCGCTGTTTGATCAAGTTATATCTTGTTTTGTCTGAAAAAGTTTGACTATGATCCAATGAAAGCTCTCAAATACATACTTGCCAGTTTGTGGAAAGAGATTATGCTATTCTTATTTCAAACTAGGCGATTGAATAAAAAGATGCATTTGGCGAATTCAACAGTTTGTCAATAATATACTCTAATCGTGAATGAGAGTAAACAGGATTCCACTTACAGCGTTTAGATAGAATGTGCAGTTATAATATAAATCATCTCCGCGAGCTAAGGTGATAAAATCAAGTTGATAAAACATAGATCCAAGAATCAGGAATCCAACATATCTAAAGAAAAATTAAAATACGAAACATTATTACTGGAAACCAATAATATTATTATAATAATATAATATTCAGATTATACATGTTTATCTGTTAAGCATGATTCAATTTATTATATATATGATATTACATTTTTGAAAAGACTTGGAAGAATTCAAAAAAGGGCAATTCTGTGGGCAATGTTGCTTCAATTAATCAAATGAAATTATGAGGGATACTCACGCTGATGTAATAATGTAGAGCAAAGTTCTAAGATTTTTTATTGGAATAAATACAACCCAGGTCACAAATAACACTGCAAAGACGGCACTCGCCTGAGAAAACAAGAATCATAGTTTAATTTAACAGCTTAATTATTAAAAGAGCGCTGAACAATTACAAAACATCATTTTTAGTTTAAAACCCTTGGCTGCCCCGTCATGCTACACAATAGTAAAATAATTGACATTTCACAGCTGAATATACCATAATGGGCTGTAGGTTTCAATCCTTGACAAGAGAGACATCTACCTCTTCCTCAACGCTGGTTCATAATGGTCTAATATTACAAATCAATGCAACCCCGAATGATTGGTTAGCTATTCTCAACCTGGACTCATTAAAGGCCAAAAGAGAGTAATAAGCTAATTAGGATTTACAGCTTATACATCGAGATTAATAGAGAAATGTTGACCCTGCAGTTTTGATAATAAATTATGCATAATACATAATAAAATTCAATATAAAGCTTAACTTCACAGAAAAAATGTCAAATTTTATATTTTGTTAAGATGAATCAAAGTAAAAATAATATTTTAAATGAATAGCATTAACTTTTTTGTGGCCGCAATGGCCTAGCAGTTAGAATCAACTGTATTGACATCGCACGTTACACATATCAGGTTCACTGACTCATAATAAATTTAGCAGGCAATTTCATAACTGGAAAGATTACGGATCTTCTGAAAAAATTGCAGTTTCTTACATATCATTTACTGCTTGTACAGAGCCTTGTTTTAAAGCATGACGGGTGTCATAAGAAATAAAAACTCTGAATAATGATAAAAGGCATTCTCACCCGCTGTAAAGCAGATACAAGAACTGTAACAATCAGTAATTTCCACATGTGGAATTCCAACAATCTCCATATCAATCTGATCAGACCGTACCAAAATTCAAGGAATAGATCAAAACTTTTCTTCACTAATTCTACCGCTTGATCTTTCTTACTGCTCTTTGGTTTTTCTGAAAATTGAACGTCCATTGTAAGAAACATCTCAACTGATTTATATTTATTAAAATCCAAAAAATTTGGCATTAAAATTTTGAATTGGGCTACGAGTCGAAAGTTTGGGTTGGGCATGTTTAATTGATGTTTGAATCAATTTTCGAACTTCAAAAATTTCGAACTGAATTTCGACCTTTTTGTAATCTTGGGGTCAAAATTTTTGATAATTCCTCAGAGTTGGGAGTCTGGATTTCATACTTTCGGCAATGATGATCATTGACACAATTTCTGACAAAAACTCAAGTCGACTAAACATTCTAAACAGACAATTAAAGAAGGCTTGCATATGCCAAAATATATTTGTTAATGGAAATCTGGCTTTCCTGAAATTCAAAAACTGGATCCATGTGTAAATTTTTTTATAAACTCTAGATCCGGAGTCGATTATGAGCCACTCCAGCAAGCAAGTGGGCAAATAAGATATTTCTTTTTTTTGTTCGTTTTAATTTGTATTTAATATCAACTAATCATGCACTGATGCAAGTATAATTGTGAATATCATCACATTTTCAAATAAAACACATTCATATACTACACAAAAAAAAATTGATTGATTATAAACGCCTAATTACTTCCTTAGTCAATCCTATAGTATATTGTAAATCCTATCCTTCCTTTCAACGGTAAATACTTTTTACTGACTGTAAGCTATGTCAACAAAGACAAAATCAATCACAAACCTTTTGGAGAAAGATCCTGCATTTCAATCGATTCAACACTGCCGTCTGTATCATTCCCAACATTACTGGTTACAGGCTGATTATTGTCTTCATCAGCAGTTGGATTGGTATCAGCTTCTAATTCTTTATAACGTTTCTTGGTTAGCTGGAATAAAAAAAACATTTTTTATTTATTTATTCATCCCTATCACTCCAACAAGGCTCTATACAAGCAGATGTTATCTGCATCTTCATTGTATTTCTGGCAAATAGCATTTTCCTAAATGGCTGAGCATGACCTGTGATGTCATCAGTCACAGATGACTGATCTTGAACAACCAGTTGTGAGGGTAGAGTGGCCATGTGTTCTCTGTACTTGAGGGCTCATTCCTGTTGGTGTTTATTGGGAGTTATGTTCATGGGCATTTACTAATTATTTGTTCATACTCAGTTAGCAGCGACCACTGATATCTAGGGATATAGGAGTATTTACTTTTATTTGTAACGATTCATTACACCCTGAGTGGGATTTAAACCCGAGAGGTATTATCTGTGACGCCAACACAATTAAGTCGAAAGCTTTAACAGCTAAGCCATTGCACAACTCTGTCAAATAAAGAAGTCCCTGGGTATTACATACAAACTGCAAAATTTGGGCTACATATAAAATTTAAAAATGGAAGAAAAAAAAGAGCCATATAGCAGCAATTGCTTCCAATCTCTGAGTACCAAAAATTTGGAATTGATTAGCCATGATGAAAAGCCATTCTTAAAACACAGACAATTTAACAGAATGAATCATAGGCCCACTTTGTGTCCAACATTAATATGCAAAAGTTAAATGAAGTTGTCCAAAAAAACTTGTACCTTGCTATTCTACAACGTAGAGTTTTACTTAATCAAATATGATTACACTGATTATGACAAAATTCTCTTTCACCTGCAGAAATCGGTCATGGAAATAATGTATTTGCAAAATAACCACAAGAAGGAAGAAGGTAGGAATGCAAATACGAAGCAATAACTCTCCTGTGTGTTCGTATTTTATCAATCCAAGATCTCGTAGTCTGGAAAAAATATATTTTGACAATTTAGATATGAAGATTCAATAAATTGATTTAGCTGTTTAAAAAATACCGTAAATACCCAGAAAAAAATTTGTTCTAAATATTTTGAATTTAATGGCAGTGTCAATATTCTACTGAATTAGACAATTAAGTTAAAAATTTCAGAAAATCTTGATCAGTTGAATGAATATCAGCTCGATCAGGACTGAGTGGTCCTGGATATGACATGTGCTTTGATAATGGTTTTGGAGTCACTTTCTAAAAAAATTCGGTGATAACCGATGTCAAAATTTTCCATGGTAAGAAAGAATGCATTCGATTAGGTGCTGTGGTCAAAAAAATTTCGGGTTTTTCCAAACTGCAAAATCCCATTCGCAATTAGAGTACAGATAAATCAGTTCTCATGCAATACTCAAGGCTAAGAATGCATAGTTGAGCATTCGAGAATAGAATCTGATTTTGACTGCTCCAATTAGATTTTAAGAAATTAATTTTCAGGTAAAGCTTCAATTTAAAATTCTTTTAATTGAATTCCTAGAGGCGTTTCTTTTTTTGTAACAGTATTATATTTGATAAATTATTTTGTAGCCACTATTGAAATTTCAGCATATGTATTTTCAGTTTATGAGTGTATACTTTTCAAAATTATAACTACATAAAGAACTCTTCTCATAAATTTATAGTCGGGTGAAGCTCAAATTTCTAATAATGAAGAAGTTAAAATGGTGTTCTCACTGCTCATCAGTAAAGTTAGTTGCACTTTTCCAATATCCCGGAAATTCATCAAATTGATAAGTATAAACAAGTAGAACAACGATCATCGTGTAAATAACGAGTGCAAAGAGAAACAAACGTTGAGTTTTTCGCCAGATTACCCATGATAACTGTTAAAAATTAATTTTAAAAGTTTGAAAATGCTTTTGATAATCTTATTTAAATCAGAGGTATTTAATCGGAATGGGATGAAGGTAGTTTATATTGGAGGAATTTTTACATTGTATTTGGATGCAGTATTACAATTATTTTTACGTTTATCAACTCTATTGATGGGTTGCGCCAGCACTAACTGATAATACCATCAACATTGAACAACACACAGACACAGCGTCTAGATGCATAGTGACGTAAGAAAGTAGTTTTATCCATTCGTTCAAAACTTTTTATTTATTTAATTTTTTTTTTTGGGGGGGGGGATGTAGAGTTTCCAAATTGGCAAATAGAGGACTGTATCTTAACAACAAATAGGCTATTCAAAATTTTCTTTCGCCAATTCAGCTCAATCCAAAAATGAAATTTTTTCTTTCAATTTTTATTTTATCACAATAGTCTTACCTCAAATACAAATCCACTTAATGTAAAATACAATGCATAAATCAGTTTAATTCCTGATGGTTTTCCCTCAACACAGATAGCAAGTAGGAATCCATACACAAACAAAATCCAGTATTTACTCAGTTTTTCTCTGATGTAAGTAGCCGCCATAACTAGCCATGAAGAATCATTTCTTGCAGCTTGATCTGGAATATAATATGCAAAATGAGTACTGTATTTTACAGACTATAAGGCGCAAATTGTCAATAAAGTGCTTAGATTTGGGGTTTGTCCATACATAAGGCTCAGGATCAGTTTTTAGGAAAAAGGGGACTGGTACTAGTTTTGAATGTAGGCAATAAAGCGCGACCTGACCCGTACTATGCGCACCAGCTTCATTAGGACAAGAAGCACGCTCGATTTTTAAGAAAAAAAATTTAAAGTGGTCTGCAAAATACAGTGAATGAAAATCATTTGTGGCTTGATACTTAAACTTTACAGTGGGTTATAAATGATCCACAGCTCCCTTTTAAAGATTTATAACACTTGATGCACCCTGTTCTTCTATAAAAATTCCTATTTTTACTTAAAACACTTTTCCATCTGTTATTTTATGAACCACAATTAATAACAATAAAATCTAAAATTGGAAGTAATTGAACAAATACATTACAGTCAAACAAATAAACAAATCAGAGCCAATTTAATTTAAATTAATGGAATTTAATTTAATTTAATTTAAACGTAAATGGTATCAAGTGAAGGTTTTTGCTCATAATCCCAAGAGAAGTGCTCCAAGCAGCCTAGGGCCTGTGATGAACAATAAATAAATCTTACCTATTTCAGATTTATGTCTTCTGATATAAACAAACTGATGTAAAACAATCCAGAATACACAGGTGTAAAGAATCTAAAAAAAATGTTTTGTGAAGTTGTGAATAAAAAGTCAAAATAAATAAGTGTTTACCCACTATTAAATAATATTGCTTATTATTTAGTTCCATTAAAAATAAATAGAATTGAATAACAAATGTCTTGCACAATGTCTTGAATATTTTTGTGAAATTTCTCCCATCCCCGCTGGTTATTACTGTTAGTCTGTCACTATTGGTAATTTTTAGTCAAATATTTTGGTGTTTTGAATTTAATTTTGAACTTGAATATCATAAATCGGACTTCTATATGTCAGAACCCTGCGCTGCAAAGGTTCATGAATACATGTCAATAACTCGGATTGTTTAAAACTTTGATTATTTTTTTTCTTCGGAATAACACTAAACTCTTGTGTATTCCTTCTTGCATAATTATGAAATGTGTGTTAAGTTTACTAAGGCTTGAATTTAGTGCCTTATTTCCTAAGCTCAGTATTGATTTTTTAAATGTTTCCAACTGTTTTCCCAGTAATCACCAAGACACAATATGCTATGACTGAAGAGAGTAGTAATTTTCCTACATACTGTACCAAAGCATTACATAAGTTACCTGCGCTCCAAGAAACAGGCTGGGATTGTTGTCAAAGTAATGAATCATTCCAAATGAAGCCAGACTCATATTTCTACCCCTAGCTGTGATAACAGATGATGGCAATTCAGTTTCAGTCAGATTCAATGAATAGACAAACTGAAAAATAAATGCAGAATTTAAAGGTCAAATGAAATTCAAAGTAACCGTTCTACAATGAGCAGTTAATATATGAGAATATGGTTAAGACGTCTTATCGTCTTTTCTCTCACCCTGGATAAATATGTAAATCCTATGCATAGGTTAAATTGAATAGGCAGAGTTGTACTGTATCTTTACATATAAGTGACAACTAGTGAAATCATGAAAACGCATTATCAAATAGTGATACCGAACTGGAAATAATTTGGTCCATTTTTGAATATTACCTTATAATATATCAAATTTATATTTAAAATGTATTTTACATTTCACAAACCAGTGAATATTTTCATTTAGTTTTCTAATCTAATTACCTGAAGACATATCAACATCATTGCATAAATTGTTATTGCAGGAGAGCAGACCAAGGTACTCCATGATCTATCTTTAACCAACCATAATATGCAGGACCAGATCAATAAAACGAGTGTCAGCCAACTGTGGAACGTTACACTCCAGGCCTGTAGGAAAAGAAAAAGTTGAAATGAAGAATTAGCATCTATAGACAAAATGAATATATTGGAAATGTATAAGTATTATACAGCATTTGAATAAGCGCCAATGCTAATGGCAAAAAAGCAATATGTATAGATCATGGCTGTTTTATTTAGAGTAATGTAACACACCAATGGTAGTATTGTAACGTTTTGCCGAATCTTTTCATTTGGGGTTATAAAAATATCGCTTCAATCCGGAACTAAATGACCAATAAAATTTTCAGCACTCAGAATGCTCAGGAGGCTATTATGTTTTTTTATAATTTCGTGTTTTCAAATGATGGTCATTTGGCCTTTGTATTTGAGCCTTGCCCTAAACATTAATAAAACGTTTAGCTTTGCCTGGAAAAACCTGAAAAGATAGAGAGGTTGTAGGATGGTCTGGTACGTCATATTGTTAAACTGTGATGATATATTATATATATGATATTCTCAAAAATTTCATTTTTTCAAACAATGATTTTTGACTGAAATAGAATAGAAGTTTAATATGGCCAAACGTAAAAAGATTAAAATATTTTTTGTTTGAGTCGGAGTAAAAATTTCAAGCAAACTGAAGTCAAAAGAAGGCTAAGAATAAATGGAACATTTTGTAATCTTTGATGACAAGAATGTAGAAAATAATCATATATTAAATATCAAAGCTTTCATGTTCTCAACATCATATCAAAAATGATCAAAATATTTTTTCATGAGCACAAAATTTATTTATGTAATAGAAATTTCATTAAAAAGTTTAGAAATGGAAGCTGCTTATAATTGTTGTACAGGGAACAGCGTAGATCAAGTTTTATTAAGATTCAAGTTTCTTCTATCGAATAGGTTCTATCACATATCACCATTGAATGATGAGTGAAAGCTAATGATGATCTGGATTCAAATTTTCAAAGCCGGAAGCAATAATATTCAGTAAAAGTTGAGCATGAACATATAAAGACTATACTTGATCATGTATTAATAATTTGAAAAGTACTTTGCTAGGTACGCTGCTATATGCATTACACCATAGTCTAATATATTGTAGTCTGCAGGAAACAGTTGCAGGATTTATTAGCCTAACTGCAGGAAATGCACATTTATTATAGAACTCATTAAATATTTATAAGTTTGGACTTCATTTGGAGATTTATTCTTCATTGCAAATAAGGGAAGTCACAAATTAAATATACTGTGCCAAACTGTGATTTTGCAAAACAAATCTTATACGGAACCAACGGTAAAAAAATGATTCGAATAGGGTAGTTGTGTTATACTGGCCTACTGCTATCCAAATGTCAATCAAAAGTTAGTTTATATGACAAAGAATTCATGATTTCAAAACTTCATTTTTTAAAGCGTATCCGTCCATTTTCAGACGGAAACCTCTTGGGAACAGGAAATTCGTTGTTCGTACAATATTTAATAAAAAGCAAAGTGTTCAGAAAATACAATTTTGAAATATAAATTTGTCAGCGTGCTTTTAGAATAAAGTTCAATCTAAAATTTTGTTTATGGTGCTGCTATTAGGTTGTTACAGTTGTCACATTATTTAGCATTGATAAAAAATGAGCGACACAAACTCTTTAGTTAAAACCAACAAAAACAATTGAGCAAAATTATTTACAGGTCCAATTTGCGTTCAAAAACCAATTTTTAAATGATATTCTTCAAGTTCAGAATTTAAAAAATTTAGGTATATTCAAATATCCTTACCATCATTACAATTAGAACTATGACATAGAAACTCTGGTTTTTCAATCCTGACATCCAATCTGATATTGTGTGAAGAAATCCTTGCTTGGTTTCAGTTGGGTGTTCTGAAAAATAAAAAAATTCAATTGAAAACCAAGTAAGCTTCATAACTTCATTATCTGTAAGTCTGTATTTTTTCTGTATTTTTTTTAATTTCATTGGTCATATCATATTTAACCTTGCTTGGAGATGGAGAGACATTTGTATTTGCTTAAAGCACCATGAATCTCTATGATTTCAATAGCCTTTTGCGATTACCCATAACTTAGATAACAATTTAGTTTACAGTAATTCTGAGTGAGAGTGCATGACCATACAAATTCTCTTGAAAAGAAGAAATAGTTGGACTCATAAAAATAGTAATGACTGACGAGTACACTATATCGGCAATTGAAAACTGCACCATTTCCTATTTAGCGAGGTCACGCTGAGTTTGATTCTGTCATTCCCATGAGAAACAATGAGCAATGGTGTGAAAATTTTGCATGTTTTGTTGCCAAATTCCAATTTTCCCATGAGGTTCCATGGTTTATATAAATACATTTTCTCATAGAAAATTATGGAAAATAGCTATTCATTATTAAGTGAGATAATATGATTTCATAGTTATAAAAAAGACTAATATAAACTTTCAAGCAGGATTGGCCGAAGCAGATTAATTGACTATTCAGAATGCATTCTAAAATAATCCCATAGGATACGAAATATTTCAAATTGAGTTTAATGAAAAACACAGACTACATATTTTCAAAGAGTTTTTTGATTAGATTTGGTTTCTATTCTACATTTCAGAATTTCAATTGAAGACTTTCTTGTTTTCCCCGAGAATAATTACAGCCTAATGATAATGGGTAATGATAATTCTCAGATGAAACTATTCCTAATTAATCCTACAACACAAGAATTGGAAATACGAATATAATTGATCGATTGCATTGAATTTCCTTTGGGTATCTTATTAACCTCCCAAGACCAAAATGTACAAATTCAAAGTTTCGAAAAATATAGGCATCTCTTTTAAATTTTAGATGTTTTCAGCATTGTTTGATAGTATTGAACAAATATGACATTAACTCTGCGCTATGTTAAAGTATAAATTGATTTTACTGCAAGGCATAAATTATAAATTTATTGACGTAATATTTTGCCAAATTACATTTCAAGCATATATTGAAATAGTGTCCAAATTTCCTTAAAAAACCAATCATGCAAAAATACTCCAGTACTAATACCTCCATCATCAGGAACATCTTCTTCCACTTTACCAGTCACAGATGTTGATGGTGCATTGATGGCATCATAGGCATGAGGAGTCACTTCTTCCTGGACCAGTGGCTGTTGGAAGGGTGATAATAAAATATTCAATATATATAATTGATATAACGTGTATGTGCATTTGGGTGGTTATTTACAAAGTACAAGAGTTGAGAATGTAAGAATTATACAATAGGCTTAGAAATGTTTTCTTTTTTAATTACTTTACAACAAACTAACACTAGTTTAGTATAGTTTATGCAATGGTAGTTTAGCTTTGGTGAAACACTCCAGAGGAGAATCAGAAAACAACTATCATTTACAGAAATGCAGTACTGAATATCCATTGAGCAAATCTGTTAGATATATATATATATGATTTTATATAAAATTCAAAATGGAAATAAAGATGACTGTGAAAAAAAATATGTGGATAAAAATTAAAATAAATTCGTGTGAGTGTGACATTTGAATGGAAACAATAACGGACATATTTTATATGGTAAACACATGCACATGAGATGATGTATGTTTTTACTCAACAAATATGATAAAGTTACCAAATTGGTATATTATCAATATTAGTGAAAACTGAAACAATCAAAAACGTATTTTTTTTATCATTTATCAAAATGATTTTCGTTTACAAAATATAAGAAAAACTTATATTCCACCCAAACTAATTTCAACAATTACCTCAGCCGACTCTCTTTCTGTATCCAGCTAATATATAATAATTACAAAAACAAAATGTAAAAAATGCTAAAACTGAGTAAATAGGCTTCTAGGTATAAATCTAATTTTGAGTGAGTAACAATAGATTTATTTCAGAAAAAGTAGCAAAACTTTAAATTTAAATAAATATATCTAATTAATATACAGAATAAGAATAATACTAAAGGTAGGAGAGCCAAGGATAGGGATGCTGGACTGTGTGTGCAAGGCAATGGGTTGCAACAACAGCAGACTCATAGAAAAGGCAATGGACAGAAGTGTATGGAGATCACTTATGGAGACTATGATTTCATCTACATGTCACAACACTAAAAGAAGACAGGTTGAGGCAAAAAACCTCCCACATTTTGAATTCTCACTATGGCAATTACCACCAATTAGAAGCAATAGTTGATTTCATGAAAAATTGTAATTCAGTAAATATTGTATTGCAAGCCCATCAATCCAATGAGATATAATTTATATAGTTAAAAAATTTGTTTTAAATTATCTCACAGTAAATCTTAATAATAGACGATATCATAAAAATTTTATGAAAATGTTATCCAACATGTTTCAGCCAGCATAAACCAGTATAACATACCTAAATCTTCACCCAACACCTACTAATCCAAATTAAAAGGTATTATTTCAAGCTAAATCTTCAATTGGCAGATTAGGCAGGGATTAGCAAGCCAAAGTCCAAAGTCAAGTACAGGTTTATTAATAAAAGGTGTTGAAACAGTATTTAGATAGAAATTGAGTATTTGGATTGAAGGATTGAGAGTTTTGACTGAATGACAAAGCTGTTGCTTGCATAAGTCTAAGTGCCTTGAATGGAATGTCTGTCATCAGTAATTTGAGAGTGGTAATTATCAATCGTAGCAGATGTTTCTATTGACTGTAATTAGCACTTATTGACAAGGGCTCACAATACTTACTACTATCAAGTCGAAAATTATCAGGAATTTGGTCAAATTTTTAATGTTGGATATATGTCACTCATAACAATGCTCTAAGCAAGGAGGCACACCATTTGATATAATGTCTGTGAAATTTTGTTGAATTTATTTTTTATGTGAAATCAGACTGAGTAAAATTCAGCATAGAATATATTTTTTAGCAAAACATATTTATTTCAAAAACTCAAAATCCAGCTCATTTCAAAGTCAGAACTAAAGAGAAAATAAACTAGTTAGATATGGACAACCCTGATTTCATATGACGATGGACACACCAGAGCAATGAACAAACATTGGCTAAACTTGAGTCTAAAATTACACGAAATTTTTTGTAAATAAAATAAAAATGATGCACAAAATGATTGCTATTCGAAATCTAATACATCAAACTATTTGGAAAGAATACATCTTTGATCCAACTACTATGAAATGCATATCAATTTATCAACTAATTTATGATAGCAATAATTACTCATGCAGCATGCAAATCAAGCAACAGTGCAAATTTATGTTAATTATATTAACAATCATTCAATCGTACTTGCATGTTTATATCATCTGATGGGACAGCAATGTTTTTGGATCGAACCTATGTAGAAGTGGAAAAATCGTTTACCGCCATTAATTGATTGAATTTTATAATTAGTTAAGTGTGTGGATGTACAAGAGTTTTGTGAAAGTGTGAGGATAGAATATCGTACAGATGGATTTCCACCAATATCAACTTAAAATCTTTTATACTCACAAGGTTGCAACAACAAAGTAATTTATTACAACTCCAAATGTGACCTAAAAATTTAATTTTGAGTCTGGAAAATGTTTTAAATTTGGTCATATTCAATTAAAAATGCAAAAATTTAGCAGATGCAAAATTTTTGAAAAATTGCAAATTTTAAGGTGGCCTCTATCGACAGACTTCATTGAAATCAAAATTGCCAAAAATATGTTTTGATCAGCCCAAATTTTCTGTGAGAATATTTTGAAATTATATCAATAATCGACAATTAAATTTAATTCAAAAAGAATTCAAATACTTAGATTATAGATTTTTCTGAATTACTGATCCCATAATAATTCTGAAAATGCTACATGTTCAAAATTTTTGTTTATTCAATGCTACAAACAGAGTGCTGCATTAATATATTCAGCGATCATTGATTAGTGTGATTGAATTACGTGGGTGAAAGCTACTGAGGAATTATACAAAAAAAAATTGTTGTATCAAATATTGATCAGATACAGTGCCAATCATATAAATTTTCCGTCAGTAAAATATTACTTTATTAAATCGAAAGACTTTAATTTTTCAGACTTATCAATGAAGTGAACCTTATATTTGGCAGTGAATGCAAAATCAATAAAAAGGTGCAATGTATCTTCAAAAGCTACGACAAGTGCGGGGGTGGCCCAAATAAATGATTTTTTATTCTGAATACATTCTGTCATAATATTTTCGAATACAGAATATTGTATATATTAAAATTGGGTCAAATTAAATAGGGAAATTTGAATGAATCAACAAAATCATAATAAAAAAATTTAAATTTGACAATATAGAATGGTCGAGATAAACATCATTTCTTTAATTAATTTTCTATTTTCTAATGTCAGAAGTGAAAATAAGTTTATTTTAGTCCGACTATGAGATGTCAAATGTGCAAAATGACAAATTTTCAGTTAAAACGTTTCCAATTCGTTCCTAAAACGAAAAATTTACTATAAATTATATAGCCAATTTCAAATTTTCCAAAAATTTAGATTTGTTTATCCCTGGCCAATTGTAAAATTTGAAAAATACAACTAACATTACATTAATTAGATAATTAGTGAATTACAATACAAAAATTATATTTATTCTGGTTTGTAATAGCCAAGATTAACATAATATTTGACACATTCATAATCTGAGAAACTAGAAAAATTCAACACATCTCTATTGCAAGATGTATGGCAAGGAAATTACAAAGTTGATCTTTTTCTTACGATATATTCAAGGCTAAGCTGTAATACGGATTTAGTAAGAATATTTTCACTATATTTACTGAGAGGGCGTCTCATAGACTTTATACAAACAAGAAAAGTCATGATGGATATATCGTAAAAGTATTTAAATAAAACATTAAAATCTATCTATCATCTTCACCAGTAAAAAGTGCGGTTATATCCACCATCTGTCTACTCAATTCAAGCGTAAATGACAGTCCATGAGGGATTAGGTCTACTACATTAATACTAATTGGCTTTAAGCTAAAGTTGTTTTAAAAATAAGTTAAGTTTAGTGACAATTATCTTCGAATTCCAATAGAAAATGGGACGAACAAGTTTAATTATGAATGGTTTTGAGCAGAAAAAGAGATGCCAATGGCCCAAAACGAAATGTATATCGGATACATTCAAAATGGTATTATTCGATTTAGGAATAATTTGGAGCATTTTCATTAAAAATTTGTCATATTACACATCTGTTGGTCAGACAAAAATGAAATACTTCCAACTACTAAATATTTAATTGTAGGATAGAAATAATGTTTATCTCCACTATATAACTATAAATTTACAAATATTTGTGTATATTTATTTGTTCACTATGTCACAATCCAGATAATAGGCTATGCAATATTTATTATTTCTGTAATCTAAATATTCTTTCAAAAAGTATTCAAAATACAAAATTACTCAGTTGCATCCATTCTTGGGCTAGAGCTGAGATAATAGTCAGTAGATTTAAATTAAGCTAATTTAACTAAAGAAAATTGACTTTCAAATTCCAATAAGAAAAAGAATAAAACAATTAGTATGTCTAAGGAGGCAGCTAAAAAACAATTTTTTTTGAAAAACCATTGACCAGCACATTTACTTCAATTATGATAAATGGAGAATCTAATTTTTTTTAATAGAATTTGCCCAAATCCCAAATCAAGGATACCAGCACTCACTCTGAAGTAGAGAAGACCAATGTCTGAGTAGATTATGACTTAATGTTAATGTAATATCCAAATTTCCAGTGATATTATTATTTCAACTTTCAAATTTAAAATTGAAAAATTAGAAATATCATTGTTTCCACTTTAGAAATAAATAGCCTAGGTGACAGTAATGCAAGAAACACATACAATTAAACATCTAGTGACAAGAACTTTATAGTTTTTATGATAAATCCTAATGTTAGCAATGACCAATACCTAAATAGGTTGATGTTTTGGATTGGACAATAATTTATACAAAGTTTTTTTTCCAAAATTTGCTCTGTACATCAAATATCAATAATAATGCATAAGTGAAATGGATACCTTAAAATAGCTGTCACTTATACAAAATAACTTGATTTGCATTAATTAAAAAACCATTAGCTGGCAAAATTGAACAGGTTTTTTAATGACTTGTTTCAAACTTTACCAAACAGGGTTGTTCTAAATGAGAAGGCACCATGACGTAAAAAAAAAACTATGTAATTTTTATGAAAGATGAATCCTCCGTTTGACGTATTGTCTCTCCAATTTATTGCACTATGGATAATTTGGTGGGATTTGAATCTAATACTTTCAGTAACAAAGTAAAAAAAAAGCATGACCTGAAACTTTCTTAAATCACCCAGCATTTACGCTTGTTATACATTTTTTATCGAAAATACTTGTTCCAGTTTAATCAACTGTTTATAATAGTAATAATTTGCAATATTAATTTAAAAGAAAATCAAATCATGCACAATATTAATCAACCATACCATGCGTTCATCTTTCCTCCTTTTCTTTCTTCTGTCAGAACTTCCATGAGAATGTAATTTATTCTGTCATCATGGGGAATGAACGTAGTAAGATTTTAGTAATCAATGAAATGTTAGTAACAACGAAAGCAGGGTATAATATAACAACATTAAACAGCCTTTTTGTTGCCAGAAATGCAAAATGTGGAATATTTACAATGGATTTTCAAAGCAATTTACTGATTATTTTTGAACAGTTCAGCCTGCACTACAGACATATAATTGACAGTAAATTTCCAATCTATTAGCATTTTTGAAGAGTATGAATTTTTGTGAGGTGTCCATCTTAAAAAACTGATTTTTGGACTATTTTTTATTAATTTAATGTGAGAATTTTAAAGTTTGGAAGTGGTCTTTACCCAGCTCATTAAGAACAGCACTGTTACATTCAATTAGAACCATAGTTGACAAAGGGAATAATTTCATTAAAAGTACGATGCAGATTGCACAAGCCACCAATGTTATATGATTACAGTATAACAAACACCGAAGATTTATTGCCAATTGACATAGCTTAGTAAGTTGGTTACAGAGTTATATCTCAATAATTATACACAACAGTACAATTTTGAGTATTTTTAGGTAAATTTTATTATGTTATTTTCATCTTACCTTATCTGAAGTGAAGAATACTCGAACTCCCATAGCTAGCATCCAATACATTAGAAATGTGAGAGGTGGACTGATAAATTCGGTCCAAGTTATTCCTGTATTTAGAACGAGTTCAAAAGCATGGATCTGACAGTTTGTTGTATTGACAAATGGTGTGAGTCCCATCAACCTAAAATTTGAAATAAGAGTAGGAATTTTATCTCAGGGGAAAGGATAGCGGATAAGATGGGTTATTCATATGGTAAACCTCCTGTCCATCTAACAGACCACGTTGGGTATGCAAATAGTAAAACAGATGTTCCAGACCAGAAGTTAGGTGATATACTCTATGAGGCATCCTGAAATTCTCTTGCACACAATAATCCCCCCCCAGGATTTGACCTTTGAACCTACGTAAAGTAATCAGAGGTGCGATGTTAAGCATATTCCTACCGCTTAGCACAATGTCTCATAAGGAATAGTAATACGCAACGCAAGGAACGACAAACACGCTATTTTCACTCAAACATTAGTCTCCTTCGTTTCCGATCGAGTTCGACCTTGCTTTGAACCTGGCGTACATTTAGTGTATATAATGCTCGCTTTGACCTTGCATATAGCTTGATGTATATAGATCAGTATTTTACTAATATGATTTTTTTGAATTTTCTTGAAAAAAATTTAAAATAAGCATAGCACTAGAAGACTCGTCTATAATACATCAAGCTATATGCCCAACATTTTTCTAAAAAATGTAGTTAAATAACACAACAATTCTCTGTTAATTTAAGTCACATACCTGGCACCCAAGTAATTTGCTGGTAATGAATTCTGAAAGAACTCCATCTGATAGAAGAAAAGAATCACTAATTGAACTGCAGCAACAATTGAGACAACGACTCTCAGAATAGCGATTCCCGTTCCCAGCATTCTCCCATGTAGTGACCATATCGTCATTAGAAGCATGAAAACGACCAAATATAAACCAGAGAATAAAGATGGGTTCGCAATTCCTGGAAATATAAAACAAACATGAACTATACATCTAAATCCACCAGCATTGTTTTACTAGAGAACAAAAATTGTCGAGCCACAAGTTGGTGTATTATTATTAAAGCATGAGGCTTATGAACTGTGTTGGCATCGCAGATTACATATTTATGATTCAAATCCCCCACTCCTCAATGACATTGCCTACTCCTACATCCTGGGTGCAGTTGTGGACATGAGTTTCAAACTGAGATCCTTACCTTCAAAGCTAATATATTTAGGTCAAATGCCCAAAGCTCTCCATATGAATATGTTGATATAAAAAAAATTGTATCATGGTTGATTGTAATATAGATTAAGCTAATATAACAGTAACTATAGGCAACATACCTGCTAATGCCATAGTGACAATTGTTATAAAAAGCAATGCTGCATTTTTCAATGCTGTTGACGTGACATGAAGAAATTTGAATCCAAATCCAGACCGACTAGAAGCTTGTGATACTGCATCTACAGAAGTTTCGTTTTCAAAACTTTCGCCTTCTAAGCTCTGCTGTTGTTGTTGATCAACCTCTGGTTCAACTGAAATGGGAATTAATCAGTAAAATTTAAATTATCTTTGTCAATTGATTGATGCAGTTGTTCTCAAACTGTGTATTTTTTAATAAAGAAGATGAAATTTTGAAGGGTGCTCCATAGTATGTGCACCACGATGGCGGACACCTGAACATAGTATGTGTACCAGGTTAGGGTTAGGTCATAATTTTATTCCAATTTTCCTTATTTTAGTTCTATTACGAGTTCAGCGAGTATCCAAGTGACTCTAAAAGTATTTGCATCTGAAATTATGGCCTGACCCTAACCTGATACACATACTACGTTCCTGTGTCCGCCATCTTGTTGCACAAACTACGGAGGTATCACTTTAAGTGCATGACGAAATATCATGCTGTGGCATAACCATGATGTTATCGTAGGTTGAAAACTCTGGTTCAAATCCCACAGCTTCATCCAGGGTGTAATAAATTGAATATGCATCATGTGATCGGGAAGATAACAGTCCTTCGAAAACACAGTAGCTACATAGTAGCTGCTTGTACAGAGCCTTGTTCAAAGCAAACACTTAGGAATACGTTGCATAAGAAATCTTACAAAATTAATTCTCATTTGTCAACATTTGAAATTAACATAAAATGACCAAATCTGCCAAAAATCTGCAGATACTACAAAACAATTGCTTATAATTAAATATTTATAAAGTCGTCTTTTCTTTCAACGAGTCGTGACGTTTGTAACAGATGGTAAATGTGTCTAGCAGTTTGATATTATGGGAACCACGGAGTTAATGAGTAAAAACATTTGACGCCCTTGCTATAGTTAAAGCATATCACTTGTTGTTTGAATTGTCATTGCAAATTTTGTATCTAAAAAACCTACGAAAACATGTAAGACAAACCTGTTCTTTTCAATAACACAAATGTTAAGGTAGCGATGAGGAAACATAAAACATCTGGAAGAAGAAATCGAAACACATCTGCAACAGCCATTTCATCGAGTCTAAACACAAAAATAGATAAAATAAATCATAAATTTAGGATAAAAATTAAAAAAGGGTTAACTTTCACATAATTAGGGTATAAAAACAATTATTGATATGAAATGTACAGAGAGACCATATTCAATCACTTTTCCGAAACCAACTTGATCAAATATGACTATCTATGCATCAGAATATCATGTTACCTATCACGTGAAATACAACCACGTGAGTCAGGCGTATTTCATATGTAAACAAACACATGATAGCGGTGTATGTACATAGTATTCAGTGCAATAGTATTGTGCAAGTAAAATACAAAATTTCGTTTGAGAAGTATGGATGAGATGAGACTAAGAGCTTTGGTCCAATTGAATGACTCTCGGAAAATACTTATTTCATCCATTCCTATTTGAAGTTGTTGAATTATAGCAAGTACACATCGAATGTTATTTGGTACGAACTTTTTTTAAAAAAAAAAACATTTTTATATAAAATCATTGTAAACTTTTAGCATTAATTTTGTTATGAACTCAGTATTCTGACATAACTGCTCATATGGTGATTAATAATATGTTCATGTATATATGTAAATTCAACTATTGTCTTTAAGCGTAAACATGTCATATGTGTCGATGACTCAAACAATAATGCACACGTTTCAGAAAGTAAATCTTTTGCATGTTAAATATAGTCATGTCACAACACGCATCAATCAATATTATAAAATACATTAACCAGAAGTTACTTGATATTGAGTTCATTGCAGCCAACACGAACACTAGTTTATACACGGGACCCCAGAATTTCAATTGAAAAAATGATGCAAATGCATAACATATAGGTTGAATTAAATACAATTAAATTATTGTAACTGTTTAAATTCACACCTTTCTAGTCCAATGTATCGAAGTATCTTTTCTTTTTCTGTGCCTGCAAAGCAAAATAAAAAAATGAATGGTCGTTGTATGCCTAATAGAAAATACTAAATGAGACAAGGAAATATGTATTTGAAAGCAAACATATTCAATGAGTAATTATATTTTAAATTGTAAATTTGCGTTGAGTCCAACTTTCTACTTTTTCTAGCAATTCCCGCCACTTTTCATTGCATATTATTCAAATTGAATCATGATTAGAGCTATTCAAACAAAACATAAAATATAATTCAAGATTTCAAGTCTTCTTTAATGCCTGAGTATATGAGATATAAATTGTTAAAATCTCCATTTGAAAAAGAATATATTTTTGCTCAGAAATGTTCATGTATCACGTTTTCGTTGTAATTATGATGATAAATAATATAGAAAATCTTACACTTATCTCCAACCAGTTCTCCATAGGGTGATGTTGCAAGCAGTGCAACCTGAAATCCAATCTGAGCCAAAATAAAAGTCAGTGAAATGGCGAGAACCCCTGCTGAATAACTGCAACATTTTCCTGAAACACATAATGTTAGAAAACTTTTACATGTGTGATAGATTCATATCTTCTCCCAGAAAAAGCCTTCAAGTCACTTATAATAGGCCGCACAGACTTTCATGTTCGTAATAGTACAATGTGTTACATGCATCCTCGGTGATATCGCTTGAGATATTTAAGAAGCCATTTCCTAATGTTCTAATCTGACATTCCAAAAAATACTTGCCATTAGCGTGATATAGATACAAATGAAGATTATTCTCTCATGTCATATGGCAAGCAAAAAAAATAAACCATGCTGGATATGCATCTATATTTTAACTATAATTCTAATTTCATTGAAATGTATTAGATTGAAACACTTTTTATGAAATGTGCCCACACCCCCTTTAATGGAAACATGGGGATACAAACTGTCGCAATTGGATTCTTGTCTGAAGATTAGAATAGAACGAATACCGTACCTTTTGTGGCATAAGTCAGATATGGTGCATATGGATAAACCAGAACAAGAATCAAGTATATTGAAGAAAAGATGTTGTAGCGAAATATCACACCTGAAAATAAATACAGCAATATAAGTTCAATGAATTTGTTGAAATGCTGATAATATTAATAAATAACAAACATGCTCGAAACATTCACTTTTAAAATAAAGAAGTCGTAAGCCATCAATGACACTATCGTGCAGTCCGCACAGTTTTCAAATTCCAAGAATGTCCCATCATTTGGTTCAATAAAGCAAACACCCAATGCACCGCACAAATGAGGGACGTCTAGCACTATGCATCATATCGAGCCATGCTCGATAATAATCTGAATTAGTCGCGGCCGTTATATGACCAAAATTGGCATTTTTTGCTAAAACTCTCGAATGCCACGGTAAATTTTTTTACTTCAGTAAATCGGATTTTTTCCCTGAGGAATTTGGCATTTTTAGATTGTGCTTCTTGTTTACTGTAGTTTATTGCACAACCTCATTTTACTGTATTTTTACCGATATTGAGGGACAACAATGTCCATACGTCTCCGAAAGAAGGGGTGCCTGTTTATTGACAAAATGGGATTTTCTGAAAGGGACAATGTTGCTCTATCTGTAAAGTGTGCCGTACTGCCGTGGCGACAAACTTACTGGGCAATGTTCGCCACATTGCTAGTTACAGTCGTTATCATCTCTGCTTTGGAAGATGCATATAGATTTACTATAGCATAAGTGAGATTAATAAATACTACCTTGAATACAATGGAAATCAACTCTGGATATGGTATGGATCTACCATTCAGCCATCACCAACATAGTTTTAAAAGTCACAGATTAACACTGAATACATGGGAATAATATATACAGCACTACAACAAGAATAATATTAATACAACTTCTTACTTGCAATAAGAGTGATAGGAAGCAGAATGTGGTAGCTAATCCACGAAATTGCTATGGAAACCATCTTGTTAAGTAGACTTTTCTCACAGTTTCATGTGTGAATTCAAGTAATTCCAATTCTTTTCATTCAATATCCAAAACACTTTATCCTGCTATATAGACTACTATCCATGTATAAACTAGGGATTTTATTGCTCTAGCCCCTGTGAACACAAGATCTATATTATTTGATATACCATAATATTGAAAAATTATGCAGTATTCAGGGATTGGGCTGGTTTTGACCACCTTATTTCATTCCTCGGGTCTGGTGAAGTACACGCCGTCAAGTACTTCTACCGGGCGTAGCATAACGATTTTTGTATACAATATTCCTAACCCTCACCTGAGTACGTCACCCAAAAATTACATCACTGCAACGTAACAATCGCGACATAGAGCTTGCTAAATTATAACTACAATCGTTCTAAATGGCATCTGTGCCGACTATAATGAACTCACTAACCCCAGCGATCTCTCTCTTATCGTTATCGTTACGGCGAGAAAACGAGAGAAGTAGCTTGCGATGATTGTCTGCGCGACCACACGTTTACTTTGGAGGGCCTTATTACGTCACTGCGACTACGCAGTGATGTAATTTTTGGATGACGTAGTCAGGTGAGGGTTAGGAATGACATATGCAAAAATTGTTGAGCCAGGCCAATTAGAAGTGCTTGCAGCGTGTACTTCACGAGACCCCATTCCTCTCCCATAACTGCAGAGGGGAATAGGATAAACATAAAAATGCAAATTATTGCTATATCCATAGCTAGTCTAAATATAAAGCTGTAAAACATGCCATGCAGAAAACTCTGACTTAGTTCAAACCTGAAGGTCAGAAGGTGTAATTTTTCTGTTTAAAAAGTGCTGCTGGTACGTCTGTACTTCCATAGTCTACTTCAGTGCGGTACTTGCAAAATCCCACAACACTGTATCAGCATGCATAGCCACAACCTGACAACTGAGCAATCAGCATGACCCATTGCTGCATTGTGGTCGACCCCTCTGCTGAATACCTCAAACAAACGGGACCCTACCCACTTATCCGATAATATATTACTACATTAACGTTCTCCATACAACGATATACCTACATTTCATCTGATTTACTCTTACAACAATGTAGGCTACCAACTGAGAACCGTCGTTAACAGTGTTACCCCACCATGGATAGCAATACAGCAATATCTGAATACAGGAATAGCTCACTCACGGCGTTCAAAAGAACGAGTGAATCAAATGTACAATTAGCCTTTGTCGCTATAAGCTTGTCTTTACCGGTACCAGCGAGTGTATTTTGACAGGAACGTCTACTCAATCACTTTGAATAAGTCATACAGCATCCGCTTAGTTCAAACGAATTAATCGCTTTTGCAAAAGGCATCTGCAGTTCGACCACTTTCGTCATGAAGTCCACAATCGCTGCACCTGTGATCGCGCAGACGCCGCCCGAGACATTCTCTCCTATTCGAATATACGAGAGAAGCCGGTTCAGTCACTTGTTTGAGAAACTTATTGATGACTTTCACTGTTAGATTCACAGTGTAAGCAGCAATTACCTACAATCTACATTGGGATAGGATAGGATAGGACATTATCGAAAATTTGAATACATTGGAATTATATAAGACAACATAAACTACTGGCGTCTATATCGGGTGAGGGGTATGTGGTTCACAAATGACAACATTGTTGCCCCGCATAGTCTTCGTTGGGTGAAGCGTGGAAAAAGGAAATCTTATGTTGTTTGCAAGAAAACCCTTCGAGCTACTGATCAAAATACAATACCGGTTGTTTTTTCGGTATAATAAAAAATATTCGAAAAATACCTCAATATCGGTTGCACAGACCGTCTACACTAGCCATATTCTCCCGACATGGTTCATTTTTCGCTCGCAAAGCCTTCGCCGAACGTCGACGGGGCGACGCCGATTTTGCCCCGGTTGCTCATTGTATATCGTATTCTCTCTTTTATCTTCCACTCGCCGCGTTTGTCTCGTTTGTTTTCTGTTTCTTTTACTAAATCATCGAGGCTAGCCCCGAAATTATGACGACACAATGACAACGTTTCTTACAACAACGTGTTAACATATTCACGCATTCCTTCTCGTTCGTTAGTTGCTTGAAGAGTTGATAATGTCCTCGCCTTCGTTTTTGTCGGTTGTTTCGCTATTTGAATCAGTTAGAGACCTTTAGTCCATTTGCTTTCGATTTTCCACATTCCTTTTGACCTCCTCACTTCTTTCCGGCTTCGCATTTCTTAGCCTTAGACTTCATAATGAATAAGGTTGATGCACTACTTCGCACTCCGTTTTCGCAGCTGCCGAGGAACAAAAATTAGAGGTACAACGTCTTGGGCCTTATCAACCAAAAAATTGTTCACTGGAACAATCCCATGACGGAGGAAAGCGTCGGCGTACATTCTGCGCAGAAACTTGTAATAAAAAACACGAATGGTTGTGTTACAGCGAGGACAAAAATGCACTTTTGTGTTTTTATTGCCTACTTTTTGCTACCGCCCGTGACTCACGTTGGTGTAAATTTGGTTTTAGAGATCTTAAACATCTTTCCGAGCGTGCCAGGGATCATCAATCTTCTATGAACGTGTAGTATCTGGACAATGTAGTAAAATACCGAACATTCGGAAATGTTAATATTGCAGCACAGTTGGATGAAGGACACGCGGTTTCTATTCGTCGGCACAACCAAAACGTCGAGAAAAACCGCCATGTTCTCGGTCGATTGATAGATGTTTTGAAGTTCATTGGTTGTCACGAGCTGTCCCTCCGTGGGCACGATGAACGGGCTGGCTCTTCTATTAGAGGGGTATTTTTGGATATGGTGGAATACACCGCATCCCTAGATACAGTATTGAGAGATCATCTTGATGCCGCAACTGTTTCGAAAGGGACATCTAAGGATATCCAAAATGATTTGCTCGACTCAATGTATAAAATTTATTTACAACATTTGGCTCTGGAAATTGAGAATTGCCAGTTCCTTTCGATTCAGTCTGACGAGACAACTGACATCACGTGCGTTTCCCAACTGGCTGTGATTTTTCGGTTTGTGAAAGATGGTAAACCTACCGAGAGATTTCACAGCTTTGTACCAATCGTTGATCGCACGGCTTGCGGGATATCGGCTGTACTGAAAGAAGTGTTACAGCCTTACAACGCGAAGTCAAAATTGATAGCTCAAACTTATGACGGCGCGGCAGTCATGAGTGGGTCGAAACATGGTGTTCAAGTTTATATAAAAGAAGATTTTCCTCATGCGCATTTTTTACATTGTTATGCACACCAATTTAACCTCGTTATTAAAAATATGTGTCTTGATACCCCTCTCGTCCGTATATTTTTTGCAAATGTTTCGGGGTTTCCTTCATTTTGTTCCGTTTCGCCGAAGCGCTCTGACCTCCTTCGCCAGATATGTAGCCGCCGTCTCACATCTTGTGCACCAACACGTTGGAACTTCCAATCACGCGTGGTGCAGGGCGTGTCCGAAATTAGGTCTGAGCTTATTGAGTGTTTCAATGGCATTCAGAGCTCTCCGGTTTGGGACGAACGCTCTGTGAGGGAGGCGGCAGGTCTAAAGCGTCTGCTAGAAGATGGTGAGTTTTCATTTTTTCTCGCTTTTTTCTCCACAATATTCTATCACGTGGATGTATTATACGGCGCATTGCAGTCAAGGCTGATGAATGAAGCGTCTGTGCAGTCGTGTATTTCAGACTTCTGCGATGCTGTATCTCGTATCCGGGAAACAATAAAATACGACGACACATGGAGTGCTTCTTTACGCCGCGGGCAAACAACGCAGCGTTTGATTTTGTCAGCAAAGGAATGCTGTGACATTCTGGTGAATCAAATAGGCGATCGTCTGCGCACTGAACACCTTGCCGCGTTCTCTTTGATGAACCCCAAAAAATTTTCAAAATTTGCACGTCAATTTCCCATCCATTTGTTGGCTACCGTCTCCAAATTTTACCCCATGATAAACGTGGGTAAATTGGAAATGAATTGCGATGTGTATACACCAATCAAACTTTTTTGAACATCACATCAACTTGCGCGCTCTATGGGTTCCTCATAGATAACACTCTACCTTTGCGGCGTCTGCAAAATTTCTGGACATCATTCGGACGACGCCTATTTCTTCCGCCGACGCAGAGCGAACATTCAGCACGCTGAAGCGTATTAAAACGTATCTCAGAAACACAATGAAGCAAGATAGATTAAATTCCTTGGCTGTTTTATCCATTCAGAGAGACGTTATTTCTGGGATGCATGACTTTAATCAGCGCGTTATTGAGCATTTTGCTTCCAAGAAACCGCGGCGTGTTGCATATATGTTCAAGCAGTAGAAGTCTAGCAGCATATATATCTATGAGTGAGCGACGCATGTCCTTATCTTTGCATTAACTTTCCTTTCTTCATAGTAACATTTTAAACCTTATTTTAGGTTTTGTCTGCTTTCTCGAAGTTTCTGTTAATATGTCATTGTATTTATCTGGGTAAATATTGCTTTTCCTTTTGAAAGAGGTTTCAAAATAAACTATGTCTATATTTATTAATCCCTTGACTTGGACCGGTTTTAAAGACACTTTCTTATCGTTAAAAATTGTCGCTTTTGCCGATTGGTTGTTACCGATGGAATGGTTTTTATACTCATAAAATGATGGGAAAACTTACAGTGCTCATCCTGTCCCCGTAGATGAGGGTGACTTGGTCCCGCAGTAGCTTGCCCCGGTTGTCAAAATGACCACGCGCCGCCACTGAATATATAGTTTTTTCACAATCAACTCGGATGATGACAAAGCAGTTAGGACCGCTTAATCGTATGGAGAACCAGTCCATGTCGGGTAAGGGTATGTTATAGTTTCAGATGCACGGACTTGATGGTGGTAGAAGCTTTAAACGGAGGCGAGATGTATCTTATAACCATTGCTGGATTAAGCATCAGCAAAATGAGCACGTGCTTAAGGCAACAAGAATAGTTTGTTGTGGAATCATTCACTACTTTTTGAGGAATTTTAGTAAAACTTGAATCAATCACCATGCTGAAAAATACGAACTATACATAGCCTACACAATTTTAAGGGAAATATAAAAAAAATCGCATTTCAGGTGAAAGGAGACGCCGAAAACCAAAACTAGTTAT